TAATGGGAAGGCTAAAGGCTTCTTCCCGACTTCGAAGGGTTTACCTTAAGGGGATCATATCTCTCCTGGTCTCTTTGTCTTTATTGTGGAAGTTTTATCGAGGACGCTGAAGGTTACTAGTGAGGCTGGGAAGTTCAAAGGTTTCTACATGAATGAAGAGAGTAAGCTTGGCGTGGTCACACATCTCTTGTTCGCGGATGATATGCTTATTTTCTATGAGGCCAATCACGGAGAAGTTTTGAACGTGCTTGCTACAGTCCTGTGCTTTGAAGCTCTTACGTGGTTGAGGATTAACTTGGATAAGTCAGTTATGTACACGGTGGGGGATGTAACGCAGCCGAGTTATTTTGCATCCATTTTCAGGTATAAGTGGAGTAGGGATCCGCCTAAGTACCTCGGTTACCCCCTGGGAGCTAAACCAAATGGTGTGTAGATTTGGGATCCCATTGTGGATAAATTTCAGACTAAACTTAATGATTGGGAGAGTCGGGTTTTGTCTTATGGAGCTAGACTTGTGATTGTGAAGGCAGTGCTCTCTAGCACGCGAACTTACTTATTCTCCCTTTTCAAGGCTCCGATATCGATAATTAAAAATCTGGGGAAGCTTCGAAATAATTTTCTATGGAATAGTAAGAACGAAGGGAACAAGATGTCTTTGGTGGACTGGAATTTGTGCAAAACGGTGATCGAATATGGAGGATTAGGGATTCACGACCTGAAGGCGTTTAATGATGAGATGTTATCAAAATGGCTATGGAGGTTTGCGGTGGAGAGGAATAGTTGGTGGCGTCAACTTATTGGATGTAAATACCCGAATCGATCCTCGAGTTGGCAGACAGGAAGGGATAATGGTGGTTTTTCTAGATCTGTTTGGGCAAACATTAGTAAGGAGTACATGTTTTGGAAGTTCGCCTGTTTTGACCCCAAAAGTGGTACTCGAACCCACCACATTAGCAGCAAGAGTGATCCTCTTCCGGTTGAATCGAACCCAGAAGTGAGTTTTTATACTACCTCGTTCACAGGTGGGTGAATTTTCTCATAAAAATCCAATAAAAAAAGGCCAAAAAACATATTTTTGTTTTTTAACAGTTTGGGGGCTGGAAACGGAACTCCCCTTTGGTTCTCCCCAAAAACACCTTTCACTTTTTGAAGTTTTCTTTAAAACGGCATTAGCTACGTCTCGTCTCTTGACAAGTCCTGACCCCCTATAAACAGAGCGAAAGCTTACGATTCACTCCGGTGCTGATTGCTGGTGGAGGTTGGGAGTATCTCCTGAGCTGGGACAAGAGAGAGGAAACCGATTTTACACTATTCGTGATCGGGTCGGATAAGGATAAATAGTATTAGAAAGGGGAACCTAGGAAGAAAGGAAAGGAAAGACAGATTGGAACGGATTAGGTAGCTCTTTTTCTTGGATGTGGGACTTCCTCTCCTTTCAGTCGAGTATATTTCATTCCTCTCCTAGTAGCTAGATATTGAGGAATTGTCCATATGTAAAATCATAATTCTTGATACGAGCCTTTTCCACATAAAAAGGGAATCTTTTGTTACAATAGAAACAGAAGTGATGACCTCCACTTAGTTTCACCCAAGCTTCATCCTGGTCATGGATAGATCACCCAGGTTCGGGTCCATAAGCAGTGACAATTGCCCTATGAAGACTCGCTTTCGCTACGGCTCCGGTGGGTTTCCCTTAACCAAGCCACTGCCTATTTCATTCTGGTATGATTGTTGGATTCCAAAGACAGTTCTCTCTACCTCCTTCCCTCGCGTTGCAGTGGCTGCCTTGGATCCGGATGCTCTTATTTCCGACATTGCTTATTTTTCTGGTGAGTTAGTGAGTTGGCATATTGACTTTAAATATAATATGAGGGGAGGGGCTGAGAGGGAGAGGAGTGTTTTATTTATTCCACTGTATTTTTCCGGAATGTTGTGAGTCTTTGCAGGTTAATGTGGAACATTGAGTCTAGCTTGCGTTTCACTATGAGTTCCATGTATAGCCAGCTGGAGAAGAAGGAATTTCATGGAATTCAGGATTTCCCAACAGAACAGATATGGAAGAAGATCGTCCCGAGGAAAGTTTGTTTCTTCGTTTGGCTGGTATATCATAATTGGATCCTAACGTTGGATCATTTGAAGAGAAGAGAGTAGAGTTTGGCGAATAGATGTGAGTTGTGTCAAGAAAAGGAAGAATTGGTTCAACACTTGCTCGTGGGATGCAATTTTGTGAAGGAGATACGGAGGACGATCTATTGCACCGATGCTCGCTCAATAATTCAGGAAGAAGATGTTATCGTGATTATTAAGGAGTGGCCAAGGACTTATTTGGATAGTATCGACAAGTCGTTTAAGTACTGCATTCTACATGCTATTTGGTGGGTCGTTTGGCTCGAAAGGAATTAGAGGATCTTCGAAGAACAACAACTTCCCCCAGCCATGATTGCAAGGAAAGCTGTGAAAAATTCCATGCTATTGATTGTCGCACAAGGGAAGGTTCATAGGGACGATGGTTTCAGGTGGCTCAGATAGTCGTACAATGGTATGTAACGACCTGCAGAATTTGGGGTTGGATGGTTTTTTTCATCACAGGACCCTAGGGCATTCGGATCTTTATGGTCGCTATTTGCGCAAAGCTTGTGTGGGATTTTTTCCGTGCACTGCCGTTTGGAGGTCTTTGCTTGTTCCCGCTGGTTTAAGTTATGGTGGTGCTCATGGATGGGTTGGAGTTGTTAGTGCTCTTTAGTTCCCATGGCTGGTGTTTTTGGGTAGGGAAATGGTTGTTTAGTGATTCTGGATGTGTTGATCATGGTGGCAAGGTCTTCTCGATTTGTCAAGTCATCTGTGTGTGTTTCTTGCTTATCGTTACAGTTGATGTCGGGGTACGGCGGTATCAACAGGACCTCCTAACTTTTATTTTTTAACTTGTGTTGTGGCGAGCAGGTCAAGCTCTCCAGTTACAACTTTAAAAAAATAAACATTCTTTAAATTGAATTGAAAATATATTATTGAATTGAAAATACATTCTTGAATTACAAAAAAAAAATTGTCACCAATTACAACTTTAAATTGAATTACAAAGCATCCCAGCATCGATACCAAGCAACAATAATAACTAATTATTTCCATGCAAGTTCCAAATATGCTCGACCAAACCCTAACGAAGCCCATGATGTGTTGGTGCAGCACGAAGCCTATTATTCCTAGCCAAGTACTCAGTTAGAGTTGGAATATCTCTGTTGACATTAGTTGGTTGTTGGTCCTGGACTTCATAATCAAGACTATCTTCCATCTCATCGTCAGAATCTACCTGCTCATCCTCAATTATCTTGTTGTGCAATATAATGCATGTCAACATTATATTATATAATTAATTATGGCACCATCCCAATATCTCGCAGGGCCACGAACGATTGTCCATCTAGCTTGAAGAATTCCAAAGGCCCGCTCTACGTCTTTTCGATGTGCTTCTTGACATTGAGCAAACAAGGCTTCTTTGTTTGAGCTTGGATTGCTTAATGTTTTCACTAAAGTTGACCATGAAGGATAAATACCATTAGCCAAATAATAACATTGATCATAGGTATGACCGTTTACCTCAAATCGTATTCGTGGAGCGGATCCGTTGAGGATACGGTCAAACACTGGAGACATCCCTAGAACATTGAGGTCGTTATTCATCCAACGCATGTCAGACCGGAGGAGGAGATGAAGGTGGAGGAGGAGATTACAGGAATTATTGTTCCATTCTGGCGATTATTGACATGTTATGTGTTTCATATTTATCATTTCAAGTATTGTGTGTTATTTTTAACCTTTATCATTAGCAAGTGTTGTGTGTAATATTTAAGTTTTATTATTAGCAAGTGTTGTGTGAACCTCTAAGTCGTATCATTTAAATTATTATGTGAATTTCTTTAGTTTTATCATTTTCAAGTGTTGTGTGTAAACTCAAATTAGGTCCATAATTTTTTCGCCAAAAAAAATTCGGTCTCAGAATTTAAAAAAATTCTATCGGAAAATTTGTATAAAAAATGATGACGAACTATACAAAAATTAACATTAACACATTATATTAAGACTTCGATAAGTACATTTTTATGTAAATGAAAAAATAGAGATCCCCAAATTTGGGGATGGTAGCATTGGAGCCAAATTGTAAAAAATAGGGACAATCTCCATATTTGGGGATGAAGGTCCCCAAATTTTGGGTTGTTGAGCAAAATTACCAAATCAGAGTTGCCCCAAAGAAAGAAAGAAGACAATCAAAGACAGCTCAGAATTTCCATATCCATTCTTCTTTGGTGCTCAAAGGCAACGGTCGGGAGTGTCTTGTAGGCTATATATATCTCTGTTGCCTCTGCTAATGGAGCACTTTTTGTAAGGGTGGAATAGGGCTGCTTACAATCTGGGTTATTCAAACAGAGGTAGAGGTTCTGTTTGATTAGTGGTGTAAACGGATCAGGGGATTAAGATCCGGGTTGAATACTCTCCTGTTCTTTGAGTCTGCTGTTTATGTTTCCTTTGCTTGATAGAAAAATTCAATAAAAACAGAGTCTCCTAGACCTCAGTGTAGTACTGAGTCTAGGACGAGGACGTACCCGGTAGTTTGGGGAACCTCGTTAAATTGCTCGTGTTACTTTACTTTTCCTGCTGTGTTCTGGTTTGGTTACTTGATCAGCTCTTCCCCTGTTTCGGTTTGGAGCTCCTCTGTTTCTCTGAATCTTCATATTTAGAAGATGACCATGTGCAGAGAACAAAGAGTGGGCCGAACTGACTTGGGCCCATCTGTCAAGTAACTGTGGTTTCTTTTCTTCCGTTTTCGGGCCTTTATCCAACAACTTGGTCCACTTTAAGTTTAAGGAAATCAAAGAGATCATATCAAAAATCTGGCTCTTTCATTTCTCTCGATCCTATCTTCTTCCTCCTTCTGTTCGTCTTTCTGTTCGTCACATACTAGGGTTCTTGCTTCTTCTTCTTAACAAGGGTCTTCCACTGAAGTTGGACAATATTCTTATTCATTGCAAAAAAAAAAAATCGTCTCTTTCGTTAAAGTTCAATCAATGACAAGAAAGTGACAACCCTGGTCCACCATAGTAGAAATGAGCCCCATAAGTCTGATCAAAGTTCCCAAGATGTACACTGTAACACTCAGCTCTTGTAGTGAGCGGGATCAGGTCGTGATCGGGATCTCTTATTGTGCAACTCTCGTCTACGTATCCCAAGTTCCTAACAAAAGCTGCTTTTTTCCAACCTTCGCTGGCGAAATGGCCGCTCCCCATTTGAGTCGGCGTGTGACGGCCATCTGGGTTCGTGTTGGTAATCTCTCCACCCCAGTTGATCGCCGTCGCAGTTGACGAAAGTGCCTTGAACAGCGCCGACGGCCAGTATCCGACGTCTTCCCCTTGTATCTGTAGCCACCAGTTCCCGCTGGTCGGGTCCTTCATCGATAATTAAAAGTTCCGTATAAGTGGGCGAGACTTTAATTCGAAAACAGTGGAAAAAAAGCGTACTTGTGGCCATCACCTTACCACCAAAGCAATCAAAATCGGGATTTTACGTAGAATCGAAAATGAAGGTAACATCAGAATCGTAAAATCGTAGGATTTTAAGGTACATATGAAAACGAAGTGGGAATAATATTAATAAGGAAAATAATCAATAGTAGAAAAACACATAGCACATACAATGATCATTTTTCAAGGTTGATGTTTCAATTTATTAAGGTTAATGTTGGTAAGTGGTGAATCGACGATGATTAATATGTTGATATGAATTGATGGTGGTCGAGGGTGGTTAGTGTGAGAGAACTAGATGACATTGGTCGAGGAGAAGGAAAAGAGGCGTAGATTTGCAAATCCTCGGGAAAATAAGTAAAATTGACCCAAAGATTTGAATCGTAAAATCGAATGATTTTAAGAATTTAAATCGTGAATAGTGTAGGATTTTAAGGTCCATAGATTTTATAGTGAAATCAAGATCGAAACAGGTAATTAAAATCGTAAAAAAAAATTAGGATTTAAATCGGGATTTTGACTGCTTTGCTTACAACCACAACACTAAAATTTAGCATATAAGCTGGTGAGACTTCAATTCGAAAACAGTGGTAATAAAAAATGTTTGATTCTTGTTACGACCAACAATTCAAATGTGACTCGATAATAACAATATCTCAACATGTGTTAGATATAGATATATATACCTTGTGGACAGTTATCTTGGTCTCGAATTGCTGTCCATTATACTGTGAAATCATGTTTAAGTGCATTCCAAGAGCAATTTTGTTGCTTGTTTGCACAAACCCAGGGCAATCCAAATTGTAGCATCCCGTCGACCTGTAACCATCGCTCTGCACCGCACATTGAATTACTAGCTCAGCGATCATGATCAATTTACAAGCGAAATTGGAATGTTTTGTTTCAATAGTACTTACGGTCCAAAATGTGAAGAGACTCGTGTTGAAGTTATTTGTAACCGAGTTCACCATCCAACCTGCCTCGATGGTATTCAGGTCTGCACCATCACCAGCAATAACCCACATCTGAGCAAGGCTGAACTCTGGATGAAAAGTTACTGGGTTCCACACATTGAATTTCCCAGTAGCTCCATGGTAATTCCCTCCCTCCAAAGTTACTTGAGCATGCTATACACATATTTTTACCAATTAATTAGCGTGATCAATGTTTAATTTGATCGCGAGTAGTGTCAACAAAATCGGTGTAAAAAAAAAAATTTTGTTAACATATTAGAGATAGGCCTACCGTAAGATTGTTGGTGAAAGAAGGATACCTCATGACCCAGCGCATCGACAATGACATAGTCGTCAAGCGAAAAGGCCTTAGGATGTGCCTTTCTATCCTTGGGGTTCACCTTAGATCTTGCAATTGGAATTGTTCCCTCCGGACAATATTTTCCGTTTTTGTGCCAATTTTGGATCAACAACTCCGAGAAATTACTTGAATTCGACGAACTTCTTGTTTCCTCGACTCTAGCGGGATAGGAGCCGGGTTTCATCTATACGAAAAAAGAAAAGTAGACATTGTACAACTAATTAGCATATAGTTTTCGGGACCACGGGGAAGTGGTCACTAAAAACTTGAACTTGTACACATAATTGATTCTATACTAAAAGTTAGGTAGAATGCATTGAGGAGTATAGTCGATTTTGCTAATTACCTGTATAGTGTGATTTGCAAGGAGCGGATGGCTAAATGCTGGCTGCTTGTAAATATCCACGCAATCCACAACTTCACCGTCCTCGTCACTCTTTGGCGACGACCGAGAAAAAGCAAAACAAAACAAAGGATAATAACGATTCATCAGAGAAAAGAGAATGTCAAAATATTGTAATCGGAACCCATCTTCGTGAAACCGTATCGAAATCTAAATCTATAGTCAATTCGGTTAACTAAAATACCTTATCGCTAACTTCCCGATAAAACCTTCGTTACAGCTTCACGATACTTTGTCGGAACACAATTTATAATCAAATTATGACAAAATAGAACCCAAAGAAAAAGAAAGAATTTCTCGCCGACCTTGATGGTTTTAGTTATGCTCTCCGGATTGATCAAGGTTGGAGTTTTCACGGCGCCGGCTATACCCAGAACTACTGCATTGAATAACGACAGCAGCAGTAGAATCTTGTAACGGTTGCAACCAATGACTTGGCCAATTCGAGTGACAGATTCCATGGCAGAATCTTTTCTCCAACAAAAATCTGAAAGGAAAATTGGATTTTTTATTTTTGAAATCAATAAGATTTGTCCTCGTGATGATTTATAATCCAAGCGAGACGCGTCTTAATACGTTTCTGAAAAACCTTATCACCACGGTTTAGTATAGGTTCTTGTAATTCAGACATTTGTTTGCATCGTACCAGAAAGGAATTTGATTAAGTACAATTGCATCTGGCCAACATATGCACATAACAAAATTCTATTTAAAGAATTTCCTTTCTGATTCGCCGCCTATGCCATGTTTGGTGTTGCTTGTCAAAGTTAGAGATGCATTAATCTCTTATCCTTCCTTCTATTCTTCCGTCACATCGACTTCGAGATCTAGTTCACATTTCGTGATCACGTTGTTACGAGATGAGTCGTCGTATCAAAATGGAAATTTCTAGGCTCATATGTTTTTATTACTTTTATTACTTACTTGGTATTTTGGCACTAATTAGGGATATTGGTTAAGAAGGGGACCAGTATTATTGAGCCGGAACATGGACAAGTCAGTCATGATTCTGCTGTCACGACATAGGACTAGGTTGTGGTTTTAGAGGAGACGAAATCACAAAATCGTGTAATTTTAATGTTTTTCATGACAATCGATGGTAATTTTAAGGACGACATTGATCAATCCCCGAAATTTATACAACTTGTATGTACATGGATAAAACACAAACTTATTATTATTCTAAGAAAATATATATCAGCTTCACAAGCTAAAACTCACGAGTCAATAGATAATAGATATACACTTGCTTTCACGAGTCGATAGATATACACTTCCTTCCCTCAACCTTAAAGCTAGGAGAATTATTTTTCACGAGTCAATATATGAATTACGATATATTCAAAATAGTAATGACGGTTCGATAGGGAAAACATCCTGTTGAAGTCTAAATTGAAATGCGATTTTTAGTGCTATTAAACAACTGAATCATGATTAAACCAGGATTTGAGCATGCAAAAAAAAAAATAACATACTGATTTTCTCTAGTACAACCTTCGTTACAGGTTTATACAAGTTGTAGTAACAGCTTATACAAGTTCCAGAAGACAGACACATTCAATATGAGGGGTGTGAGGAAACATGTCCACCGGTTGTATGCTTCTCAATCTATAACATCCCTCTATGTTCTTCTCCTCCTGCAATGAAACATTTCCAGAACATCGTTATATAACACGAGTTCAAGGGTATAAATAAAAATGAAAGAGAGGCGTTGAGGAGGAAGAAGAAAACATACCACACCATGGCACAGATAATCAAGATCACGAGCGCAGGTGGAGGGGTTACACGATACATAGACAATGCGGGGGGCTTTCAACTTGAGCAGAAACTTGATCAGCTTCAAATGCATACCAGGCCGATTTGGATCTACAGAGTTGGTAATAATCACATTAATTCTAAGTGAACTGACAAGTTCAGCAAAACAACTAAATAAACACGAACCTGAAATGACAATGTCAGGCTTTGGGAAGTCAGAGCCGAAGTTTTCACTAATCTTGTTAAGATCGCCTTGGACAAAGGTGGCGTTGCTGATCTTATTCAGCTTCGCATTTCGGTTTGCATCTGATACAGCTTGAGGAACTACTTCGTAGCCATAAACATGTTTTGCTCTAGCAAGACACATAGTAGGTGGTAGGAAAATGTTGATCATCCAAATTGGTGGCTTCTCTAGCTCTATTGTATTATATGAGTAACTGCCAGAGAGAGATATACCTTCTTGCCAATGTGAGACCGATGGTGCCTGTTCCACAGAAGAGGTCGAGAACAATCTCGGAGCCATCTCCTCTAAGCCCAGCACAATCTTCAATCAGTTTATATAGGACCTCTGCCTAAGAAAGTGCAAATTCATTATGAGATCATTGGCGGTCTACAACATTGGACCAACGAATTATGACTCTGAACTTTACCTGTGAAGTGTTAGTTTGGAAGAAAGAGTTGGCAGAAATTTGGAAGGTTAGCCCTCTCAATGTCTCGGTAATGGTAGACCTCCCGTGTAGCGTGTACTCCATCTCACCAACAGATGTGTTGCCAACGGATGTATTTACATTATTCATTATGCTTACCTGAGAGAAAATGGAAACAGAGCTTTTGAGCAAATAAAAGGGTAACAGAGTTGGAACGATAACCAAAAGAGGGCAACATAGCACAACAGAGGACAGAGATCTTCTGAAGTTTCCATACAAACCACTTCTGGAATAGCTGAAATCTTTTCAACCAGGGGCTTCAGCAGGTCTGGCTTGTAAGAAGAAGTCACAAAGTTAACCATAAGCTCAAGAGAGTCAGTTCCTGCAGTCCTGAAACATAAGATATCGCAACTGAACTTCCGTATGGGCATCTCTAAAATAATGACTATAAGGACTTCTAAAAGTCATAACAAGCTGAACTTAATTAAGAAAAGGTCTTCAAGTGCTCACTTCAAGAGAAGTTGAAAGAGAATGTGAAGTATTATACTCAGGATACACGGACGCGAAGTATAGCCTACTGAATTGCCTAGATCCCTACAATGGGATAGTGATTGGGACAACTTGTCCAACTGCTCTATCCAAAGGAAGTTTCGGTTATATATTACATTTATACTAGCAAGTTGAGCATTGAGGCTAGCTGTAGGCAATCCACTAGGAGTCAGATTACCTTCCAGTTCTGAGCATAAGATGCTTAAGAAATCCTTTATGAGAGTGAACATCGTAAGGACTAAGAGCTAACTGTGGATCTCTCCAGCAATCTTGAATGGCTGCCAGGACCTATATGTCAAAAATACAAAGCAGAGAAGATATAACATAACTGTTCCACTCGTTATCATATAGCACAAAGGAAGGCAAGTTGTTGTTTCTCTTTCTTTTTCCTTGAGATAAGGAAGGTGGATGCGTAACGTTGTGTATATACAAGGAAAAAACTACGAAAGTGCACCTCGTGTTCATGTTGATTTAAGTTTTCTCATGACTTGTGCTCTGATTGACACTCAACGAAAGGCAAGTTAATCATAGTACTCTAGTTCAATGGCGACTAAGACTTTCGCTTACAAAGATAGCGCAAGACCAAATTCCAAAGTGAAGCACAAGGTTGAACGTCTTGAAGAACACTCAACATAAATCTAATGGTATGTTCTCAAACTCCCCCCCCCCCCCCCCCCCCCCCCCCCCCCCCCCCCCCCCACCCCCCCAAATTGAAGCCCAACATTTTAGAAAATCAAGTTCTATTATAAGCTACATCACAATAGAATTGGCACAGTAAAGGCAGCCCCTATTGATCAACATGTAAAGCAAACAAAGAGCATCTACAGATAAAGATGCATTGAAAATAACATATATGTAACTAGGTATTCATGAATTTTAGCAGTGCTAAGAGCTAATAAGGTAATATGCATACCAAATTTGCTGGTTCGCTTTGTAACAAGCACTTTTCAACGTGCAGAACTTTATCAAAAAAGCCAGGAGCATGCAGCCCCAAGGCATAGTTGTCGCTGCCTTCTTGTTTCTCTCCTAACAACTCTTTTGGTAGCCATTTCCATGCACCAAAAGAGAACTCCATCTGCCAAACAACTCAAGAAAAGTAAATTAGGCAGCAGCTACTAATCCTTCAGGAATGTTGAAGATTACATAATAAAGAACTATTTCTAGAATGATTAAGCATCACCAATTCATATGGATTCTTCACTGACCTTATTTCTATAATGAAACTGAATATCACAAGGAACAATGGACTTCATTATGCTAGAAGATCCTGAAATTTCATCAGAAAACCTCCCAACGTGTATCATGAGCTCGCGAACTTGCTGCTCCTTAGCTCTAAGCTGAGCTTCGTATGTCAGGTTCTGTGTTTTACAGCCTCCACAATAAGCAGCATACTCACAAGGGGCTTCAACACTATCCCAATGAGATGATATAGTCTCCACCTTCGTAACCTGCATTTAGGATAAATGATACAACTGCATGTACAAAACAAGAAAAGGTTGCAATTTGGAACTACCAGCAATTCGTACACTATAACAGGCAGCTCCACTAGTTAGTGTGACCCTATCATACCATGTTTTCTCATTTCTTCGTATAAAAGCCATGGATAACTAACTAACCTGTGCGTAGCTTCCCTTTTTGCGAGTAACCCTTCCAATGAATCTCTCGCCAGGGAGAGCACGATCACACATTACGACAAACCCGGTCTCCTCAACTTTGCACACTCCAATGCCCTTGAAAGCCAGAGACTCGCACACCAACTCCAGAGTCTCCCCTCTCTTAGGAAAATAAGAAGAGCTACTACTCTTTGCTATATCATCGTCATTGATGGACAACTCAGCTAGCGTCTTGCTGCTTCCCTCTCGCTGCTCCTGTGGGTAAGACAGAGATGCCACGAGGGAACAGAGGTTTCGTTGATGTTTACGGAATCTGCGGAGTAATAATGGCCCGCCGCCGATACTTAGTTGCCTGAAACCATGGGTTGGTACTATAGTAGCCGCCATGGCCAGAGAACACGCTGGCCGGCGCCTACGTTTGGGGAGGAGGATTTCTTAAACCACTGAGCAAATTAGCAATGGCGGTTCTGGGTTTTGGGATAGAGGATAGTTCGGGCAATTCTCGTTTTAGGCGTGAAGCGAAAGGAAACGACGCCGTTTAGTGGGGAAAAAGAGGCCATTCATTCTAAAACCCTTCTGCTGGGGAAGTTGGGAAAAAGCAGCAAACTTGTTTCATGAGCGGTTTCCCAAGTTCACGACTTTCGTCTCAATCTCTGTCGTAAAACCAGGGATCAAATCAGCCAGGGATTCCCGCGTAAAACCCAGGTCTTCATCTGCTTGCTTGCTTGCTTCTTCTTCATTTACTTCCCCTTTTCGATTGATCAAGTGTATATCTTTCATCTTCGACTCCTCAATCTCGTAAAGCCAATGGGGTTGATACTAAATAGTAGTTTGCAGTCAGCAATGAGCCATCCTATATTTTATTGGTTATGTATTGGTTCAGGAACTGGGTTGCTTTGAGATATTCATTTGATGGGATTGCTTATTCGCTTGCTTCGTTTTGCAGTGCGTCTTACTGGTTTTTTAACGGAAGAGTGAAGGATATTAGTTAGTGAACTTTGATCTGGTAGGAAGTTCAGTAGTGGAGTAATGAAATTATATAAGGCAGCACGCTTGAGCTTTCTGCTAGTGTCTAGGATAATGTAAATTAGGTTTGTTTGTAAATTGAGTCCCTTAGTTTCTTATCTTCTATATCAGTGAGACCATCTCCCAAGTAGATTTTAGCCAGTTGTTTTCAGGAGTTCAAGAAAGGGATTTTGCTCTGCATCAGTCTGAAGTAGGGATCTAATAACCATCAAGAGCCAATGGAGGAAGGCAACACGATTGCCAAGAGAGCTGGTTCTCGTCTTTGTTGTCTTTGCAATGAAAGAAAGCCTGCTCTTAAAAGACCTAAGACGCTAGAACAGGTAGAATGTGGTCTGCATTTGTATCTTAAGTTTGTTCCAGTTTTGCAACAATGAGTTTATCTTCTTCTATGATGTTTGTGTGTAAAAGATATGCAGGGACTGTTTCTATAATGTATTTGAGGAAGAAATACACCAAGTAATAGTGGGAAACCATCTATTTAAGGACGGAGAGCGTGTTGCTATTGGTGCTTCCGGTGGAAAAGGTGCTTCTTCTGTTTCTTGTTTGCTGCAGTGTGGAGATTTCTATTTATCCAGTGTATGATGGTTTGCATCTCATAATGTTGATCTCATCTCGTTTTTCTCTTTGTAGACTCCACAGTTCTCGCCTATGTAATGTCGGAACTAAATCGCAGGCATAATTATGGCTTAGATTTGTTCCTCTTGTCAGTTGATGAAGGCATCACAGGGTATAGGGACGACTCTCTTGAGACTGTCAAAAGAAATGAAGTCCAGGTTAGAGAGGATAATTTCAGCCTATGCATGGAGTTAGTTGTTTTTTGTTTTTCCCATGTTGGCTTTCTCAGAGTCCTGTTCTGATTGGTATTGCAGTATGGTCTACCATTAAAGATAGTCTCGTACAAGGATTTATATGGATGGACAATGGATGAGATAGTGAAGGTTATTGGTCTGAAGAATAACTGCACATTTTGTGGTGTTTTCCGGCGTCAGGTATAAACAATAAGAAATATACCATTCAACCACTCTTTTTTCTTACAACTGTTTTCTTCATTGGTCGACATGAAGCTTTTTAAGTTATGATGTTAAAGCACGTCGCTTTTTTGGGGGGGCTAAGTAATTAATCATGTCACTATAGGCACTTGATCGAGGAGCGGCATATCTAAAAGTAGACAAACTTGTAACCGGCCATAATGCAGATGATATTGCTGAGACAGTGCTTCTGAACATACTACGCGGTGACGTTGCTAGGTAAGTATGCAAAGAAGTTAATGGCCCTTTTTTCTTTACATTCATCAGTTTTCTTCTACTAAAGAAGCATGCATCCACCTTGTAGATTGAGTAGATGCACTTCAATCACTACAGGGGAAGATGGACCGATTCCAAGATGCAAGCCATTTAAGTACACTTACGAGAAGGAGATTGTCATATATCCTTGCAGCTAAGATGCTATGTTATGTGAATATCTCAACTTTTGTTGCTTGCTTCCTGTTGGTTAGCAATTTTGTCACCGAATTAGCTTATACGTATGACATTGGACACTTAGCTTGGTCTTGAGACAAAAAAAGCACTAAATTTGTTGTATCGAATCATTGTTAGTACTTTTGTTTCCTCCATCAGTTTTTGCTGTTGTACTACTTATGTAGCAGCCCCTGCACTCCAATAGAAAGGGTCAGTAACAATTCTATTAAAAACTAATGGAAGTAGGACAGGGTAAACAAAAATGCTAATGCTGACTTATTAGGCTGTGTTTGATCTTTAGGTCACTGCCCAATAGGATATGTGCAGGCAAGTGTAGTGACCCTATTTGTACTTATTCATGCTTGCTGCTGTATTGTGTACTGGAAGTGTCATTCTAATGCTGACTTATCATAGCGAGTTTGATCTTTAGGTCACTGCCCAATAGGATATGTGCAGGCAAGTTTAGTGACCCTATGTCCCTACTTGTTCTTATTTGTGCTTGCTACTGTATTTTGTACTGGAAGTGTCAATTGTGATTGCAAAATCTTTAACCAGAACCACACGTATGCTTATTTCAAGAAGCTGGACTACTTCTCTACCGAATGTATGCTTCATCTTCCTAGACCTAGTTACTCTTCCTTATAGAGCTTGGTGATTTCATCCATGATTCTGACTACCAGAGCTACTCATAATGTTCAGGCATTTACTCTCCCAATGCTTATCGGGGTTTTGCTCGTGAGTTCATCAAGGACTTGGAAAGAATGAGGTAGTTGTTTTTTCAGTCCATCCTCCATGTTCATGCAGTGTCTATATCCAACTAAGCCACTTACTAGTTACTATGCAGACCTAGGGCCATAGTCGATATCATCAAGTCTGGAGAGAACTTCAGAATCTCGACTTCCACGAAAATGCCTGAGCAGGGGACTTGTGAAAGATGTGGTTATATATCAAGCCAGGTATAAACACAACTATTTTGCTTTCTCATGCACCAACTTCAAGTTTTAGTTGTGCGTTTATAAACAGCATGTAAATTGTGCTTGATGCGCAGAAATGGTGCAAAGCCTGTGTTCTGCTCGAGGGACTGAACCGTGGTCTACCAAAGCTGGGAATTGGGCGAAGTCGGTGCCTGGAGAATAGTAATGACAACAGGAAAGAGGCGAAGCGAAATGACGGTGATAGGATTATTGAGAGCAAGCAATGTGGCAGCTTGGACTTCTGATCCAGGCAGTCAAGCTGAGCTACCAATTTGCTGAATGCTAATTTAGTTGGGCACATGACATGTATGTATCTGTATCTCCAGCCTCTGCAGCTACTGATGCATTGATTGATGGTGGTCATGCTTCATTCTACAATCCCAACATTACACTTGTCTTACTTAAATGGACTAGTTTGGTAAGTCTAGACGTAGGAGAGTTATGGTTGACGATATGATATAGCAAAATTGAGATTAGAAATATTGTTCCACGCTATATTGGGTCAGCTGACGGCGCCTAATAGGCTGGCTGGTGCAAAGTTGGAAACAAAGAAGCAGAATTCTAAGGCTGGTCCTGGACCTGCCAGACTTATTTCGGTCCTTTCTTGTTCACTTCTTAGGTCACCCAATTCGGCAATGGGCCTCCACCGCTCCCGCGCCGGAGCGTGAAAACGCGCTTTCTCCATAGAACGGGCATAATTCGCGAATTATTTGTCAATGGAGCGCGAATTATGTTTGATAATTCATGAATCCTCTAATTATCAGACTTTTACTACATGCAAGAGAAACAACTCTCGTTCTTGGCTGGTCGAAAGTTCTATTGCCCTCCGTCGGCGTGAATCCAAGGGTCACCAGCGCAGTCGTTGTAACAATCGCTCTCCACCATTGTGAATCGAAGGTCGGCAACGCAGTTATTGTTTATATTGGTCTTCCCCACCGTGAATCGACGGTCACCAACCTAGAGTTTGTTTCTTCCTCAAATCGTAAAAAGTAAAGGGCTTTAACTTGCTGATCTCTGCAGGGTCGGAGAGGGGAAAGAGTTCGAAGGTCAAGTTTGTGGATTCACTGTTCTATTTTGAGATTTGAGAGAGAAAATTGTGCATGCATTGAGAAGAAAGTTATGGAAGAAGAAGAAAAACAGAGCTTTGTCTTGCTCTTCTGGATTGGAGAGAAGGTAAAGTGAGAGTGGGAAGAGAGACAGTGGAGGGAGATAGATATTAATCTATGTATATTGGTGGTGTGGGCGGACAGAGGAAGTCAGATAAAAGAAGAAAAATAAAATAAGTTTTATTAGAGGTAAATGATTAGTTTTTCCAAAATATATAATTTATTAGTTATATTATTAACACATCAAAATTTGTAAAAAAGTTCACCCTGTTTTTATCATTATTGTGTTCTATATATATTTTACTAATTATTTAGATACTATTTTGGCACTAATTACAATGTAAATGTATAAAAAAAAATAATTAAAATTAATATAATAATAACGCTCTCATCACGCTCTCTATCTTGAATTCTTGTAATATGGACGCTCTCACGCTCTCGCTCCCGCTCTTGCTCTCGCTCTACGAACTAGTTACCTAATTCACTTCACATTTCTTTCTTCTCCTCTTTTACTTCTTGATTCGTTTATGATTTTTTTTTTCCCGGAAAAACTTCTAATTAGAGTGGTTAGATCGAGTATGTGAGGGAGTTATTTGTCTGTTATTTGGGTCAAATAACTTACTTGGATACAGATAATTCATTTGTCAGTAAATACTAAATAAATTCTAATAAGTCATTTTACCACTCTGTTTTTGTCAAATATAACATGTAAATACTATATTTGCACGATTTTACCCAATGAAATACTTTAATCCAATTACCACTTAAATATCCCATGAACAATTAATAAGTTATTTAACTTTACAGATAAAACATTGACAATTAATCCATGCAAAGACTACCTGATTTTTTTACTGGCTTCTGATTAGTTTTCCATGGTACTCTTACGGACATATTTGATGGATGGATTTCTCTCTTTTAGTTTTTTGGCTTACTCTTTTGTCCTGGACAACTTGTATTAGTTGACATTTTTTTTATTAGTTGACATTTCTAGTTTCACGACAAATGACAACATTAGAAAAAGATTTTTTTTTTCAAACATAAAAGACTTACTAAAAAAATTCTCAATTTTCAAAATAAACAAATTTTGTATGTTTCGTTCCTTTGTCTAGCTATCTAGGTTCCAATTCATTAGAGACAGAAGTGAACAACCCGACATCGAGGCAACTGAAGCAAACCAATCTCGACCGGTCTGGATTGCGGGAGAGAGGAGTCAATCGCCTAGATCGTTGATGACACCTGTGATCTTACTTCCAAACATCGATGTTGTGTCCAGCTATCTACGAATCCATGGGGGTCAACCTTGATGGAGGAGTGTGTCATTTCTCGGGGAGTAAAAAATATTTTTACAGGGTCTATCAAGGTGCTTACGATGCCTACGTGTTTTTCCTTTTATGATTTGTTGTTTGGTAAATTGGTTGTACATTTAGTTTCTGTTGTGATTTCTAATCGTGAATCATTGATGGGACGCTATTATCCCAATAATATCTTAGTATTTTAACCATGATTGAGCCGTTGAATTGAATTAAAATTCTGAGATTTTCACTAAGTCCGACCTTTAAAGATCATTTATTTAAATTGGTTGTAAGTTTGGTTACTTAATTGTCACGTCATCTATTTAACATTTAAAAATCATAATTGACTGCTACCAAAGAAGGATTTAAAATAATCGAATGATCCTTGATCAACAATGAAATGATAGTTTAAAGTCAGCGACTAATATTAAGACAAAAAAATTCAATAAATACAAACGTAAAAAAAGTGATAAACTGAATAATCAATCTTGTCATTTGACCGGTATATAAAAAAAATTAATGCTTAGTGCCAAATAATTTCACAAGTTAATTGGTACTCCTCTCCTCTAATCCATTTTCGATGCACAAGTCAATTAGTAAAGTAGCCATCACATGGTGCAGCTAGAAATCTAAATAAGGGCAAATGAGATTATTTTTTAATCATGATAATTGAGAAGGGGCTAAGACCTTACCAAATGGTCTATTTAGTAAATTATACCAAATGGGGTCCATGATAAGTACCTGGGGTTGTCTACGCTTATTGCTCGTTCTAAGTTGGCTACGTTCAGGTATTTGGAGGAGAAACTGCTAGAACGTCTTCAGGGGTGGAAGCAGAGGACCTTATCGTGGACTGCTAAAGAAACTTTGATTAAGTCAGTTGCTTTGGCACTACCATTGCATGTGATGTCTTGTTTTAAGCTCCCTCTCTCCCTCTGTCGACTCTTAGATAGGCATGTGGCCCGGTTTTGGTGGGGGGATGCTGAGGATCACTTTCTCATTAGATGGGTGTCTTGGCGGAAATTGTGCCGCAGTAAACATGATGGTGGTTTGGGGTTTCGTCGCTTCGAGCAATTTAATCAGGCTTTGCTTGCTAAGATTGGGTGGCGTATCCTTATGGATACCCAATCCCTTTTGGCGCAGGTTTACAAAGGCAAGTATTTCCCCACTGGGTCTTTTCTTGAGGCTTTGGCTAGATCTCGACCCTCTTGGGGCTGGCAAAGCATCTTATTTGGTAGACAGTTATTGGTGAAGGGGCTGCGGTGGCAAATTGGGAATGGCCGATCAGTATCCTTACTGAACTCTAATTGGATCCCTCTGCTCCAGAATGACCCCCCTAGTTATAATCCTCGGGTTTTGCCAGGGGGGGGGGGCACCTGTTGCGGAGGTCATATGTCCAGGGGAGTGGTGTTGGGTTGTTGACAAGTTGTGCTAGTGGTTTGACCCAGCGACCTGTGAGGCTATAAAGGCTAAGGCTATTCCCCTTCCGGGGCGGAATGTAGAGGACAGGTTACTCTAGCATGCGACTGTGGATGGGGTCTTTACGGTTAAGTCTGCTACCACTTGGCGGTCGAGATTGACAGGAGACGCGGGGGGGGGGGGGGGGGGGGGGGGGGGGGGGGATCCACGGTTGGGTTGATGGGTAAGCCCTCCTGGGTTCGTTTGTGGGACGCTAATATCCCTCCAAAGCTTAAAGTCTTTGTCTGGCAGATCTTCAATCGCATATTGCCTACTACGGAGGCCCTTATTGAGAAACAGGTCCCGGTGCTTCCCAGGTGTCCGGTGTGCTGGGCAGTGAAGAAACATTGGAGCATTTATTTTTAGAGTGCCCAGTTGCTCGGGCCCTTTGGGATTATTCTGGGATGACGTACTTAGGGGAGGGGCTCCCCCGCCATACATTCCCTTTGTTTCTGAAAAGATTAATGGCTTTGATTCCCCAGCCTCCTCTGTCTATGGCTATGGTTGATGTCCTTTGGCGGATATGGCGGTCGCGGAACTGGGTGGTCTTTGAAGGCAAGCAGTTTGGGTTCCCGGCCTTGATGTGTCAGTTTAATCAACAGTAAGAGGAGTGGGTCCGGCTCCCAGTAGATACAAGCCCAAGAATGGCTCCCCTTGCAGCTGTACCCTCTAAGTCGAACTACCTGGGTCTTGTTGGGGGGACAGGGTTGTGTGTATGTGGGATGGGGCGGTTCGGAGGGGATCTCACTCGGCTGGTGGGGTGGTTCTTTTTACTCCTACAAGAGATGTTTGGCTGGTGAAAGGGGTTCATTTTCCTGGCATGGATGATCCGATGGGGGTGGAATTGCTTGTCCTCCGGGAGGCTGTTTTGTGGTGCCTGGAGCTCGGCCTTTCGGAGGTTCAATTTGAAGGTGATGCCAAGGTTATTATTGATAAAATCAATCGAGCGGATGCTAGAGACAACCGGGTCGGAGCTGTTTTGGAGGAACTTCAACAATTTTTTCACAGCTCTACTGGGTTTAGGGTTCGATTTGTAGGTCGGAGTAGTAATAGGGTAGCCCATTCGGTGGCTCGTAAAGCCCTCTCTTTGTACCCGACTATGAGTCGTTCTTTTGATTTCCTGGCCTGGCTTTCTTCCAGAATGTAATTATCTATTTTTTGGATCAATATATGATCATCTTTTATAATAAAAAAATTACATGTATTCCAAAGTTGAGTGGGCATATAGTCCCTCCTGCTGCCACTGATCACATGTGGTACTTAACAAATTTTCTTCTTTGATTTGTAATTAGCAACACAACCCATAGAAGAAAATTCAAAGGTCAACAGCTCTGTACCATTTCCTTTCCTGTCAAAAAACCTCTCTGTCTTGAACTTTCAAGAACTCTGAAATGTTGTACCTCGCAAACCCGAAGGCCGAAGGGGATTCTTCCTCCTCTAATCCTGAACAAACTACAGCAGAAGCATAATTTGGCTGCCTAGGTTTTTCCACCGTTAGGCTGCCTGTTTTGTCCCACATGCCAACCCAGCCACTCCCTCGCTTCTCTTGTTGTGTCGTGTGCTTTTATTATATTCTTAAATTCGTTTCGTTGATTTTTGAAATTCCACTGCTTCCCCTTTCTTTCTTTCTTTCTTTACAGTTCAGCCATTGCCATCAAAGCTAGCTAGCAGCTTCCCCATATATATACAGAACACAACCCACATCAACACCCAGAACAGAGCACAACCCAGAAGCCTCTCTCTTTCTCAAACCCATCTGTTATTGATTGAGCTCCAAGGCAATTAAGTAAAGCTCCCTACTTTCTGGAACGATTTGGTTATCCTTTTTCTCGATCCCATTCACGGGAAGCTTCCTTCTATCTCAACTCAAGCTACAAGGATCTAGTTCAAAGCTAAAGCTACTGGCTTTTTACTTCTTACCATTGTCAGCAGAATCACCCTTTTCCTATCTTCTTTCTCTGTTTCTCTTACCGGGTTGCTGGTTAATAGAAGGGATGCTGGTGGGTGTTTTCTTCTTAGTTGACAAGTGTCTTGGAGAGGGGAAGGGAATGTAAGGTTTTGATTTGTTTGTGAGGGGATATATCTTCTCGTTTTCCTAAGAGGGATTCCGATTTTGTTGGTACCCTTTTGGTGAAGTGCTTCTTACTTTAACTGGGTTATCTTTGTTGGATCTCTTTATTTGAGCTCCGATTTGCTTGAGAGACAATTTTGCCAGGTTTGAGACAAGGTTTATCTAACGCATACAAGCTGTTCGATCCTTTGCCTGACTGAAGGATCGAACATGGCAATGGAAGACGGTAAGGATCACGGGAGACTTAATCCAACTACTAGGCCCTTGCCATTGAGACTCCTCCAGTTTCTCGTGCTCTTTTTGGCATTTGGGCTTGGGATTTCAGTTCTCACCATGTTCATGACTCAGTATTTCGGAGCTCAATCTTTACCTGCTGCTATTGCAAGGCAAAAAGTTGTGGTGCCATCTCCTTTAGGTTTGCCTAGCCTCAGAGAAGAAACGCCGTATTCACTAGAGAGGTGGATTAGGCCTCCAGTGAATTTGATGCATAGGATGAATGACAGCGAGTTGTTGTGGCGTGCTTCCTTCGTTCCCCGAATCAAAGAGTATCCTTTCAAGAGGGTGCCAAAGATTGCGTTCATGTTCTTGACAAAGGGCCCATTGCCCTTGGCGCCTCTTTGGGAGAAGTTTTTCAATGGGCAGGAAGGTCTTTATTCTATCTATGTGCATGCCTTGCCACATTATGTGTCCAACTTCTCGACATCATCAGTGTTCTACAAGAGACAAATCCCAAGTCAGGTAAACTTCTGTTCCTCTTCTTTTTTCATATGTTTGATGTGATTTGGTGCAATGATGGAGTTGCAGACATACGAGTTAATCTCTTGTAGTCATAGTTTTGAACTATTTTCTTATAACTGTTAGCTATCATGATTCTGTAATTTAGATCTTTTTGGATAATAAGTTGGATTAAGTTTCAGGGCTGGTATTAGAAAATAAAGGTTTCCAGTATGGTGTTTAGCATTCCCATGTTGCAAGCAAGATAACTTGTTTGATTTCATCCCCAAATGGATTCTTAGTCTGTTAGAACCCTATGCATGGCTGTAGCCATATAAGTTGGGAACTTAGATTTGCTATCCATTTGTCCGTACTTCAGAGAAAGGAAATCGATATACTGTTTCGTAAGGAACCATGTCGACCAAAGAACTCTGAAGCTAGCGCAGAAGTTTGGTTTCAGGAATTGTTTGCATACCCATATTATATGCGTGCTTTTGCTTCAGAGAGTAACTGCAGCCCTGATTTTCAGATCTCAAGTATTTTCTAAGTCCCTGGATGAAGCAAGTTTAGATGTTTCCTTAGAAGAGTTGCTTCTCAAGTGAAGTGATCATTAACATTATTAAAAGTTCATGCTATCAAATTGCTCTCTGTTGTTAATGGTCATTCCCTATGGAGACCATGGAAATGGTGTAGTGATTCAGTTTTACTTCGTAGTTCCGGTTAGGGGGTCTACAACAATCTGGTTCAAATCAACACGGGCCAAATATAGTAGATACTCTAAAAACAAGGGAAACAGCAAACCAAATGAGTAGGAACGATATGATTCTATTCTTAATTTTTTCTTTATTTTTTATCTAATCCGATGCCCGTTTCAATATGATTCTGAACCAGACCGGACCATGCTTCATTAGTTCAGTCCAAATTTTGATGAACTCATCGCTTTTGTTTCATTACAGGCAGTAGAGTGGGGTAGAATGAGCATGTGTGAAGCTGAGAGAAGGCTCCTAGCAAATGCCCTGCTTGATATCTCCAACGAGTGGTTCGTCCTAGTATCCGAGGCATGCATCCCTCTCCAAAACTTCAGCATCGTATATCGCTACATATCTAGATCACGGTACAGCTTCATGGGCTCAGTCGACGAGCAAGGTCAATATGGGAGAGGACGCTACAACCCTAACATGGAGCCCGAGGTGACGCTCGACCAATGGCGTAAAGGTTCTCAATGGTTCGAGGTGAACCGCAAGCTCGCCCTCCACATAGTATCAGACACCAAGTACTACCCCAAGTTCAGAGACTTCTGTCGGCCAGCTTGTTATGCCGACGAGCATTACTACCCTACGATGCTGGGTATCGTTGTGCCACACCTGTTGGCCAACAGGACGCTGACTTGGACGGACTGGTCACGAGGCGGACCCCATCCAGCTACATTCGGGAAGTCCGACATCACCGAGGACTTCCTCAGGAAACGGTTTGAAGCACAGCAACAGCCATGTCTATATAACACCCAGCCAACGACTTTGTGCTTTCTTTTTGCCAGGAAGTTTGCTCCAAGTGCTTTGGAACCTCTGTTGAACTTGTCATTCAAAGTTTTTGGTTACTGATGATACAAGAGTCCTGTGGTTAGTTTAGTTATCAGACCAGCCTATATGAACTATTCTAATTATAGAGAACTAAACCGAATTATGCTTTTGGATTTTGGGGCTTATAGGGGTTTTCCTCTGTTCCTTGGTGATGTTATAGCGAAGTCACTGTATAGAATTGGTGTACCTCTGCCCCAAAGTGAGGTGCTTACATACAACTTATTAGTTTAGAACAGATTTATTATCTTCCATCTGCAGGATTTCTGTTTTGACCTTTGAACAGACTATTCTCGGGTTCATCTGCAGGTTCTGCTTTTTAACATAATATTTGTGTTAAGTACTTCTTAAAATATCATATTCGTGGTAATAACTTTTAAGATTGTCGTGTTATGATAATTTGTCGTTGATCCAAACATTAATCCAATCCAAAACTTATCCAAATATCAATTAGTACTGGTCAATCCAAAACCTGGCTCAGAAGAAGAAACCAGGAACAGACACAAGTCCTTAATGAACTGTGATATCATATTATCATATGCATGCATATGCACAATTAGATTGTTCAGATAGAAAATGAACTATAATAATTAATATGTATGGATCAATTCAAATAAAGTTCAATCCAAATCTCAATGGAGTTGAATTTTCCCAATAAATGAGCTCACGGAAAGAGATGGAAAGAAATTTGCCTTTTAAACAATCCAAGGAAGAATTTTAACAGTTGGAACACAAAGAAAGAATTCACTGTGTTGATTGGCATGAAGCAACACAAAAAAACGAAAAATGCATTAGAAAGAAAGAAGAGTTGCACAAACACAAAGTGTCTTCGACCTAGCCCTCATTTCCCCTTCATCATTTCCGTCAGGAACAGATCCAGACCAAACGGATCAGTCTCTTTTCCTTCCTTATCATATTCTACCGGCCTGTCTCTGGGTCGAGCCCTCTCCGATTTTCCTGTAAACGCCTTGCCCTTTTTGAACCTCTTGGTCTTCATAATATGCTCCAATTTTCCATCTGCAACCCCATTCATGTCAACATCCATGTACTGGTCAGTAAACAGCCCTTTGTTTATACACATTGTACTGGTCATCCGTGGCAAACCTGGAATCCATTCCCTTGTCTTGGTTGAACAGCCTCTGATCATACATGACCTCCCCTCCTCCTAAGCCTTTCCCTCTTTCCACATTAGCAACGCCGATAGCAACTTTCTCGCTGATGTCACGGTCTCCGTCTCTCGTGATCTTGTTCTTCTTCCTCGTCGCAACATCTTTCACCTCGAGCCTTCTTCTCTCCCTTCGCCATTCCTCTCGAATCTTGTCTCGTTTCAGCTTCTCTTCCTTCTGCTCTTTTGAAACCTCATTAGGTGGTGGCACTGGAACGTCCATTTCCCTCTCTGAAGCTGCCCTGCAATGTGGGGCTACTGTCCCGGCTCTCTCTGCTCTAGCCTTCTGAGCTAAGGTCCGAAGTTCCTGCTCTTTCCTTCTCCTTCATCATTATTTCCTTTTGAACTTTCGATCTCATCTCAACTCCTTCCCTAGCCATCTGCTCAGCAACGTATAACGACTCGGAAACTTTTGCAAAATTATCGCTGATCTGGACACCCAACAAGTCTCTCCCATCCACAGCCATGCGCTTATCGAGTGGGATAGTATAGCCCTTGGGGTTCTTCCAATTTGAGATACAAGGTGGAACTTGCCAGTCCTGTTGATCTTTGACCGTCACCGGTCTAGGAGGGGAATGGATCACTGGAACTGGTGGAGAGCCAGAACCTCTTGGAAACTTCTTGCGCTTGGACCTCGGTGGCTCGAGTGGGTCGACAGGATGATTCGCCATTCTGACAATCCTTTCGTTTGCACCGGAATTGAATGATGCTTCATAAGACTGAGATAGACTGTATGTGAAGTAAGTCGGGTCAGAGGAATGTTGGGGAACATTTTTGGGATGTGCTGCACTCAATTTCACATTCAATGTTTTCTCGAGAGCAGCTTTCGTTTCCCCGGTAGTCTGCTCGATTTCTTTCTGCATCTCGATCTCATCGTCGTGGAATTCTTCTTCTTCTTCATCCTCGCCCTTCAAAATCTTGGGAATGATATCCTCAAGCTGTGAGTAAACAATCTTCTTCAAGTTCTCGTCCTGTCTCGCAATGGCATCATGCATGACATTGGCATGAGCATCAACAGTGACCGATACAATTTTGGACCTGGGTCTGGCAGCAGACAGGTTTCTGTACATATCAAGTGGATACTGAGCAATGTGAATCTCAGGGAAAGCACCTCCATCCCCGAAATCGGCCAATTTTCGGGGCACAAAACCTTCACGATGCAAGTAAGGAGGGAAAACAACTGTACCTTTTGCCATGACTGGAGGTGGAATCTCCTTCAATGGATTTGTCGCCATCACCGTCAACGAGGGGCGCTACCTACTTCAAATCGCAAAAGAAAGAAACCTCCATCAGATTGGAACAAACTCGGCATATCTGATTGCAAATCCAGCAGCAGAAGACAATCGATTCTTCCCACAGACAATTCAACTTCGCGATAACAAAATAACGACTTCTCAACCGAAAACAAAAACAAACAAACAAAAAATCTTACGAAATTAGGGCTAGCGTTTATTTAAAAAGAAGGAACAAGAAGAGGATCAAGAATAACCTCATGCAAATTCCGTAGCTCCGGCGCTTTTCAGTGGCTTAGAAGACGGCAAGGACGAGAGAAATCAAGAAAGACAGACGCAATCTAACAGTAACGGCGATCTGCGGTAACCTTTCCGGCGAGATGGTGTGGATTTTGGAGATTGAATGGCTGAGGAGTTCTTCCCGTATTTATGTTCTCGTGGAAAACGCCTTGCCATGTTTGGTTTTCCTTCCTGCGCAAGGAAATTTCAGTGAAACAATATGATATTGGGCCCGGCATGGAAAAATAGACCATTGGGCTGACTACCCAAAAATAAAAAAACACTAGAGCCCATACTCGTGGGCCCACGACCAACGAGGACTCGTCGTCAATCCATTATATAATCTGCTGACAGAAAGAAAAGCGGAATCAACCAACCGCCTCTGGACTCGTTTCCGTATTCATGTCGGCGGTCACTGATCGTCCTCCCCAGAAAACCTCGACGGTAAGCCATCCGGCAACCACATTGTTCCATCGTCGTCCCGCTAAATTTTTTGGTGCCTAGTTATGTTTTCTTGTAATATGCGAAGGGTTTTGCTTGTGCTTGGCTGTTGCTCTCGGAAGTTGGGGACCTTGACGCGCGGAATTTTTTTGGAGGGAGAAACAGGAAAATCCTTTTCACCTACTTAGATTTACTTCCATAGGGTGAATTTGTACCTTGCATCCAGAAGCGCTCTCCTTTCAAGAGCTAGATTGAATTTGGCGTTTGTGCATTCCTGTTTTAACTGATCGTTACGTGACCAGGTTTTTGTTGAACTGGGCAGTTAGGGTTTGAGGGGTTATCAGCTAGGTATTCTGTAAGTGATTTGGAAGTTTCAGTGCTTTGTTGAAGGTTTAGATTATTGTTCATGATGTTTGGCATGCCAATTTTGTTTTTGTATTTTGGTTTCTTCTGTGTGTGTGTGTGTGTTTTTTGGGTATATTATAGGGTAGTTTGTCAGTTTTATGAGACTACAAGAATTCCGATAATGCATGAATTACTTTGGTCTGGACGATTCTCACTGGGAATTTCAGACTATTGCATTTCAAGGTTCCTTTTGCGATTTAGTTTAAAGTAGGATGTGGAGTCTGCTGACAGTGCATTTCAGATTTTGATACTGATTTCGTTCTTTGTTTGAATTATTCCTTTTCCTATATGAATCGGTGGATTTTTGTATGACATGAAGGGTCCTTGTCACTTTAAGCTTGAGGAAAGGCAGCTTTGCTTTGGATATGTATGCTGAACTTGCCACAGAAGCACCCAGCAGTAAGAGAAAGCAGAAGAGGAAAATCTCTTACCAGGTTGACAAGTTGAAAAGAAAAACATAGAAGGAAAGACAAGAAGATGAAGGAACGTCCAGTTGATTTGATCTCCCAGCTACCTGATCATATTATCCATCAAATCTTATCTTTCCTGCGTTGCAAGAAAGATGTAGCACGAACTAGTGTATTATCCAGGAGATGGAAGGACATCTGGGCTTCGTTCTTAATTCTTGATTTTGATCAGCGCAACTTCCAGATGATGTCATCCCGCAAGGAGACTGGGAGCGCAGAAGCAGAAACCAAGAAGAAAAAAGAGATCTTTAGGTCTTTCGTGAGTAACACTCTGCAGAGACGTATCGAGCAAGGATCTAGCATACGGAAAATATCTTTCCGCTTGACCTCTTTTGATGGGGACATGGCTACTGATATCAACAAATGGATAAAGTCTGCTACTCAGAGCAATACCCAAGAGTTAGATCTCCATTTCCCGAGCAAGAAAAAGTTGTATACTTTGTCCCATAATGTGTTCACTGTCGAGACTCTAACAGCATTATGTATCTCTGGCTGCAATCTGAAGAATGTTAAGGTTGTAAACCTACCAAATTTAAGGAAATTGTGCCTTGAAAGACTTCATGTTCGGGAAAAGATTATCCAAGATCTCAGTCAAGACTGCCCTTTACTTGAAGACTTGAGACTAATACACTGCTCTACTGGATTTAGAGATTTGCTGCTTTCGAGTGATAAGCTTCGTAGAGTTGATTTGCACCTCTGCCGCCGACTCCATAAAGTGGAACTAAGAGCTCCGAATCTCGAAAAGTTCTGGTACCATCATCAGATGTTTTGCCGGCAAGAGCAGGTTGAGCTTGACTTGGCATCATGTAGCATATTGAAAAGTCTAACGGTAGAGATTCCAAGCATGACAGACGAGATGTTTCAGAGTCTGGTTTCGAAGCTTCCAGTTCTTGAGCAACTGTCTCTCTGTCAATGCAATAAGCTGAAGACTATAACTATATCCAGCCACAGACTGAAGAAACTATCCTTGAGAGATTGCAAAAAGCTGAAAGAAGCTGATATCGACACTCCAAATCTTGTGTCATTTGAATACAAAGGCAAGGAGATGCCGTTTCTGTCTATGAACCCTTCTGGTTTGATAGAAGCAAATATATATCTTCAGCGAGGGGTTCAGAACCAGACCAGGGTAGGCTTTTGTGACGAGGAAGATGACAGAGCTCGGTTTGCTAAACTGCAAGAGTTTTTGGGGAAGTTTGATCATTCGAAGGGTTTGAAATTAATAGTGCATTCCAAAAAGGTAAACTTCTCTTGTTGAACGGGTCTTAATTTGTAGTGTTGACTGTTGTAGAATCAGAAGCTTTTCTCACTGTTCTATTAGTTACTTACTTTTTGTACTTTTGGCTTATTTTATGGAAGACTTTCATGGTGCATGAAGATATGAGCAAAATCTTGGTGCCTCCTATTTATGATCTCAAGCTTGAGATTATCAAACCATCACTGAGTTTGGAAGATCTATTCGATACTGTTTTGCGAAAGTGGCATCCATCAGCATTGTTCCTTGTATCACCTGCAATCACGGAATTCCCTGAGGTACGCTACTGTTGCAACAACTTTTGCTTGCATGAGAAGAATGCGGTTCTGATTTTGCATTTTTCAAACTGCAGAATTTGTATGATAAGTTGGTGAACAAGGAGAAGAAGCTGGTCTGCTGCAGATACAATGCCGCAAGTAACAAATGTTGGCGACACTTCTTGAAAGATGTGAAGGCCGATAACATCTCCGACGTCTTGCATCCATCTGACTGGGCTACTTGGTTGAAGTCGTGTTCTTCTGATGTCGGCAAGATTACATCCTTTGCATTGACATGGGCCAAAGACCAATCGACGGCTGGTGATGGTGTAGAAAATGAAATTGTCCTCTAGTTTTTGTGCTCATATAGTCCAACCTTTCTTAGCAACTTACCCGTTATCATGTTGAAAATTGGTTAGAGCAGCATGGTTGTTAGAAAAAGTTCAGGATAACCCTTTTTGGGAATTAGGTTCTCTAGTGAATGGAGTTGGATATTTGGATTCAAGAATTTTCTACACTGTTGGTGCTGTGTTGCTTGTGTTGCACGCAAGAAAGCCCTTTATCGATGTAGATTCTCCCTTAAGCGATGAAGCTCTGACGATAAGAAAACAATTAAAAGAACAAATTCTCAGAACACAAAACAGTACCACCTAAGTTAAAAGTAGAATCTGATTCTTGGTTTCTTTCATAATATAAGCATTTCTTTTGTTTACAACAAACCAAATCACACTTATTTCCCATCCTCAACCCTTACATATCTTAGGCTGACTGGTTATGGTAAGAGAATCAAAACCCATTTCCAGAATTTCCAAAATCTCTTCGGCTGTTTTGTCCAGTCTTTAACATGAGTACCATGTCCAGGAAGGTAAGAAAAAGGTCATATTGCAGGCAGGGCCATGGGGAGGAGATGGAGGGAGCAGTTGGGACGATGGGGTTCACCGCGGAGTTAAGGAGATTAGACTAGTCTATGATCGTTGCATCGACTCAATCAGGTTTGTTTATGACGACAAGAAAAGCAGGACCGTCGTAGGGGAGAAACATGGCGGCCTTGGTGGCACCAAAACAGCCGAGGCAAGCTCCTATGCTCTCCCTTCTACCCCTTTTACTGTTCCTTGAAGGCTGAAGCTCCTGGTTATTCTTTCTTCTTTTCCAGATTAAGCTGGAATACCCGGAGGAGTACTTGACTGAGATACATGGATACTATCACCCTGTTGTCCACGGTGGACACCCTGTGATTCGATCGCTGATGTTCGTGACCAGCAAGAGGAGATTCGGGCCGTTTGGGGTGGAAGAAGGCACGCCGTTTAGGCAATACTTGGAAGGGCTTTCGGTTGTGGGATTCAAAGGCAGAGGTGGATGGTACCTTGACTCCATTGGGATTCATTACGTCGAAGGCAGCAGCAGATCGACGAGCAAAACAATGCTTAAAAAGATTCAACGCAAATTTCAGAGGATTGCGTCGGTTGCAAGATCTTCCAAGGATGCTTAAACAGTAGTCTTTTAGTTGGCAGCTTGGTTTTTTGTTGTGCTGTGCAGAATTGGGATAATAACACAGTTCACTATATAGAATTTCGTGGAAGAAAACGCAGTATCGCAAACATGTTTAATAAGAAATAACTGCAATGCAAACATTATCTTCGTCATTAAGAGCTTGCAAATTCTTTCTGCTCCGCCGTATTAAAATGTTTATTGGTGTTATAAAGGATGTGGGTGAACGATAAAGCAATAAATAAAATAAAGCAGATTACTTGCTCCTCAAATGTGATGTGTGTTAGCTAGTATAAAGGTAAGATATTGATTTCATTATATGAAGATAAATAAATTTTAAGTCAACCAAATTGTTGTGTAATGCAATCTATATGACATAAATCTTAGGATTAATAGTAGATTTTGCCCCTCTAATTTATATTTTTCTCGAACATACCCTTCTACTATATGAGTAATTTGGATATATATTATAACGAAGTTAAACAAAATGGGGTCGAAAATGGGGCAACACCAAGTGTAACAGGTGGACAGAAGGACCCACTTTGAGCCTAGCCTAAAATAAATCGAGGCCGTTCGAGTAGTACGAATGAGGTACCTCGATGCTCGAACAATGAGAAAATCATAAGAATGAAAATTTTCATAATGCCAAAAAAGTAGAATATGATACTTGGTTTCTTCACAAGTCATATCACTAGTCGAAAGTTGAGCTTTCGCGCTCCTCATAGGGTGTTCAATTCTTGTTTTATTAAGGTTTGTATTTTTTATAAATAGAAAAGTAATATTTTAAAGAAAAAAATAGAAACTCACATATTACATTTTTCAACGGTGTGAATTGATAAATAAACAATATAACCTAATGTCAGTTCAAGAAAGAGCGCATTCAATTACATATAATATTAGGTTAAAACTAGTAAGTCAAACTCCTATTAAAACACTATACTTATGATCAACTATGAGAGTAAATAGGACACGATGACAAATGATCAACTATGCAAAAACAAAATATTTATTTGAATAATCGGGAACCCACTAAGATTATAGATCAAATTCGAAAATGAAAAATGCGTTGTCAGAAGACGCATGATCGAAATACAAATAATAAACCGGACACTATTTGAATAGTCAGAAACTCACAAAGATTACAATCGATAAGAATTTGAAAATGGAATACATGTGATTGAAATATGTGTCATAGTTCTAGTCTTCCTCTAGTTGCATAGTCGAAAAACTCACATAAATTGTTAATTGATAAGAATTCAAAAGTGGAAGACACATTGTCGAAATAAGCATAATTAGAATTTAGAACAAGGGTGATCAAACCGTGTTTGTGAATTCCTTGATCTCTTTCAGGTGTGGGAGAATTAGTCAACAATTGAAAGGGTGATAGAAAATTGATCAACTAAAGGAGTGGAGGTTTTTTTTTTTTTTATCAATTGAAAATTACCTCTAACGATTAGTAGTCACTGATCAGACTTTTATATACCAACCAACAACTACTACAATAAGCATTTCTTTGTTTTACAAAGAAACCATAGCTTTTCTCATCCTAAAAGCCTTCTAGTTGTCTGCATAAGATGAGAATCAGAGAGCATTCAAAATTTCAACTTAGGGGCATTCAATTCTTTGGTTCTGTTTTCCAGTCTTTAACGAAAGGGCTCGTGCAGCGGTGCAGGAAGGGAAAGGCAGGAAGAAGATTGTAATGCCAGGCCAGGCAGGGCCGTGGGGAGGAATCCAAGGGTGCAGTTTGAACGATGAAGTTCAACATACCAGGGGCAGGCATCCAGTTCGGTTTCACTTACTTAGGAAATAAGTGCAAATAACAACAGAATCTGCTCCATTAAAAGCTGGAAAATGTCTGACATACCTCGATCCCAATCAGCGTATGATTGATTACTCGATGGGACTACAGATGCTAGCTAATCAATTTGGATATTCATATGCAATCAACCTAGTAATCAGAACAGAACATAAAGGGTTAGACAAGATATGTTGCTTACAACAACAGTACCATGACCATATCATAATTTTAGCTCAAAACAATCCAACAAATTCTTTTAACATGTGCCCCACGCTGCTCCTAGTCACGATCAGCATCCTCTATATCTTCATCCTCTGGCACGCCACGCATATAGAGAACATTGTTGCATCTGAAGATATGTATGCAAGTGAGTGAGATGAAGACAGTTCATTACATAAAGAACAGATTGATAAACATACACCACAAGCTTCACTAACATACACCAATAAGACGATAACTGATGCAGATGGCTTTTTAAGGTCAGGGATTAGGACCCAACTACTCTTAACAGGTTGCAGGGTCCCGACCAACTAGTACATAGCAGCTCTGATCACTTAGGCTTCGTTCTTCACATACTATTTTTAATGTATGAGATCAAAATTTGTCAAGACTGCCTCTGACCAATGAGTAAATAACGAGGACCTCATTTGACAACAAATTGGTGGCATCAGAGTTCTACAGAAAAAAAAGGGTTCTCAGTGAAATAGCAATCTAAAATGTGCATAATCTTGGGATTTTGTTCTGTTCAAACAATCGTCTCAAGTTCAGAATTTGACCATAAAAAACAAGCATATCAAACCGATGAGCAATCCAGGGAGAAGAGACGTCCCCATCTAATATACTCTACTCTGTAGTCTATATGAATATAAAATCACAATCCATCCTCAATGTTCCATCTTATAACTATGGCATGGATGCTAACAAAAACATCCAAAGATTGAGTCTCCAACACAAGAATTCAACTCTACCCAATCTTCCACCGAAGCATGCTTTAGAAAGTTCAAGCTCTCAGCGGTACCCAAAGCAACTTTAAACAAAATCATTCACCAGACAAGGAAACTTGTTTGTTTTACCTGATTAAAATCTCCCCAAGATTACCAGTGAACTGTCCGTCAATGTACTCTTCAGCATTCCCTAGCTGCACATCAGATTGCCCATTATTACACAGCAATAAGAAAGCCAAGGAACTCCAGAACCATAATGGGAATAACCATATCAAATTACTCCCTACTGAACGAAAGGAAGCAAATAAGAAGCAAAGATTCCGCTGAGCCATCAAATAGGGCCAGTGGAGAATAATCACCTGGAGGTTCATGTATGAATCCACTGAAGCAAGAAATCCTGAAGAACACAACCAATTCAGCTTAAACCTACAGGCATCCAACTATAAATAAAAAGAGAAGCGGAAAAAACAAACTTTTCTTCTACCTTTGTACTCCATGCCCCACTTCAACTTCACGATCACAGTCTTTCCAGTCAAGTTGTTCAAGAACGGCTTAGGGTTTACTGGGACAGTCTGCAAACACAACAAATTCCGCACCAAAGATGGCGTTAATTTCACAGCGGCAAACCCCAAATCAAACCAAACCCAAAAACCGAAGCAACCCGCATCAGAATGTCAGAGAAGAACTGACTTACCGCCATTGATATGGACACAGAGAGAAAGGGCGAACCAGAGACTGGAAATAAACGAAGTAGCAGAGAGCGGCGAGTCTTCACTCTTCACGACCGAGTTGCAGTTTGAGAGAGCCAAATTGAGGTATAGGGGTTTGCTCACTAAAGTAAAGGTAGTTGAGCCTCAGAAAAAAAAATTGTAAGGCCCGTTTAGCAAAAAGATAACTGGGCTTTAGGCTCAGTGCAGCGATCCAGCCCATGTTAATACGCGGACACGGTATCGTTCCTTTTTTTCCTGGAAGGTAACGTCTCCTAAAAATCTGATCATAAAAGGGTAGAATAATCCCCCAAATTCCTTCATCATCTTCTTCTTCCACATTCCGATTTTGAAGCGTGGAAAAACCCTAGAATTCAACCAGCGAAAATTGTCTCTACGATCGATCGATTTGATCCATGGGGAACACGGAGAAGCTGATGAACCAGATAATGGAGCTGAAATTTATGGCGAAGACGCTGCAGCGGCAGGCGAGGAAGTGCGAGAAAGAAGAGAAGGCGGACAAGCTGAAGGTGAAGAAGGCGATCGAGAAAGGCAATATGGACGGAGCTAGGATCTACGCCGAGAACGCGATCAGGAAGAGGACCGAGCAGATGAACTATCTTAGGCTCTCTTCCAGGCTCGATGCCGTTGTCGCTCGTCTCGATACGCAGGCCAAGATGACCACCATCAACAAGTCCATGGCCAACATCGTCAAATCTCTCGACTCCTCTCTCGCTTCGAGTAAGCTTTTCACTTCTGATCCTTACTTTGCCTCTCTCCGAATTGAATTTTCTTGACGTTTGTAGCTTTGGCTTGCTTTGATTTGGATGAATGATTTGATTGGGGGAAATCTACGCGTAGATTGTGTTTCTGCCTTTGGTGGGGCTTCTTATCATTTAAAAAAGATCCATGTTTTATGTCTCAAATCAATTACTTCGTAAGAGTCCTTTGGCCGGGGATTGGTTGACGTTCTGGAGGCAAAAACCCTTCTTACGGGGAAGGCTGATCATTGAAATGCTGGGTTGGTATAAGAGTGAAAAGATCTCCATTGTCTTGCCTGTGTGTCTTTTATCTAGAGATCTGTGGCTGAAGTTAAAGTTGATGCCCTATGGGACCTAATGAAGGTATGATGTTTTGAATGTCTTATCTGATTAGTGATTCTTTTCGTGGGATTGCAGGTAATTTGCAGAAGATGTCCGAGACTATGGACCAGTTTGAGAAGCAGTTTGTGAACATGGAGGTGCAAGCAGAGTTCATGGAGAATGCCATGGCTGGTTCTACCTCACTGTCAACACCCGAGGGAGAGGTCAATAGCCTGATGCAGCAAGTGGCTGATGATTATGGACTGGAGGTCTCTGTTGGGCTTCCTCAACCTGCCGCGCATGCTGTGCCAACCAAGGTCCAGGAGAAGGTCGACGAGGATGACCTGTCCAGGCGTCTTGCCGAGCTCAAGGCAAAGGGCTGAAAAGTGTCCTTGAATATATACTGAAGCTTTTAAGCTTTGTCTTGAGGTAACGCTGCACTGATATGTTGTGAGGGAGGTGTTCTGGATTGGGTTGCTATTACTTGCTGAGCCGGCATTGTGTAAATTTGGCGAAATGGGGAGTCTTGAAGTTCATTGTAAGACCTATGTGTTGAATATTGATGAATGATGATGATGATGATGTAGCAGTCCCCTTGTGTTTCTGTGGTTTCTTTGTGCATTTAGTTGCCCTCCCATGTAATACTGATAATGCTTACCTCTGCTCCTAGTTATCCTGTTTATTCACATCGTTTGGTTCACAGTAGCTGCTGAATTCTTAGGATCTCGTCATTGTCAATGCTAGAAATCTGCAAAACAAGTAGGGTTACAGGTTTAAGTTAATTCCTAGGCCTTAATTTTAACTTAATTGTCTCCACGAGAGTTCCAAAGTGACTCAGATCTGTCATTAACACACACTCATAAATTTTCAGATATGATGAAGGCTCGGGAATTTTTCCAAAAACTCCACTAAAAAAAAGAAATTCAAAAAATATCATTCATTTCCGAAAAATTCCAAAAATACCACTCTATCCCAAAAATCGCCACCTTACCCCCTGGTTTACAAGAATTATTTTTGGATATACGAGGTTATGGGAATAACTTTACCTTCACTTTTCACAAATTCACGTACATTCCGAAATTATGGCTAAGATAAAAACTGTAGTCCTTCAAAAGTTATGCGAAATCAAAAAAAAAATCATGATGTTCAAAGTGCGGAGCACAAAGTTATGTCCAAAGTTTGGAAAAATCGGAAAAAGGCTCGTTCGGTCTAGCACACGACTGCCTACGGCAGTTTACGGCTTGTAAAATCGAAAAGTTATGCGGAATAAAAAAAAATTCGCTACGATCGGATACCCGAGCACAAAGATATGTTTGTTAGAAGTTTCGACTTAAGTTAGGATTGATCAAAAAAAATTTAATACAAACCGCGGGTGGGCAGCGGTCCGCATGTTAACGCCCTGGTCCCATGTGGTCAACAAAACCGCCCCCAATCCATGCGGTTTTTGACGAAAACACCGCCACCATCCATCGATTTTTGTGTAAGAATGATATTTTTGGAATTTTTCGAAAAATAGAAGATATTTTTGGAATTTTTTTAGTGGTATTTCTGAAAAAAATTCAAAGACTCGTTGATTCTTTAATGTCAGAGAACATTGTTTCTGAAATTAGAAAGAACTTAGTCGTCATCTTATCCTATCTAGTACACAACATTCAATGGTGTAATGTAACTTTCAAGAGTGTTTTCTGCTTTCTTCAATTGATGCCAACATTCGAAGATGTAAGCTAGTACTATAATTATAATCAATCAGTACAATATACACTTTCTCAAATTAAAACTTCATCATTCCAAATTTTCTCAATTCTCAAGCATTCATATCAGTTTTGATTTTCCATAAAAATATTAATTACTAGGATTCAACACACACAACCTGCAACTAGAGATGTTCGAATGATTAGCAAGATTTTCTTATGCTCCGACTTTCTCGGTAAGGAAAAGCGGCGACTCCCGAAAGCAAACGAGCGCAAACTAGGGTTTCACCTTGATGGCGACAGTATCGTCGTCCTCGGCGCCGGCTACGGCGACAAAACCCCCAAAAACAATAAGTCTGGCGTTAGCCCACAGATTCGTCCTCTCCGAACTCAAAGAGTGAGAAGGAAGCTGTGCAGGCAAAAAAGAAGGTGTGACCTTTGAACTTGGATAACAATGGCGTTAACAATGTGAACCTGCATAGAGACGTACAGATGGGAGAGAAAGCGGAGACTGAAACTCAAAAGCCAAAGGAAGCCAAAACTGATCATCATAACTCATGGGAAGCAGGTAGGCCAAAAATCCCAGGCCTACACACGTGGGAGGAGGATTGGTATGTGGAGGAGTCTGATACAGAGGATGTCCTACTTGCTGATAAGGAGGAGGACGATGTAGTGATTACAGAAGAGGAAAACCCGAGATGTCCTACTATCCCGTTCAATGCGGAAGAAAAGACGAGATGGAGAAGGGAGTGGAGATCTGCAGTAGTAGTAAGGGGCCTTGGAAAAGTTATACCATATCCGCCTATGGCGAGGAGGCTGAATTTTCTATGGGCAAGGCATGGTCATATACAAATTTCGGATATGAAAAATGGATGTTTCCTGGTTTGTTTTAAACATCGGGATGACTATGAGAATGCACTAAGGGGAGGTCCATGGCTTCTGGATGATACTTATCTTACTGTTCATCAATGGTTTAAGGGTTTTAACCCATGGAAGACGGAGGTGAAGACTACTTTGGTCTGGGTACAGATACCGGAGTTACCAGTAGAGTTTTTCAACAAAGAGGCAGTGCTCAGGATAGCTGAGTACATAGGACGTCCGGTCAGAGTGGACAAAGCAACTGAACTGGGAGCACGTGTTAAATTTGCACGGGTGAGTGTAGAAGTGGATCTTACCAAGCCATTACTGTCACAATTCAAAATCGAGGGAGTAACTTACCTCATACAGTATGAGGGTCTCGATCTGATATGCACGGAATGTGGAATGTATGGAACCCGGGCGAACGAGTGTAGTTGCCGGCAAGAGGAACCAGAACCGGACCTGAATCAAGAAGATGTAGGAATGTCAATGGTCCCAGAAACACAAGCTGAAGATCCAACGAAAGGTCGGGACTATGGAGAACGGATGACTGTTAAAAAACGAGATAAGCGTCCAATAAACAGGAATGGAGGTAAAAGGACAGCTAATCAGGCAATATGGAAGGGAGAGCCTAATTATATGCATGCTCAAAATCGGTTTACTAAGCTGCCAGAGGAAGTGGAGGAGGACAGTACGCAGACTGAGAAAATGGAATGGGAGGAGGAAATAGAAACATAGAGAGCACAACATCAAAGGAGGAAAATCAAAGAATAATAGAAGGAAAGAAGTGGGAAAACTAGTGGACAAGGAAGTAATAACTGGGCGAGTAATACATGAGCAAACTAAAGTGTACAATGATGGTGTCCAGAAGGAGAATACAGATTACCACAAACAAGCAAATTTTGGCAGCACCGGGGTGTCAATTGCAAAAGAGGCAGTTAACAAGAATGTTGTAGTAGAAAGGGGTCGACACAATAAAGACAAACAGAAAACGGGTCTCAAGGAGGGTCAGGCGACAGGGTCGGTGGCAAAACCTAGTGGCGGCACAAAAGGTCAGAAGGGAGTCTCCGAAAAGCATACTGGTGCTAACAACAATGATGAACACCGACAAATAAAGGGTGCGGGGAACCTATCCCCTTCTGTTAATAGATGATAATTTTGTGCTACAACTGCCGCGGATTGGGAAACAAGCATGCAGTAAAGGCTTTGAGGACGTTGTTGCGTCACGTTTCCCCACAAGTTGTTTTCCTCTCAGAAACAAAGCAACTTGTGTCAGAAAATGAGGAGCTATGGAAATTTATGGGTTTTAGTGCTGGAGTATGCTGGCCGACAGAGACATCGAATAAGGGTCGTGCAGGAGGGGTGTGTTTATGGTGGATGGAGGAAGTACAGTTGGAGGTGATGGATAAAACCTTGCATTATGTGGATGCAAAAATAGAGGAGGCAACTGTAGGGACCCGGAGATTTACAGGGATGTACGGATGGCCTGAATCGGATGGTAAGGGTCAAACACTAGAAGTTATGAGATCATTATCACAACAGTGGCATGGTCCTTGGCTTCTAGGTGGTGACCTGAATCTTATGTTCTCACATTATGAGAAGAAGGGGGGAAATGTGGTGGTTGAGCGAGATATTGAGGAAGCTCGGCAATGTCTTGAGGATTGTGGTTTGACCGATCTTGTCTACCAAGGGTACCCCTTCACTTGGGATAACCACCGACAACATGGTTTCATAGAGGAGAGGCTTGATAGGTTTATGGCGCGAGAGGATTGGTCAAACAATTTCCCAACTACTAGGGTAATTCACTTGGATTGGAATCGGTCGGATCATCGACCGATTATTTGCGACACAAGAGGCGAGGAGGATGAAGATATAAAGTGGGGTTGGAGTTTTCGTTTTGACCCAATGTGGTCGAAGCATGAGGACTGTGTGAAGGTGATTGAAGAGGCGTGGGGAACGGGTGGAAGTGGAATTTTTTATAAAATCAGAAGCTGCAGGTCAAAGTTGGACTCTTGAAGTAGGGTGGTATTTCCAAATTTTGCCAAACAGAGAGCTCGGATCAATAAAGCAATGCAAGCACTTGAGAGATTAGAAAAAAAAAACTTCGGCGGTGATACAACAAAGGCAAGCCTTGGAGTCAGAACTTGAAGAATTGGAAGCAAACAAGGAAATCTTTTGACAGCAACGATCCAGAGCGGACTGACTTCAATCAGGGGATAAAAAAACAACATATTTTCACCTTAAGGCATTAGCTAGACGCAAAATAAATATGATTAAGAAACTTCAAGATGAAACAGGAAAGTGGTTTACAGGAACGGAGTAGCTTTTCCAGTGTTTGAACAATTACTATTTGGAGTTGTTTAAGGCCGGACCAAGACCAAGCGAAACCCCTGTCTTGGATTCTATTAAGCAAAGTGTGCTCCCAGCAGATAATGACATGTTATTGCGGCCGGTTGATGAAGAAGATATACATAGGGCTTTGCAACAAATGGGACCTCGTAAGGCAACGGGAGTTGATGGGTTGAGTGCGTATTTTTTTCAGAAATATTGGAGGATCATCGGAGGCGAAGTTACAACAACGGTGGAGGCTATTCTAAGAACGGGAGAGATGCCAGATGACTTAAATCACACACTAATCGCTTTAATTCCAAAGGTTAAGTCCCCGCGGTCACCGAAGGAGTATCGACCAATTAGTCTTTGCAATGTGTTGTATAAAGTGGTTGCGAAGGTACTGGCCAATAGACTGAAGAGCATTCTAGAGAAGATAATATCACATGAGCAGAGTGCATTCGTTCCAGGAAGAAACATCTCAGATAATATCATTACTGCGTTTGAGTGTTTTCACTCAATGAAGAAACAAACGAAGAAGAGCACCGGGTACTTTGAAGCAAAAGTGGATATGGCCAAGGCGTATGATAGAGTGGAATGGAAGTTTTTAGAGGAAGTAATGAGGCGAATGGGTTTTGCGAAGAGATGGATAAGCTTAATAATGATGTGTGTGTCTACATTCTCGTTTTCCATTCTGGTTAACGGGCATCAATCACCGAGATTCTTACCAGAAAGGGGGCTACGACAGGGCGACCCACTATCACCTTACCTGTTCCTGCTCTGTGTAGAAGGCCTGTCGACGTACACACAAAAGGCGGTAGAAGAAGGGAGATTACATGGGTATCAAGTGACAAGGGGAGCTCCGACAGTATCCCATCTATTTTTTGCTGACGATAGCTTCTTTTTTGGCAGGGCAACGTTACAGGAGTGCTCGAAACTAAAAAAGATCTTTCGTGACTATGAAGTGGAGTCCGGGCAGCTTGTTAGTTTTCAAAAATCAGAGATATCCTTTAGTGCAAGTGTGAAACCCCACCGGAAGCTGGAGATAGGTGGTGTCGTGGGCATGCAGATAGTGGATAAACACGAAAAATATTTGGGATTACCGACAGAAGCAGGGTGCTAAAAAAAACTATGTTTGTGGGGATTAAAGATCGCATCAAGACAAAATTAAAAAGCTGGAAAGAAAGAACAATGTCAGTGGCAGCAAGAGAAGTTCTGATTAAGGCGGTTGCTCAGGCACAGTTCACGTATGCTATGTCTGTTTTTCGAATCCCAGAGGGAGTTATAGACGAGATCCATAGTATCATCACAAATTTCTGGTGGGGCCAATGAGGAGAGGAGCGCCGAGTTCACTAGCTATGACGAGAAGCTCTTGTTATGCCGAAAGAAGAGGGAGGTATTGGGTTTCGGGATCTGGGTGGCTTCAGTGTAGCATTATTGGCTCGACGGCTTTGGAGCCTTGCGCAGAGGCCAGAAACGTTGGCAGCAAAAGTGCTACGGGCAAAATATCACAAAAACTCGAGCATATTAGATGCTAGCGTGGGATACAGGCCAAGCTTCATTTGGAGGAGTTTAATGGGGGTTCAAGAGTTCTTGATGAGTAGGCTTCGTTGGAGAATAGGAGATGGCACTGGGGTCCGAATTTGGGGAGATCGGTGGATTCCTGGAGTGCCGCACAACTACGTGGACACAGCGCCGAGAGGATTGGAAGTAGACGCCTCTGTTTGTGGGTTGATCAATCCGGACACCAATCAGTGGGATAGAACAATTGTTGAAAGCTGTTTTACTACAACAACGGCGTAAGCCACTTTCTCAATCTCATTGAGAGGTGAAGGAATGGCTGGCCGTTTGATATGGGGATCTAGTAGAATAGGTGAGTATAGAGTTCGAGACGGCTACTTACATTGGCTGGAAGGTTTCAAGGAGCGAGAAAACTTAACAAAGGTTGGAGAAGCTGACATGTGGAAGAAGCTGTGGTCTTTAAATGTTCCGCCGAAGGTGAAAAACTTTCTGTGGAGATTGGCAAGAGATACTTTAGCAACGGGTGACCACCTAAGCTCAAAGAATCCTCGACGGGGGGGGGGGGGGGGGGGGGGGGGGGGGGGTAAGTGTTATTTTTATGGAGAACGAGAAACACAAATACACTTCTTTGGGCAATGCAGCTGGACTTGTCGGTTATGGAAGCAGTCTAGCTATGTGGCTTGTTTCGAGAAGGCAGAAGGAAGAACGAGTCTAGAATGGGTTGCGGAAGTGATCAATTCAGCGGGCAACGAGGTTAGTGAACGGTGGGGGTGTACTGATGTGGTATTTTGGGAAGGAGAGGAATGCCCATTGTTTTAATAGTACCAAAGGAGATGAAATGACCATTGTAGCAAGGGCCGAAAGCTTGCTTAATGATTATCAACAACATCAACAAAATGGTGAGGAGGTGGCAGGAGCGGAGAACACGCAGGGATGGTCTATACGATGGAATGGGTGGGTTAAAGTCAACATAGACGCTGGAATAATGCAGGGGGAGGAGCAGGTTTAGGTGTCATAATTCGAAATGAGAAGGGGGAGTTCTTACTAGTAGGAGCGGAGAAGAGACAAGGAAACTGGGGTGCTGAAACGGTAGAAGCATTGGCGCAGAGTTCGGCTTGATTTTGGCAAAATAATTTGGATACTCAAAGGTGGTGTTGGAAACAGATTGTTTGAGCCTAGTACAGAAGTTGTTTGAAGCTGCGAAGTTACATGTTGAGCTGGGAGTTATATGCCGCAGTATTAGACAGTTGCTCGATAACGATGATACAGGGAAGTGGCAGCATGTTCGGAGGAAAGCGAACGAAGCAGCACATATCATGGCGCACAGTGAAACAAATTGGGATTCACTAGTTGTATGGGTCGATAGGCCTCCAATATTTCTTATTGATCAGTTGCGGCTTGATGCAATCTCCTCCACTGAATAATAAGAAGCAAGCAGGTTTTAATCAACAAAAAAAAAGAGATGTTCGAATGATTACAATAGTAATTACCAAACCAATTAAGTCTATATTTCATTAACTGTGGTTTATTATATTATAACCAAACCACCAACAATACAATAACCAAACTAAAGTTTAGTTGGTTTGGTTAATCGGTTAACTGGGTTAACCAATATAACATAATTTTATCATTATGAAAGAAAAAATCTTCTTATAATGCATCAGTTCGTCATTTATATAATTAATAAACTTTAAAAAGCAACACATAGTTAATCCTTGACATAAATACATGTGAGTAATACAATTATCTTATAATCCATAGAAGTAGTCACGTAACAAAATATATATCAATGGTAGGTGATTAATGAATTGAGTATATTTGTATGAATTTTTTTAGTCTCTTAGCAATTATCAGAGACTGAAAAAGGTCCTTCGCTCGTTTTCTTGTTGGATTTGAAAATGAAGGTTTTTAGTTTTGAAAATCTTTGGATTTATGATGAATTTGTTTCATTTTATATTTGAAAAATAACATTGATCATGGATTTAAAGATTTTTGTTCCATGGGTCTCAACTCTTTGCCTTCAATGACCAAATACCAAATGAAATGTGGTATTTGCAAATTCGTGGGGTCACGAATTTGGGGCTAAAAAATGTCCAAATTCGTGTGCGCCACAAATTTCTATACCTCAACAAACAATGTTTTATATCAAATACGTAATGCTTTGTATTTATGTGCCAAATGCATTACCCAAATCCCACAAGCAAACGACACCTCTGTTTTAGGTTTTCGTCCAACATTATATATGAGATTTATGTAAATTCGGTGCCCATATGTTGGTGTCTACACTCTATAAGAACAAATATAGTATAGAACAATAATAAGTTTTATTTTTATATCGATCTTAAAGGGAGAAACATATGACTCTTTAGTGATTATGCAAAATAGTAAATATGCTATATGATATATTAAATATATGACTAATTAGTTAATTGGTTAGATTGGTTAAGACTTAAGAGTGTCTAGAACCTAACCGTCAAAACCAAACAAGCTAAAAATTTAATCAAACCAAAATAATTATCCAAATTAACCAAATCAAATTATTCAAATCATACCAGTTAGAATGGTTATCATAGTAACTAGTTAGTTTGAACACCCCCTATATGCAAGGCTTATATTTTTTTGGTGTAAAGTTTCTAACCAGTAAGATAAACTCTACTTGATGTAACTAATTAGAAAACTTCCTTTTCTAATAAAAGTTTCATCATCATTATAAAAAAAAACTAATTAGAAAAACTTATAAGATAAACGGTATTGATTATATTCATTACTATAATAAAATTAAGAGTACTATGGTCTATGTTACTTCAAATTTTATCTTTTTCACTTCATCCAATAAATTGAGGAAGAAATCCCAAAATACACTAGTAATTTAAAAAATTCCCAAAATTCATAAATTATAAAAAAAATTCCCAATCTATACATGTTTCACATTCACCGCCTTTGTCTAAGGCAGTGAATGCAATCACCGCATTAAACAAACACGGTGAATAAATCACCGCGTTTTGATAAAACGGTGAAGGCTTCACCGCAACAGAGTAAAACGGTGAAGACTTCATCGCAACAGAGTAAAACGATGAAAGTGCAAGGAACCAATCACCACGTTTTATTAAAAAGGTAAAGTATTCACCGTTTTAATTAAAAGCAGTGATTGGTTCCCTGCATCGGACGACTACGGTGAAAGCAACGCGGATCACTGACGTGGACAAACGCGGGGAATTCACCGAATTAGACAAACACAATGAATACCCTGCTTTGTCCATGTCAGCGATCAACGTCCCGCGGATGCTTCACCACTGTCATTGGATGCAGTGAGGCGCGGATTTTGGTTTTTCTCCCAGATCTGACGCCTCACAGCCTCCCACGTCAGCGATCTTCACCATTCACCATTTTCGAGAAAGGCGGGTTATTCATTGCCTTTGTCAAAGTCGGTGATGGCTCTGCATTCATTGATTTTCGAGAGTTCCCTTCCCCTATAAATAGAACCCTTCCCCCCTCTTCCAAATTACACCACCACATTACACTTCTTTCTCCCTCCATTCATCCACTCTAGTCTCGTTCTAAGTATGCTCTGTGGTTGCGGCTAAGTCCGATCTTCCACAGCATAAAGAATTACTAGAGTTATACCCTAAAGCCCGTCCCTTAAAAACCGGTCGAACATCTGTCCGGCTTTCGCTAAAACATGGACGAAGAGGCTCTTCGGGTAGGTTCTTGGTTTTTCTTTTGTGATTTTTTTTAATCAAAACAATTTGATTTTGTGATTTTTTTAATAAAAAAAATATGATTTCATTACTTTTTTTATAGATGGGTGCCTAGATATATGATCCTCGATTGTATATCCATTATGGGGCCAAGAGATACGAAGTATTTATCCGATCAAGAAGCACATCGCTCCCGTGCAATTTGGGACAACAATCCGATAAACACTACGTACATTATCAACAATTTACTTTATTTTATTATTTTATAAGGTTTTATTTTTTCTTTCTTTTAACTAACAAATCGATGTTTTTTCTATTTTTTTTTTGTAGGAATCACTTATTCCCTTCATTCGTAAAGAGACCACTAACCTGCCCGCTTGGCATGATCGACTGTCGCCGTATATAAAGAGGACTGGGTTGGGTATGTTGAGGCATTTCATGCGGATTGAAATCGACAACGATCTACTTACGGCAATGGCAGAGTGATGGCGCCTCGAATACGTTCCACCTTCTGGAGGGGGAAATGACGATAACCCTCAAAGACGTCGTGATCCTCACCGGGCTGCCAATAACTGGAGAGGCCATCATTGGTATCACTACCAAACCCGAAGCAGGTTGGGGGCCGCTCATTCGTCATCGTTTGGGCTTTGACATTCCGACCACCACACCAATTCAAGGACGGGGGCATCCACCGTTGAATGCGGGACAAGTGTCAATCCCATGGCTCGTTACTCACATCCAAAATGAGGTTCAAATCGTACCAAACACTCCGGAAGATCAAGTGGAGCACTATGCACGCATCTATCTCATTGGTTTGGTCGGTGGATTTCTTTTCCCCGACAAGTCAAACAGGTGGATTCAAGGCATATGATTGCCAATGCTCCTTGGTGTCTGGGACGCGATCGGGGAAAAGAGTTGGGGATCAGCCGTGTTAGCTGGCGTATATAGGTAGTTGTGTACTTGCTCGAAGGTGGGAGCGAAACAAGGTGGTGGTGCGATGTTCATCCTCCAGCTCTGGGTATGGGAGCATCTTCCAATATTCACATCTCTAGACCCACGTCCATAATGGAGAGCAGATGATGAGCTACGAAATGTGCAAAATCCCCCCTATGACGTCAAGTAAGTTATTCCATACTTAGCTAGATTTAAATTTATTCCATGCTTAGCTAGATTTAAATTATAATTTTTTCATACTTAGCCTAATTACAAATTTATTCCATGCTTAGCTAGATTTAAATACATTTATTCCATACTTAGCTATATTTAAATTTATTCCGTTCTTAGCCTAATTGCAAATTTATTCCATGCTTAGCTAGATTTAAATTATATTTATTCCGTACTTAGCTAGATTTAAATTTATTTCGTACTTAGTCTAATTGCAAATTTATTCCTTGCTTAGCCAGATTTATTTTTTTTTTGGGTAAAAAATGGGACGCTAAAAGGGCGTCCCTTCCTGGCACTAGATTAATCGAGATTGGGCAATGCCCAAGGAATCATACAGAGTCCAGTAACGAAGACCTGGATCGAGGGAATCTACTAAGTGAAAACCTATGCTAACAGTCTGCCCTTTATTGGCTAAGAAATCGGCCGACTTATTACATTCTCTGAAGGTGTGAGAAGTGACAACTTTCCAGTTTTGCTGTAGCAGCTTTTGTATCTCACGGACCAAGATATGGTACCTGTGGGTCGCCGAGTCTGTTGAGTTGATGATGTTGAGCGCAGTTCTTGAGTCGAGCCTAAGTTGAACCCGTCGATGGCCCTAATCCCAAACGAGCTTCAGACCTTGCGCAACTCCCATAAGCTCAGCTCTAGTGCTCGTACACGAACCCAGATTGGACGAAAAGGCTCCCAAGCATCGCCCTAGATGATCACGAATAATACCTCCAGCTGCCGCGTGAGAGTCAGGTTGTTTAACCGAGCCATCGGTGTTAACCGCCACCCAGCCTGGGGGAGGAGGTTGCCACGCAAGATCCACGGCCGACTTGTTAGTATGGTTGTCGAGAGCTTTGCCATTGTTCTCCAAGGCAGCAGAGATGGTTTGAGTCCAGCAACTGATCCTTTCTGCGAGAGTAGACGCCTCCTGCCACTTATGTTGGAATATCTTCTCGTTGCGACGTTTCCAGAGGTACCAAGCCGCCACTCCAAATAGCAGACCAGTGTCTGGGTTCCTAAGCTGCTTTGCCATCCACTCTGCAAAATTCAGACCCACAGTAAGGCTATTATCACGAAAGCCTAGCTTAAGCCATACCTGGGTCGAAGATGGGCAGTGGCGGATGATATGTTATGTGGTCTCAGGCTCCGAGTTGCAAAGCACGCAGGTATCTCCGTTGCTGATCTTTCTTCTTTACCTCTCGCTATTAGTCATTACGCGGTTGTGCAAGGCTAACCACAGGAAGTGGCGAATGCGATTCGGGCCATGCCACTTCCAGAGGCTCCTCCAAAAGGGTTCCGAGCTGCCGTCCGAAGGAGAGCCACCATCTTCACGAAACCAGGCCGCTGCTGCCGTATAAGCTGAACGAAGTGTGAAACGACCATCTCCTTCAAGCCCCCAAGTTGTAATGTCCTCCCCCTCATCCGGGTGAGGCGGATCTGTACCTGCAATTAGAGAAAGCAAACATTCAGGGAGGTAAGGCTCGATCTTACACTAGTTCCACTCACCAGTTGCAGTCGTCTGATCCGCCACGGTAGCCTCCCAGATCAGATTGTCATCCGTGAAGGTTAAGTGGTCCTTGAGGATGATTCCTTCAGCAACCCACGCATCGGTCCAGAAATTGACACTGGCGCCATCGCGAATGTCCCAAATAGTGCCCATCTTTACAAGAGGGAGCGCATCTTTAATACCCTTCCAAAGCCTGGACACACGATCGCTGCGAAAGGCCAAGGAGCCATCGCCATTCTGTTTCACATACTTTCCCTGCAAAACTTTGATCCATAAGGCAGAGTCATTGTTCAAAAGCATCCAGCCGAGCTTCATAAGGTAAGCTAAATTGAGGGCTCGAGCCGAGCGAAGGCCGAGACCTCCCTCCTCCTTGGGTTTGCAAATCGTTTCCCAAGAAATCAGGTGGGCTTTGCTGCTGCCCTCTTCCGAGCCCCAAATGAACCCTCTGATTCTCTTGTCAATGATGTCACAGATGTTGTAGGGAAGGACAGCAGTCTGCATGACATAATTGGGAAGCGAATTCAACACCGAGGTAGCAAGAGTGACTCTTCCGGCGAGAGAGAGACTTCTCGCTTTCCAACCAGCCAGGCGTTGATCAATTTTTTCGATGACATACTTATAAGTATCACGGGTTACCCTGCCATGAATGACAGGGACACCTAAATACTTGCCGAGGCTGTTGGTTTGCTTAATCCCGAGCAGCCTACTGATTCTGGTCTTAGTCCGATCTTTAGTATTCTTAGAAAAGAATATGCACGATTTATCCTTGCTGATTTCTTCTCCGGAAGCCCTACAGAACATGGTTAGACAATCCATGATCGTTGCTCCTTGTTGAGTATCAGCATTGGCGAAGAGCACCAGATCATCTGCGAAAAATAAGTGTGTCAGAGGTGGTCCGTCCTTAGAAAGACTGATAGGTTGCCATTTACCACTCCTAACAGAGTCTTTAATGCAATGATTTAAACGCTCAATGCATAAAGTAAATAGGTAAGGGGAAAGAGGGCATCCCTGACGTAGGCCACTGCCAGGTTTGAATTCAGAGGAACAGCCACCATTCCAAAGGATTTGGATGCTCGTGGTAGTGACACAAGCCATACTAGATTGATGAAGTTCACTGGCAGCCCTGCTTCAGTCAAAGTATCATCCAGGAAATTCCAGCTGATCTTGTCATAAGCTTTCGCCAGATCGATCTTTAGAACCATACCTCCTTGCTTGCCCCTCATAGAGTTGAAAGAGTGGACCACTTCCTGGAGGATGATTATATTGTCTGTTATATGCCTGTTCGGCACAAAGCTGGTTTGCTCCTCGTCAATGAGCTTAGGCATGAGAGGCTTTAGTCTTTCAGCCAAGCACTTAGCAATGACTTTGTAGCTGACGTTGCAAAGCCCAATAGGGGGAAATTGAGATAATGACTTGGGGTTCTGAACCTTGGGCAGCAGCGTCAGGAGAGTCGTGTTGCAGTTCCGTATGTGGAGTCGTGTTAGCCAGATTTAAATTACATTTATTCCGTACTTAGCTAGATTTAAATTTATTTCGTACTTAGCCTAATTAAAAATTTATTCCATGTTTAGCTAGATTTGAATTACATATATTCTGTACTTAGCTTAATTTATATTTATTCTGTACTTAGCCCAAATTTAAATTTATTCAATGCTTTTTAAAAAATTCTTATATCCGTACTTTTACTTACAAGGTGGATAGGAGCAAATACAAATGACCATCAACCTGAGCACTCTTTACTGTTTTATCGTGCTGAGTTAGATAAGCCTTGGTGGAACCAGGTAATCATGATTTACAATATTTTAACGAATTAAATTTTTGTGAATGTAATTGGTTGCTAATTGCAAATTATGAATGAGTATAGGTTACATGGGACCCATATCCACGTGAAGTAGTCGAGCTGCATCATCTGAGACACCCTCAGGATCACGAGACGTGGTTGTGCAAGGTGCCATTGATCTGCTGGCACATCATGGAGTGGCACCTACCCGATCAATCCTTGAGGCAATATCGATTGGAGCAACCAATTCCAAAAACCCCGCCTCAAGGTTTCAGGGAGCTCCATGCCATCAACCTCCGACACTCGGCAAAGAATTGGCTTCTAAAGCATCAGTTCTACATCAACATTTGGGAGAATAGAGGTAATTGGGTGGTCCAAGGGTTGCCGGAGAGGAGACCTATGGGTTACCACGATGGGTACATGCAGTGGTATCAGAAGTTTACGCTTAGATGGGTGTCAAAGGAAGGTGTTGTGATGGGTTCGTTGGTAAGTCATCCTAAGTCTCCCTCTTAGTCTAATTCTTTTGTTTTGAGGTTTAATTAATTTTGATTTATTACGTAAATTGCTTAGGTTGATGGTTTGGAACACGCCAAGCACATGGCCGATAGTGCTCCAACCATGGATGAGCGCAAGACTTCTTGGTTGCGAAGGCTTATGAACAACCTCCTGAGTTGTACCCGAGAGCAAAGGAGGGATGTCGTGGCATATCCTCCACTTCCTTCCCTAGACCGCCCATCATTCCGTGATGGTGAGCGCATTGTGCCCCCGGTTGAGCCCCCACGAAAGAGCAAATGCAAGCCTCTGCCACAATTTCAAGAGCTGCGTACAACTCAAGGTATGTCCATCCCTATTCGTCAGGAAAACCACCTACGACATTCCTAATCCCCGCGTGTTGATTGGATATAATCGTAATACCCTGCCGTTGCGTCACGTGTTCGTGTAGTTGGTCAAAGAACCATGCCCAACTTAACATGTTCTCCCCTTCCACTAATGCAAATGCAAGCCGGAAAATCTGCATATTTCCATCAACGCCAGTGGCAATGAGAATAGTTCCTCTGTACTTCCCAGTAAGGAAAGTGCCATCAACCTAATTAAAAATTAGGATCTAATTAGTATGAAATTTACTTAGCAGGAAAATTGAACTTTTCGAACAATAATTAGGTATTAAAATAACTGGATAACTGGTATGTCGAACGCAAACCCGTCAATGCATGGTTTGAAAGCCCAAAATAGACGGTGAAACATCAACTTTTCCTGTACTCGAACTTGATCCTCAGTGTATACATTCTTATAACAAGGCACGAAAACAGTCCCAGGGTTGGACTCCTCCATTGTGGCCATAAGTCTAAGGAGTAAAGCATACGAGTCCTCCCAATCACCATACACCTCAGTCATGGCTTTCTGCTTTCCATGCCATGCCTTTTTGTACCTTATCGTGTAAGAATGTCGATCCTTCACCACGGCCATGATAGCTTTGACCTTGATATCTGGTTGTGCCTCGATAAGGTTCTTTATAGTTCTCCCCACTTTCTTTGCTTTAAATTGTCGGGGATCCTGGGAAAGTATGGACGAGGAGCAGTTGTGGTTGTTCTCAGCTTTTCGAATCACCTAGACACCCTTTCTCTTCATATTTGCAGCCCGCAGTTGCCACATACAGCCCTCTGCAGCATTCTTGCATATGACATGTAGTTGTTGACTGTCAGAATATTTTACCTTCCACTCGAAACTGCGCCGCATGGCATCTACGGTAAAAGCATCCTGCACAGCGTCCTTCGATGTGAACGCCATACCCACCTCCAAATTGGCCGTCAGATTATACATTGTCATAGGGACAAAGTCGGGGGCATCATTCTGACTATGTAAAAATTGAGATGGAACCTGTGCGTAGTATGACATCGATGTCTCACGAAATGCCACCTCGTCGTCGGTATCGTCAGTATCTTCCTCCTCGCTCACTGATATCAAATCTTCCTCTGTATCATCATCGCTCGAGTCGAATGGATAGCTTGGGCCAGAAGGATCAACATGACCACCATCACCAACATCGTCTTCTCGCTCATGTGAAGTACGCCCAGATCGAATGGTATTCTCGATTTTAGCCCACTATGACCCCCAAGCAGGCCATTGAATGCCATCGGGCTCAACAAATGGGGCAGGTTCATCCCGTTGCGGGTATTCTACTGATGGCACCCATCCTGCACCACTACCTCCTCCGTAGTTGCTTGAACTACCACCCAATCTGTAACCTCCTGTATAACCACTTCCTTCGTAGTTGCTTGAACTACCACCCCATCTGTACCCTCCTGCAAACCCATCATCATAAGAATACTGGTGATAATGAGTTTCACCGACCGTGGTGAGAATGAGTTTCATCGACCGCCTCGGTCTCAACATACACCTCTGCAAGCCGCATCCCGTTATCACCTAGGAACTGTAACATCATCGTAACCGCGTCATCATCGTTTATGACAAGTTCTTGGTACACAACCCCGCCAGCACTCATGCCTGGATACCGGTAAGTAATTTTACCAACTCTCGTATGTCCGCTCGTACAAAACCCTATATGCACAAATGTCACAGAGTTCTTGCTACGTGAATCGCGACTCAATTTTCAACATAGTGGATTCACTGTCCTCATAATTAGGGGCGTCAGTCGGTCGATTTCGGTTTAACCAAAAACCGATTTCTCGGTTATCGGTTAAACCGAGCGACCACTTTCGGCTACCGACCGTGAAAGATACAGCGGATAGCCGACCACCGACCGGTCGCTTAGCCGGTTTTGGTTCGGTTAACCTCATGCCCGAAAACCACACCCTAATCTATAAAAAAAATTAAAAAAATTAAAAAATGCAGGAATCACTTATTCTTTATCTCCACCACCACCACTTATTCATTATCTTCTCCGTCTCTCTCAACCATCCTTCTCTCTCCTTTCTTTTCCACTCAAGATTCAAGAAGCAGCCGAGAAGGAGGGCTTGCCGCCGACGGGAGAGGGAAGAGCGACCTCGTGAAGCCGGCGGACAGAGGCGGAGGCAGACGACGTTCGCGCGACGGCGGATGGAGGCGGCAGGCGGCGCGGCTGGTGGAGGCTGCCTGCTTGCATGCAGGTCGCGAAGGTTGGAGGCGGAGCCGTGGAGGAAGTTGTGGTGGCGGTGGAAGGAGGGGGAGCGGAGGAGGCAGGGGAGGGCGGCGGCTGGTGGTGGTGTCTGTGGAGGTGAGGGTGAAATAGAAAGTCGATCATGGCGGCGACGTCGGAATTGGACATGGTTGATGGGAGAAGAAGAAGATTATGGATTCGAAAATTTAAGGAGAAGAAGAAGATTCAGGGAGAAGTGGATTCGAAAATTTTGGGATTTAGGGTTCGTCAGATGGGGGAAGGGAATGGTTAATTGGAGGAGAGCTTCATATGGGCGCCGTCGATGGTTTGGCCGATGGGAGACGACGGGGGGTGGTTGCTGGTGGTGAGGGAAGGGAGGGGTCGAGGTCGACGAAGGAGAAGGAGAAGGAGAAGAAGGATAGGGTTTGGGGTGAGCATTTGGGTGCGGGTTTTATATGGGTCGGTTGGCCTCGGTTACTCAGATAGCCGATTTCGATTGCTCGGCTAGCTGACTCTCCTACCAGCCACTCCGACTACCGACCGAGACTGTATACAGTCGGTTTTCGGTTAGCCGCTAACCGGCGGTTATTGGTCTAACCGTCCGGTTAACTGCTAACCGACAACCGAACTGCCACCCCTACTCATAATCAATCCCAATGTCAGAGTTTGTCACCCTTGCATTCACTGTCTTAGACAAAGACGTTGAATGTGAATGACATGTGTAGATTGAGAATTGTTTTTATAACTTATGTATTTTGAATTTTTTTTTAATTACTAGTGTATATTGGAATTTTTTCCATAAACTGATATATAATTACAGATTATTATGACTTCAAATGATTAATAAAAATAAAAATAATTCGGCCATGGCTGGTAACAACTCACCAAAGCTAGTGTTAATTTACCTTGGATTGGACGTCAAAACAATGGTCAAGAAAACTACTTAAACCGAAAAGGAAAACTGGCAAAGCGTTTGTCTCGATAAACCCCACCTGTTTCTCTCGCCTTCGTTCACAATACAAACAAGCAGCTCTCTCTCTGGCATCTTAGCCTTTTTGCATTCTCTCTCTGTCTCTGTTGTTCTGATGATCGAACCCACGTTGTCGTATTGATGGAACGAAGCTCTTTCCTTACTTGGCACTTTGATATGCTAAAAAAAGACGCCAAAAGTACGAGCCTGTGTGAGCAATTTGAGGACCAAAAAAGTTTTCTTTCTTCCTTCTCTGTTTCAGTTAACCTTTGATCTTTCGATGGCTTGGCTTTCTGATGCCAAATTTAGAAACCCAGTTTTCGCATTGTTTGATTTGAGCCTTTTCCACCAGAAAGTTTCTGCCTTTGGCTTGCCTATGGGAGTGTCCTTGTTTGGTTAATTGAAATTTTCAAAAGCTTTCTCGTTACTCTTCTCTCTCTCTCTCTGCGTGGGTTTCTGTTTCTGAGGTGGTGTTGTAATACTTGGAAATGAATGGGAATGACGGGGAAGAAGAAGAACAACCTGGTTTTGAAATAGGCTTGGTGGTTCGAAACAGAATTCTCAGGCAAGAAGATGACTCTGTCGATTGCATGGAGGTTCTCCTTAAGGAACTCAGACATGTTGGATTTACTGTCGAAACTGTTCGTGGCTTCACAGATGGATTCATCAAGGTTGGTTGGTTTTATTCCCCTTTCTCGTATGCCTGTTTTTTCTATAAATATCATTTTAATTTGTGTTGCTATGATCAATCTGAGTGCATAGCAATGACATTCACATGGTGGCATCTTTCTGCCTTTGTTTGTTTTTGGTTCAGCTGTCTGCAACTCTGGAGAGATTGGGGCAAGCTGCAGCAGATTTGCAGCTTAGGAAACCTACTTACATTGGTAAAACCAAACCACATTTCTGTTTGTTGCGTTCGAACCTTTCAACGATTTTCCTCGAGTGACCTTTTTATTATTTATTATTACGCTCAGGAATCGATCTCCCATTTCAGAGCGAGGATGTGAATGCGTTTGTGAGACAGCCAGATGGTAAATTATTCAGCTGGTGTGAACGTTTCAGATGTTACCAGCACATGTTGTATGGCATTGTAAGAACAAAAATTCTTGTTTATGAACCAAATTCTAAAATTATTTGAACTCGTTATTTGGCTGTGAAACAAGTGCTTGTCGAATTTACTTGATTTCCTATAAATCAACAGCGAAATAGAAGCCAGTCGGACATAAGTCTAAAACTGGATGGGAGAGAACTGGTCTGGAAAATTCGGGAACCTTTACTGCAGACATTGGAATTGGAGGGCATTCTCAAGCACGTTTTCCCTCTTCATGGTCCGTATTCTTAACTTTATCATTTGTTCAATTAGCAGCATCTTAACTTACGATGTTTATTTCTCATAATTTTTTTGGTTAGATGAGGTTAAGAGGAAGAAGCTCCTCAAAAGTTGGGTACTCAACAAGAGAAACTATACTAACCAGGACATTGATGACATGTATTCATACTTCGGATTAAAGGTAGATTGATTGGCCAGATATGTCAATTACCATTCGGTTAGTTCTCCATGCTAATAATACTAATAATCATTTTTCTGTTTTTGTTAGATTGCCATTTACTTTGCTTTCCTTCGGATGTATGCACGTTGGATAGTGTTTCCTGCTCTACTGGCGGTTATAGTGCAGTTGGTCAATTTCGGGTAAAAGCCTCCAAGCACATCTTATTTTCCTTCCTTTAGCTTGCACTCTTGTTCTGGTTATGACCGACTAGTTTGGTTCTCTTTTCGTAATCAGCTCAATGCAGTTCTTAGTCCTACCTGTGTTCTTCACAAGCACAACCTTATGGGCCGTCTTGTTTTTCCAGTTCTGGAAACGGAAGAATTATTCCCTTATATCGAGGTATGCCAGTATCTTTATGTCATTCTACTGTCTGTCCTACACAGCATTTTTAATATCTATTGCATCTGCATTTTGGTGGATAGGTGGCAGATAAATTGCTCGGTTACCGCAGGACAAGGATACAAGTTCTTGGGAATGGAATGCACTTCCTTAAAGACTCGACTAGAGCTGCTGAAAGCTATGGGGGATAGGAACAGAGAGAAAGCAGTGTATCAAAGATATGAATGGTTTGGTCACCTGGTTCGGTTTAGAAACAATGCTCTTATAATCTTAGGCATTGTATGTCTACAGTTGCCCTTTGAATTGGCCTATGCTCATCTCTACGAGGTTCTTAAGTCCGACATTACCAAGTAAGCTAACAAGTCACTGAATACAAAAACAATGACCCTCGGAATTACCCTTCTCTGACCCTTTCCGGTTTCAGGTTTGCATTAACTGCTGGCTACATTTTTCTGATCCAATTCTTCACAAAGCTAGGGGCCAGAGTATCAGTGAGGCTCATAAAGTATGAAAACAATGAGAACTCACAGTTTCAGGCGGACAGCTTAGTGTACAAAGTAAATTGATCCAACAATCTGCATTTTATTTCATGATTGCTCCCTTAGTTGCAGTTGCATCGGCTTTACATGAGTGATTATTGGTGGCAGGTATTCGGTCTCTACTTCATGCAATCGTACATTGGAGTTTTCTATCATGCACTTCTCCACCGTAACTTCTTGACCCTTCGCCAGCTGTTGATTCAGCGTCTCATAATCTTCCAGGTAAAAGCGCCCATCTTTGCCTTTAGAAAATCTCTTGGCAGCCTTTTGACTCACTGGTTTCTAATCAATATATCGCATAGGTATTGGAAAATGTGTTGGAACATTCACTACCTTATGTAAAGTACAGCATCAAGAAGTATAGGGCTGTCAGGTCAGATCCTTCTTTCTCCCCCTCTTTCTTTCTGCTACATTGATCCGAGTTTAGTTCTGATTAGGTATATCTTTCTGCTATGAAGAAACAAGAAACACCGACGCACTGCATCTGGCGGCAAGAAGGTTCACTTCCACTCCAAAGTGGAGAAAGAGTACCTAAAGCCTGCTTATAATGCAAGCATAGGCGATGAATTAGAAGATGGCCTTTTTGATGGTAAGCTAACTAGAAATTTGCAAGATATCTCTAGGGTTTAGGGTACAACTTTTAATTCCATACAAATAACTGGAATGCAATCAATACTGGTTGTAATATTTTTCCTTTCCTTTCTTTGCAGACTATTTGCAGTTGGCGTTGCAGTTTGGAATGATTATGATGTTTGCATGTGCATTTCCCCTAGCATTTGTTTTTGCTGCTGTGGTTTGTTCCATTTCCCTTTCAGCTATTTGAATGCTCTTTTGCTGAAATTTTCCCGACCTTCACACATGGGATTGGAGTCTTCTTCTCTTGCAGAACAGCTTCACAGAGGTTAGAACCGATGCACTGAAGCTGCTCTCCATGTTCAGAAGGCCCGTCCCTCGTGCTGCTGCCACTATCGGAGCTTGGATTAACATATACCAGGTGTCTCATCAAAACAAACTTAAAGAAAGAACTTTGGTTTTTATTCTTAACTGCGATATACTGATATGGAGGCTCTCTCTTTTGAATTTATAGTTCTTAATAGTCATGTCGATCTGCACCAACTCGGTTCTTCTAGTATGCATGTATGATCAGGAGAGGAAATGGCAGATAGAACCAGGACTTGCAGGAATTCTCATCATGGAACATGTCCTTCTGCTGATTAAATTTGGATTCTCTCAATTCGTTCCCGAGGTAAATCGAGATTTGTTCCTCCAACTAAAAACTCATAGTAAATGACCACCCGGGATTCTCTTCTGATTTCATTTTTTCAGGAACCGGCTTGGGTAAGAGCAAGACGAGTCTGGAATGCAGAGCAAGTGCAGGATGCCTGCGCTAAACAGCTTCTGAAGAGCTTCCCAAGCCGGGAGAAGAATTTCGAAGAAAAGAAGGTCGAGTGAGAAAGACTAACTAACTGTAGGGATAATACAAACCATCATAGACAAAGGTTAGCTTCTGCTATTCCAATTTTGTAAGCTAAGTAGTCTTTTTTTTTTTTTTTTTGCATTCTCCTTTCTTTCTTTTGATTTGTTTCTTCATATTGTTTGGTATATTCCTCATGTATAGCAGAACAATCCTGTTGAGTTGTATTCCTTTCATTGAAGAAATTGAAATGAGATGAGATGAAAAGAAAAGAAAAATTATTTTCTTCAATGGAATAGTTAATTGAATCTGTACAGATCAAATGTTAGTTACAAAGGAAATGAACATTATGATTATTGATGAGATGGCTACACATATTTTATTTCACAATCTTGGTGATATTGATGATGAGGATGATGCCAATGGTGGTTGTAACGACGATGGTGATGAAGAAGAAGAAGAGGAAGAATTGGAGGAGCTTCTGATCCTGCTGCTCTTCCTCAAGGAGCTACCAAGGCGGCCACTGACTTGCCGGGCATAAGTTGCAACAGCTTTAGCCCATCTCCTGATCTCAGCTTTCAGCTTCCCGGAATCCTGCTTCTCCAATGACTTCTTAGGCTCCATCGACACCTCCCTGAACGAAAACCACTTGCCAAATCTCCTACGTTTTGTGCCATTTGCTGCAGCATTATCATTGACCTCGGCAATTGCTTGCCTATTGTTGTTTTTGTTGTGAGCAGAGAGGCTGCTCTTCTTAACAGACATATCAAAAGCAGGTGGTCGGTTTGCTTGTTGGAGCGAGCAGGGTTTTGGCTGAGGAGCAGCCAGACCTGCAATGCAAGGAGAGAATTGTGGGGTGGGAATACGGGAAGTCTGTGTGTATATAAATGGAGGGGTTTGGCGTGCTGGAGAAGTATATTAAGACAAGTAACGTAGCAAGTTGAGAGAGATGTTTTGCAAGAAACATCAAATGGCCATTGTTTGCACTTTTTTCCAATTCCAATGCGTGTGGCACTTGGAGAAAGAAAACTACTTGTTGACTGGAGACTTTTCAACAAAAGATGCTTCTGGTTGAGGAGATATTCTTGCTTAGTAAAAACTGTGGGTTTTGAGGCTGCCAATTAGGCTTGGTCAATGGTAGGTTTAAGAACTGATTACAAGTCTTTATTTTGAGAGAGAGAGAAGTAGAGTTAGATCGAATTTTAAATTTGATAAAACAAACATATAATGACAACTAGTTCATGTATTTTATTGGTAACTTTGTCCCTCCTCCTGCCATTTTTTATGTGCTGTTCTTCGTTACTAGAGAGTTGCAACTGTAAGTCTGTAACTTGACAGTCGGATGAGACCCTCTCCAGAACGAGCAAGGTTTCCCCGATCGCTGAGGTCCATACCGGATCAGCACTCGTAAAATGGAGATTCAACTCGCTCAGTACCTCCCTGTTCTTCAGCAAGTACGCAAGGGCGAGCTGAATCTCATTATCGAAGCCATTCAAACCCCTGATTTCAATCACCTTAAGCTGCGAAGACAAGCAACTCGGCACCTTCTCTTTTACCGGCTTCCTTATAACCCCTTTGCCCCTTTCCGTTCTGCTGCTGCTGCTGTCCCATCCCGAACAAGTTTCCTCCTCCGCGATTAGATGCAATGATACTAAACTAGGAAGACAGATTAGTAAATCACAAGGGAAGTATTGATGGGAAGCGACTCTGACGATCAAATGAGTCAAACTTCGAAGGCTCTGGAGATTTTACGACATGATGGCCCGAGCAAAAGGGCTGTTGAAAACAAAAACGCAGAGATGGATGACCAACAGTTATTAGTACCTCATCAAATGATACCAAAACATCACCAACAAAAGAAGTAGGTCAATGAGGTAAAGACATCCTTCAAGTAGTACCTTCACGTCGTTCTGGACTGCAGGCATTATTTCCAACTTGTCGAGTACGACAAGGTCGTTGATGGGCATCATAGCAATGTTCTGATAGACTTTATAATCAAGCCGTACGTAAAGGTAATTCCATCATGCTCATTAGTGTCGCTACCGAATTTATATCCAGCAGTTCCACTAGTGATTTGGAAACTGAGGTGTGCTAGGCTTGGTGCTGTGACCTGCAGGGTAGCCAGTGCTGCCGCCACTCCACCAGCAGCATGCCATTTACCCGCAACACTAAAGCCAATGGACATTGTCAAATACTTGAGCGAAGAAGAACAGATATGGAATACCTCCTGAGCACCATGATGATGGCACTCCAAATCCCACTCTAAATGCAACGTTTCGAGAACCGGGCAGCTAGTAATGAGTCTCGATGTCATGGCAGCACCACTTGAAGCTGTTGGGGTATCATCTAAGGCCCCCAAAATGGATGTCACAAAGCTGCAGCGTCTTGAGACTAGGGAGGCAGAGAGGAACATTATCCGACAGGAGGAGTTGGAATCCCATGCCCAACTTGAGCACCCTAAGCTTCCTGAGGTCAATATGAGGAGGCAGCTGGAGAGGGAAGCGAAACCCCCAGATATCGATATCAATGGTCTCAATCTCGGGTCCCATCACCTGGGAGAGCCATTCATTGGCCTTGCTAGCTACATAAAGTTCTGTCAAAGGACCCTTATGTCCAAACAGCCGGAAATCGCTCAGGCAGTGTAGGTTCTGGTGTTTAGACAGCACAAAGTTGACAAACTCTGGGGGACTTGCAATGTTCTCAGTAGTTATCAGTTATGGCAGCAGCAACAGCATCTGATCTAGCTGCATCCTCCGGACATGGACATGTGAGAGCCGAATCTTTCACGAAGTCTCATAATGACCATTTAGTATCACAGAACCTGGCCTTCAGGGCAGCAGTCAGAAATGCAGCAGTTGAACCGCAGTAGTCCTCCAGATTAAGGTTTGCCAACCCTAAGTCATCCCCGAAATCACGGATGCCATAGCTGTGATATATGAGCCAAAAATCTTCTGGAAAGAACACTGGCCCTCGCAGCTTGCGCCGTGACATCAAGTTTAGAGAGTTGTTGGGAAAGGGATAGTTAAGCCTTTTAACAGGTTGGACATACCATGAGTTGTTGGGAAAGGGATAGTTAAGCCTTTTAACAGGTTGGACATACCATTCCTTGTGCTAAACGAATTGGCATGAAATGGGGGTCGTTATGAGGATTCGAAACCATGACCTTTCGGTTCTAGGCTCTGATACCATGTTAGCGAACCAACCACTTGGTCCCAATAACTCAAGTTGTTGGGAAAGAGATAATTAAACCTTTTAACCTCTTATACAGTAATGTGTCCCCTTTTGAAGATAAGTCTAGGGTCGAATCCCTTGTCCAGAGCTGCTTGCTTCCATCTTCTGGAAAGAACACTGGCCCTCGCAGCTTGCGCCGTGGCATCAAGTTTAGAGAGTATGTGGGAAATCACATCATCGGGTACCTCTAAACTATGCGATGAAACAATTCAATTACGTCGTCAATTTATATTGAATACTTCTTCAATCAGTCTTGTTGCAAGATTTGTGAGAAGGATATTGAGACCTTGGGATTAAATCGAGTGTTAGCGTTGAGGCTTGTGCTCAAAGAATTTGCATCCTTGCGCCATTGAGATCACCAACAATGTGTGTGAGCTTAATAGGAACTCATAATCCATAGCAAAATTTTCAAGATAAAGATTGGAGTGGACACAAAGAAAGTCAGGTCAAGCTTGAGGTTCTGTCTTTTAGAGTCATTAAATCCAAATACAGTTAAGACTTTTTGGTATAAATTAATAAAAATGATTAAAATTAATAGGATAACATACTAATCTGAACGATTAATTATACATTTCAAACTTAAAACATTACTTTGATTAACTTTGGATAATATTCTGTTTTTACCTTTGGTTGAACTTAGGCCAAATTCACTTGTATAGCCAAAACTTTGACGTTTGTGACAAATATAGCCACTTTTGGAGAAATACCAGAAATAGCCAGAATTTTGAAAGTTCGATGACAAATATAGCCATTTCCGTTACATAGTTTGACGGTGTCAATAACACCGTTAGTCAAATTAACCAAACGCTTACTTTGCTGCCAACTCACCGAACACATCATTGACAACTCAACAATACTTGCCATGTCATATAACAATACTTGCCATGTCATATTTTCATTTAAAAATAAATAAAAAATGACAAATTATTTTTTTCACCCTCTCTCCTCTCCCACCACTCGTCGTCGAAGAACTCTTTCTTCTCCCTCTCCTTGCACCACCGACCCCAACCCCAAACCCATATCCTCTCCTCCCACTCCGACAGCGTTCCAGATCCAACCCACCACCGACCCCGTCGACACCGCTGCGATAGCATACTAACCCTATGATCTCCCTCTAGTTCATAGCATCCGACGGATAAACCCTTCCATGAAGATCCGAACCCAAAGTGCAGGGCAACCCGCTTCCCCTCACCGTCGTCTATTCTTGTTTACGCCGCCATCAACCCCAATCCGATTTAAGGAACTGGGCTAGGAATCGGAGGAGGGGACAAAGATCAATTGTAGAGAACGACAAAATCAGAGTAAATGAGGAACATGGGGAGGCTTAGGTTTTCCCGTGACAGAGCGGCGGCTTATGGAGTTGGCAAGCACACGATTGAATTTGGGTTTTTATCGGGTGTGGGACGGCGAATCTGAGAATCTGGCGTTGTCCGGGCAGCGATTGAATCCTTAGGGATCCAAATCTGTGAGAGATATGTCTCCATGAATCGGGGGTTCAAGGAAGAGCTGAAGAAGCTGATGATTATCAGATCTAGAGATGGATGCAGGAAAGGGGATGGGGTAGAAGATTTCGCGGCGGTCGCGACTGTACTGTTGAGGGTGTTTGTGAAAGGAAGGTACTTGGGTGGGGTGGAGGAGGTGATGAAGATTGTGGAGGAAGGGCGGATTTGTTGCAGGGTGTTCCACAAAGTAAAGCCAGTAGCGGTTCTTGCCCTGTTTTGCCTACAGTGGTAGCTGTAAGGTGGTGATGGAAAATGCTCGCCGGGAAGTGGACCCCTCTCTTCTCCATCGTTCGATATGTGGGATGGAAAACGCTCGTCGGAGGAGATAGGGTTGTGGTGGCGGCGAAGGGAGATGAAGAGTTTGTGGGTGGGTAGGTCGGAACACGAAGGGAAAAGGGCAGATCGTCTTTTAAAATTTTCTTTTTATTTTATTTTATTTAATTAAATCAACGTGGAAAATTTACCAGACAAAACATGCCAGATCGGACAATCCTTTAGTCCAGTCAGCATGTTAACTCACACCGTCAAAGTTTTGACTATACAAGTATATTTGGTCTTAAACTTGTGTATCTCCATTTAAAAAAAAAAAAAACTTATTTCTGCATTTAAATAACAGCAACAAAGTAGAAAACATTATTGAAGAAAAGCCTAAATGCAAGAGGAGTAAAGTAATAATACCTTCTTCGGAGGGTCCAAGGAAACATTCAATCTTACGAAACGAAACTTGCTGGGGTGCTTCTTCCCAACTATTTATACAGACCACTCCCTCTTTACGCACGCTTCTCGCCTCTCCTTCCTTCCTTCCCTCTCGATCAAATCACAGGCTTTCAATCTTTGTGCTCCAAGAACAGCAAATCCCGATCAAATTCTTCTCCCGAGCGGATTTGTCCTCCAGCGTCTAGCCTCAATCCTGCAACCATGATGCCCGAATAGTATGCTCTTGCGCACCCTGTCTCCCTTGGATCAATTAATCCCAAAGTTGTTTGATTGTTGAATTCTAGCCATTGGCGAAATCTTATAGTTGGTTTCTAGTTCGGTACGACTTTTTGCTTTCTGGGTCGGGCTTAGATTCGGGAATTTTCAAGATTATGTGGCCTGTGGGTATTGTCGGTGATCAATCAATTGGATGTTTGTTTCACGTCTGCAGAAAAAGTTTGCGCCTTTTCCTCTTATCTTTCTCTGTCTGTTCTTCGGTCGGCGTCTTCCTTGCTGATGGAGTGATTAGAGATTAGATCTTAATCAAATCCCCAGGCTTTGAGCCTATTTCTCTGTGAATTCTATGCTTTCTTGTTAATCGTCAATATTGGTGGATCTGATATATGTCGTATGGTATTGACTGGCTGACCTGGTTCCATATGTTCAAACGTTCCTGATATATATTTAACTAACTCAATGTGTGTGGTTCATTACGATCTCAAGCATGTGTAGTGTAAGACTGTTAACATCTTTGATCTTGGCAATCTAAAGTAACTATCATGTAAAGTTTCACTGAGGTGGTAAATGTATAAGATTGATCCTTAAGTTTATACTGCTTCTCTGATCTTTGGCAGTGATTATCTGTTTAAGCTACTGCTCATTGGAGATTCTGGTGTCGGCAAGTCGTGTCTTCTCCTGAGATTTGCTGTAAGTATTGATATATATGGTTCATGATAAGCAAGCTGGGGTGATGGATGAGGAATATCCTTCATTAACTGATACTCGTGTTGGTGCAGGATGATTCTTACATTGAGAGTTACATTAGTACCATCGGTGTCGACTTTGTAAGTAGGCGAACCTTTGCAGACATGGTTTATACAAAATTTCAAATCGTTGAGAATTTATTGATGTGATTATATATATATGTCACTACTATGCAGAAAATACGAACAGTGGAGCAAGATGGGAAGGTTATCAAGCTTCAAATTGTGAGTTATCTGCAAAAGAGCACTTTGTAATCTCGTCCTACGGCTCTTTCATAGATTGATCTTTTTTCTGCTGTGTATAGTGGGATACTGCTGGTCAAGAACGGTTCCGTACAATTACTAGCAGCTACTATCGTGGCGCCCATGGTATTATTGTATGTACAAGTACAACCCGCCACCTTTCACTGAACAACCAATTCTTGCATACATAAAAAGAAATTGTTGCAAACATTGAAATAGTCTTTTTTCTCCTGAATTTGACAGATTGTGTATGACGTCACGGATGAAGAAAGCTTCAACAATGTGAAGACATGGCTGACTGAAATTGACAAGTTTGCCACCGACAGTGTGAATAAGCTTCTTGTTGGAAACAAGTGTGATTTAACCTCAAAGCGAGCAGTCCCCTATGATACTGCCAAGGTATGTTCATGATTCAGCTCCCAGTGGTATCATAGCTCAACCGATACATTGGTCATGTCTGTGATTACTGATATTCTCTGTGTTCGAAGGCATTTGCTGACGAGATTGGGATCCCATTCCTGGAAACGAGTGCGAAGAGTGCTACAAATGTAGAAGAGGCATTCATGACCATGGCATCTGAGATTAAGAAAAGGTGAGCCTTGAACTTCTACCATCATCTATCAATTTTGACAGAAAGCTCGAATAGTGATTTGTCAACTGACCTCATATTACGGGTTTGTTTGCAGAATGGCGACACAACCTGCAATGAATGCAACCAGGCCAACAACAGTGCCGATTCGAGGGAAGCCAGTGAACAACCAAAGTTCCAACTGCTGCTCATCTTAAGTTCCTTGGGAGTATAAGCTTTCTTTGAAACTCATTCCAGGAGGAGAAGATTTAGATGCATGGGGTTTTGTCAGTTGCAGATCAACCCCCTGTGTACAGAAAAAGTCCAAGAGAGAATAGAACCACATTTTGCTGTTGCACCCTCACATATGAATTTCTTATAGGATTTCGTTTGGATTTTGGATTTTCTTTTTACTTATTTTTCTTGATATAATGATTCATAATTCAATTGGTTGCATCCCATTAATCTTTATGCTCTCCTCTGAGTTTGTTTTAGTGTAGAATTTCCCTCCTAATGTCCCACATTTCGAGGTGGCATCTGCATCATTTTTCTTCTATTAACAAGGACTAATAATGACTCCAATGGAGAAGCTGAGTATAAATTTTAACAAACTTGTCAGCTTTTTCTTCACAATTTTTTTCGACAAAATTAGAATATTTCTATGGATCGAGAAAGGGTATAATGTATTTTCATCGAATTCAAAATCGAAAATCAAAATTAAATGTAGAAACAGAAGACGGTAGCAAGGCATTTACCATAATGTTTTTCAAATTATTTGAAATATTTATCTTCATATGACATTAGGTATTTTTTTGTCATTAGATGGCTCGTGTCACCGAGCGCTTTCTTCTTTTTTGAAATGGAATGCTGCAAGAGTGAGAAGATGCACTGGTTTGAAGTTAACATATTGATCTCAACCCTGAAACAAAATTAAAACCCAACAACATATGCAGTGGCGTAGCCATGATTTCGTTTAATGTGGGTTCACCTCGAAAAAAATAAATATGATAAATAGTTTTTTTTAATATAATCTTACGTTGAAAACTTTTGATAAATTAAAATGCATCAGCAGTCGAAAATATCAAGAATATCACTCTGCATATATACCAAACAATCATTGATTTAGTTAGTCGTAGTGTTTCAAATGGTGTTCTTTGTTAAGAACCGTTAGTGTCAATACCTCGAGTTGTTGATAGAGGTTTAATAATAAATCCTATACCAACCAATAATTCATGATTTACCTAGTCGTTCTCTTTCGAATGATGTTCTAAAAAAATATTTAGTATCAATAAATCGAGTTGTTGGAAGATTTCAATAATATATTATACCATTTACTACCATGCTCCCTTATAAGAAAGTCAACTTATGCGAAATTGATGTTTGCACAAATCTGTATACCGTATGCTTAAGAAATGAGGTCGCCAAGATTCAAACAAAAATACTTTTCGACCAACTATTCTCAATTAAACGCGACCTAGTTTTCGATATCAATTAACTATCGTACCTAATTTAACCATTTTCCCCCAAACCAGGGTGGGTCTCGGGACCCACCCTGTTACCCTCTCCCTCTCCCTCCGCCACTAAACATACATGGATTTAAAGAAAGGGCTTGTCACTAGATGGGCACCCTTGTTCATCACCCGTCCCCACAAATATCGTGCCGAAATTATCAAACATGCTTCGCATAATATAAGTCTTCATGGGCTCACTTCTCAACTGTTCTAAGAACCTGAGCCAAAATGAAGTTAAATTAACCGTCCCACAAATGCTTCAAAGATTCCTTCTCAAATAAGCAAACCGGACAAGCCCACCCAATAGAAAGATCTCGCCTTAGAATTTGCAAGACCAAAATTGAAGCTTGCGGACAGCCTTGCCTCCAAAATCCATCAGCTTCTCGGTACTCACTCGATCACATACTTTTGTTTGTTTATATTTGTGTTTAACTTCCTTAGATTAGCATTTCAACTTAATCGAGGGTTTTCGTAATGCAACTAGTTCTCTGTCTATTAATACCCATCAAGAAAGCTATATTCCATATATTAACGTTTCGTATGTTGTGAAGGAACTAGTAGAGAATAGCTTCGATGCTAGCGCTACTAGCATATGATTTGTCTTTGTTTTTCAGCAAGAACTTGAGTTGAACATAGTTGATTTGCACCTTTGAATTCTTAACAAACGATTACTAAACACGGTTTACACCTCATTGAACAAAGTTCAAACAAGGTTGTTCGATGTCTTTTACAACTCATGAGGCGAAGACTACATTAAATTAACCCCATTTCTATGAAGGTTCATCGAGACCTCCATAACTAAGACTATGGCTAAATTTGTAGAGAAAAGGATAAAAGTTGACATTGGTTCATCGAGACCTCTTTTAGTTTTGCTTGTCAGTTGAGAAAAACGGCTAAGGCATGAATACCCCCTTGTCACATGTGGGTGGATGTTTGGATCATATGGGTCAAAATTGCAAAGGCAGTTCACTACTTATGACTTGATTGTTCCATGTGATCAAAGCAGTCAAAATTGGGATTTTGATCGTAAAATCGTAGAATTTTAGGATTTTACTTAGCGATTCCGATCCTGATTTTACTATAAAATTGGTGGACCTTAAAATCATTTAAAATCGGGATTAAAATCGTCTGAGACTAAAATAGGCGGTTTGATCACATTTTAAAAAGCGAAACTGCATAAGCGGAAAGGACAATGACAGGGATCTTCTCAGATATTTTCCTATTAAAAAACATTTGAAAAGAAAAAAATAACAAAATTAGGGTTCGGTCAATCTCTTTCCCTTCGCCTAGTTGAACTCATTGGTAAAGCAGTTTTCCTTATTTTGTACGTACGTAAAAATTAACATCATTACTAACTAATTAATTATTTAATAGATATATATGTATCAATCAATTAGCATTAATTATTCTTTTGGAGTTCATTTATTCTTTGTTTTAAATCATGCTTAGCAAACATTGTTGAAATTAAACGACCCAGAGTACTAGTTTGAATTAAACTATCTAGACACAACATGAAAAATAAGAGCCAAGCCCTATGAGCTCTATCCTTTTCTCGTGAATTATTTTGAGTTACGCGTAAATAACAATTAAAATGAATATTTTGGAACATTAATATTGAGAATTATCATTTTAAATGTTATGTGTCTTTGTGTTATTAATGATTTACCTTTTTAATATGATTATATGTTTGTTTCTATATGAAACTTAGAATCCTACTATTTTACGATTTCAATTTTACGATTTCCATTTTATCATAGTTTTCTATTTTAGGTGAAATCCGGATTTTGACTGTTTTGCATGTGATCAATCTTGCCAACATGAGTATTGTTCATAACCCCCCTCATCACACTAGGAGGATACTCCATACTTGGAAAAATTTATTCTCAACACACCAAAGTATTACACATCCATTAGGAGAGTATACTGGTCACTCCCCGTCATCGCATTAGTGGGCCTCCTCACCATACTCAACCTTGTCATCCTCCATTACATGCCATACTCGAAAACTACCCTCTTTCATCACACTAGGAGGTTACTCTATCACTAGTCTTCTTTCATCTTGTCTTCATCCCCACTTTGTCAGACAAAGGTGGATACTCTATACTTAGTGAAATTCTCCTCATCTTATTGCACTAGGGGTGCCCCACCAAAATTACCCAAATTTTGTCATGCATCGTCCCCTAGAGGGTATACTGATGACTCTCTATCACACTAGGAGGCCTATTCACCATACTCCACATTGTCATCCTCCATCACACGCTACACCATATTCAAATACTACCACCTCTCATCACACGAGGAGGGATAGTCGACCACCATCCATCCCCCACTTTGTCACACTAATGTAGGGAAATCACACCATGAAGGGTGCTTCAAACTTATTCAAATGTATTCATACTCCATCCACTGGAGGGTATACTGATGACCCCTTCCCCCTCATCACACTAGGAGGCTATTCGACCAACCATGGTGGTACCACACTCTCCAGACTTAGCCCAATTTGGTCATACTCCATCCAATAGGGATGGTATAGTGATGCCCCTCTCATCACACTAGAAGCCTTATCGCCACACCCCTCCACACTTGGCCAAAAATTTACCAAACTTATTGCACTAGGAGTAGCTGATTACCCTCCTAATTGCTTATAAGTGTACTCCAAACTTAGCCAAATATTCACCATACTTCATCCACTAGGGGGTATACTGATGTCCCCTCATTAAAATATGAGGCCTCATCTTCATACCCCTCCAGACTTAGCCAAATCTTACTTCATCTTATTGCACTTGGGGTTTACTAATTACCCATAATCACACCAAAAGAGGTACTCCAACACTTAGAAAGGTAATTGTATTGTTTTAGTTAATCCCCCAATTTGGGGCGGAAAAAAAGGGACGGAAATATTTAGATTTTTTCCTTTTTTTCCTTCTTCCCCACTTGGTATATTATACCGTTCATCTTCTCTCTTTCTATTCAATTGTTGTTCTCTTCCATCTCTCTTCCCCCATTCATTGTGAATGACCTACCCATCCTACCCAAACAAATCATAAACCTAGATTTAGAATATAGGAATTTTGATTTCGGTCACTCCGAGTCATCGCCTTTAATCAGTCGGCGTAGTCTTCTCATTCTCATCTCCGATTGTTGTAATATATAGAAGTTGGGTCGATCTACTATTGTTGTAGCGGTGTTCTGCCTTTCTGATCGTTTGCCTGCTCGAATCTCCATCTTTATTCATACTTTGTTGGACTTGTTCTCACTCTTATTGAAGGTGCATATGACAAAAACCCCAAAATTATAAATGATTGTCACTTACCCAAATTGCTAATTCATTCCTTATATTGTCCGATGAATGCTTCCTTTCTTATAAGTCCCTCTTTCTGTTCCTTCCAATATTTTTTTCGTTATCCTTCCAATATTTGCTCTCTAATATGTTTCTTATATAATTTTGTTCAACTATCAACTTTTCCTCTAGTATAATTAGTAGATGGGTCATTATTATTTGCCTCCCTTTCATTTTTCAAGGTTTAACTAATGCGTTAGGATAATTAGTAGTAGATGGGTTCTCATTCGTTAGGATAATTAGATATGGGTTGTCATTGTATTCATTCTTTAGGTTCCTTCCAATATTGCACTCTACTGTGTTCCGTATATAACTTTGTTCAACTATAAACTTTTCCAATTGTGTAATTAATAAATGATTAATGATTATTTTCCTTCCTATCATTTTTTTAGTTCTCATTTGTTAGTATAATTAGATATGGGTTGTCAATGCATTCATTTTTTCTACTGTCTTTATTGCCTTCATTTTGGAAGGTTAATGGGTATCGAATTTTGGTGTCCTGTTTAGATGGATAATGAATCGCATGCCTTGAATGGAGATGATGTCCCTGTTTTTTTACAATGAGGGTAACATTGATGACACAGAAGATCTCACATCTTCAAATAGAATACTAACAGTCCAAACTTGGCAAACTATAATGGATAATTGGCAACGAACAAGAAAGACTTGTGTGACTACACTAGTATGTTACATTGTTCATGCACTATATTGTTGTATTTTCTTCAAACTGCTTTTGACAGACCACTAAGTCAGCATGAAAATTACTGAGCAAGGAAACGTCAAAAGCTAATTGAACGCCCTACAAGATATATTTTGCCGTTTGACCTTGAGAATGGGGTCCATGCATTTGCTAGATTATGTGAGATGTTTAGGAATACTGGGTTGTTGGTCATCTACAAATACATCACTGTAGAGGAGCAAGTAGCAAAGTTTTTGCAAATTCTTGGAGGCACTAGTGGCAACTACACTACCCTATGTCTTCATTACTATCGGAGAAATGAAATAGTTCATCGTCATTTTCACAATTTATTGCGAGCCATCTTGAGCCTAGCCCCTTGTCTCATACAACAATCGAAAGCCACCACTCATGTGGGATCTAAAATTCATGATAATCCTAGATTTTATCCCTGTTTTCAGGTAAAAAGCATACATACCCTTTTGATTCTATGTATCAACTTATTAAGAATAAAAATATTATAATGATAATGTTATACTTATATTACAATCATACATGATTGTCTTTGTGCTGTTAATGGATCTCATTTTCGTGTTAAAGTTCATCGTGATGACAACCACGATTTCATGGTCGGAAGGAGTGGCCTACACAGAATGTTTGAGCTTGTTGTAACTTTGACTTGCAATTCACATGTGTTAGCGGACTGGGAGGGAACTGCATCTGATTCAAGAATCATAAAATATGCATTTGTTAGGCTTGTTAGACTTGTCATCTCAGAATGTATGTGATCATCACACTTTTAGTGTATTGGGTAATTTTATTGGAAATTTGTTTCTCAATAAATCTGATTTTGTGATTGTTCTTTGTGCTTAGAAAAATATTATATCGGTGATGGTGATTTTATGTTGAAGAGTTTGTTGTTCGCTCCATATAGGCATGTTTATTATACCTTGAAAGTCTATACTCGGAATGGACTAAGAATGCTAGAGAGTTATTCAATAATCGTCATGTTGTTCTAAGGAATGACATAGAACGAGCATTTGCAGTTTTGAAGAAAAGGTTTCCAATTATAAAGAGTGGTGTTGAACCACAATTTTCATTCAGGCAACAACGGATATCATCTTAGCATGTTGCATTTTACACAATTTTTTGAGAGGATTGGATCCGTACGATGAACTACTTGCAGAATTCGATAGAGAACTAAAATAACAAAACACAAAAAATTATTGACGATGTGATGAGGATTGTGAAGTGGGAGTATAATTACGAAATAGTATTGTTGAGCAAATGTGGAATGATTATAATAATCATTTGAGATGAAGTATTGCATTTTTCATTGTATTCTTAGTGTTTCCTTTGTCAACTCTGGATATTTAAATGAAGACTTTTGTACTTTTCATTTTCACGAAGCTATGTTGTTTTGTGAAAGTGTGTCATAATTACTTTGTGTTAGGTTATAGTGTTCGTTTAAGCTGTCTTTTCAAAGTTGATAGCTAAATAAAATTATTTACTTGTCTAAGTTGTCTTATGTATTTTCCCTATATGTCATTTACTAATATTACTTGACATTTTATAGGAAGCACAATGAGAGGAAAGGAGAAGGTCGTGGGAAATGCAACTCAGGGGGAAGGAAAATAGACTATTGTTTGGTCAAATGAGATGGATGTTGAGCTCTTGAATCTCCTACTTTCTGAAGAACGTAAAGGTAATAGACAAGATGGTCAGTTCACTGCCCATGTTTTGAATAATGTAGTTGAGGCTTTGAGAGGAAAATTTGGTCTTCCATCGATAAGACCAATGTGAACAATAGGCAGCAAACCATGAAATAGTACATGTCAGATGTGAAAGAAATTTTTGACAATATGAGTGGCTTTGCTTATAACCCTATGACCAAGATGTTTGAGACTGAGTCTAAAGTATGGCATCCTTTGTGCCAGGTTAGTAAATGTGTGTTGTCGTAATTTTTATTTAATGTATATGAACGATGAAGAACATGAACAACTACATAGGCCTAATTCATGTGGGCAAATATGAGAACATAGAATTACTCTTTATAACCTTTTTGAATCTCAGCCGCCATAGACTTGTTAAGCAGCCATATTTTACCATATATGCAGGAGAAACAAAGTGCAAGCAAATACTGTTGCTTGCATGTCAACAACTATGACAAGCTTGTTGATTAGTATAGTGAGCAGAGAGCAAGAGGTGATAGGGTTGTGAGTGCTTTCGAAAGGGTTTGAATGTGGAATGAATCTCCACAATTCGATATTGATTTGGATGATGTAACTTATGCTGATGATACTCCTACTTTCTCACAGCGTCAAGGTAGTGCCTATAGTGTTGAAGATTTGAATACTTTCTCTTGTGAGTTGTCACCTTCCACCAACTCACATGCAACTTCTTCATCACGCGGGCTTAAAAAGAAGACTCTAATGAACACCTTAGCTAGACATCAATTCGAAGATGTGAGTGCTTCTATTAAGAGCGTGGTCGATATGTTGGGTACAGGTAACAAGATTGCTGAAATATCCACTAAGGAGCTTATTGGTGCTATCCAGATAGGTAATTCAATTCAAGAACATCAACGAGAACGTATTTATGATCCAAATGAAATTTATGCAGAACAGAAAAGGTTGGACTTGCCCGACACCTTGCTCGATTGCCAGAAGGGACACGCTTGCGGATTGTGATGAGCTTGTCTAACAAAGCACCTTTCTGAATGAATGATGAGTAGAGTGTTTGTTAGTTATTTTGTTGTTATATGTCTAAAATCCATGTATTATTATGCTTGTAATTTTGAATGTCATGGTCTTGCTGATGAACCATGAGCCATGACCATTATATATTGAGATGGTCGTTGGTTACTATTAGAACGCAAGCTGTGGCTTTTATGGATGTTTTGTATGTAAAAGTTGTGAACTTTATCTTTATATTAGGATGTAGTGGGTTGGAAAGTGATTTGACCTTTATATAAAAATAGCTTATATTATGTAAGAAATCACCTAATTAGTAATTATTTTTAATATAAATTATAATTATTCATAAGGGATTAGATATGGGTTGTCATTGCATTCATTCTTTCGGTTCCTTCCAATATTGCACTCTACTGTGTTCCGTATATAACTTTGTTCAACTATAAACTTTTCCAATTGTGTAATTAATAAATGATTAATGATTATTTTCCTTCCTATCATTTTTTTATTTTTCATTTGTTAGTATAATTAGATATGGGTTGTCAATGCATTCATTTTTTCTACTGTCTTTATTGCCTTCATTTTGGAAGGTTAATGGGTATCGAATTTTGGTGTCCTGTTTAGATGGATAATGAATCGCATGCCTTGAATGGAGATGATGTCCCTGTTTTTTTACAATGAGGGTAACATTGATGACACAGAAGATCTCACATCTTCAAATAGAATACTAATAGTCCAAACTTGGCAAACTATAATGGATAATTGGCAACGACCAAGAAAGACTTGTGTGACTACACTAGTATGTTACATTGTTCATGCACTATATTGTTGTATTTTCTTCAAACTGCTTTTGACAGACCACTAAGTCAGCATGAAAATTACCGAGCAAGGAAACGTCAAAAGCTAATTGAACGCCCTACAAGATATATTTTGCCGTTTGACCTTGAGAATGGGGTCCATGCATTTGCTAGATTATGTGAGATGTTTAGGAATACTGGGTTGTTGGTCATCTACAAATACATCACTGTAGAGGAGCAAGTAGCGAAGTTTTTGCAAATTCTTGGAGGCACTAGTGGCAACTACACTACCCTATGTCTTCATTACTATCGGAGAAATGAAATAGTTCATCGTCATTTTCACAATTTATTGCGAGCCGTCTTGAGCCTAGCCCCTTGTCTCATACAACAATCGAAAGCCACCACTCATGTGGGATCTAAAATTCATGATAATCCTAGATTTTATCCCTGTTTTCAGGTAAAAAGCATACATACCCTTTTGATTCTATGTATCAACTTATTAAGAATAAAAATATTATAATGATAATGTTATACTTATATTACAATCATACATGATTGTCTTTGTGCTGTTAATGGATCTCATTTTCGTGTTAAAGTTCATCGTGATGACAACCACGATTTCATGGTCGGAAGGAGTGGCCTACACAGAATGTTTGAGCTTGTTGTAACTTTGACTTGCAATTCACATGTGTTAGCGGACAGGGAGGGAACTGCATCTGATTCAAGAATCATAAAATATGCATTTGTTAGGCTTGTTAGACTTGTCATATCAGAATGTATGTGATCATCACACTTTTAGTGTATTGGGTAATTTATTGGAAATTTGTTTCTCAATAAATCTGATTTTGTGATTGTTCTTTGTGCTTGGAAAAATATTATATCGGTGATGGTGATTTTATGTTGAAGAGTTTGTTGTTCGCTCCATATAGGCATGTTTATTATACCTTGAAAGTCTATACTCGGAATGGACTAAGAATGCTAGAGAGTTATTCAATCATCGTCATGTTGTTCTAAGGAATGACATAGAACGAGCATTTGCAGTTTTGAAGAAAAGGTTTCCGATTATGAACAGTGGTGTTGAACCACAATTTTCATTCAGGCAACAATGGATATCATCTTAGCATGTTGCATTTTACACAATTTTTTGAGAGGATTGGATCCGTACGATGAACTACTTGCAGAAGTCGATAGAGAACTAAAATAACAAAACACAAAAAATTATTGACGATGTGATGAGGATTGTGAAGTGGGAGTATAATTACGAAATAGTATTGTTGAGCAAATGTGGAATGATTATAATAATCATTTGAGATGAAGTATTGCACTTTTCATTGTATTCTTAGTGTTTCCCTTGTCAACTCTCGATATTTAAATGAAGACTTTTGTACTTTTCATTTTCACGAAGCTCTGTTGTTTTGTGAAAGTGTGTCATAATTACTTTGTGTTAGGTTATAGTGTTCGTTTAAGTTGTCTTTTCAAAGTTGATAGCTAAATAAAATTATTTACTTGTCTAAGTTGTCTTATGTATTTTCCCTATATGTCATTTACTAATATTACTTGACATTTTATAGGAAGCACAATGAGAGGAAAGGAGAAGGTCGTGGGAAATACAACTCAGGGGGAAGGAAAATAGACTATTGTTTGGTCAAATGAGATGGATGTTGAGCTCTTGAATCTCCTACTTTCTGAATAACGTAAAGTTAATAGACAAGATGGTTAGTTCACTGCCCATGTTTTGAATAATGTAGTTGAGGCTTTGAGAGGAAAATTTGGTCTTCCATCGATAAGACCAATGTGAACAATAGGCAGCAAACCATGAAATAGTACATGTCAGATGTGAAAGAAATTTTTGACAATATGAGTGGCTTTGCTTATAACCCTATGACCAAGATGTTTGAGACTGAGTCTAAAGTATGGCATCCTTTGTGCCAGGTTAGTAAATGTGTGTTGTCGTAATTTTTATTTAATGTATATGAACGATGAAGAACATGAACAACTACATAGGCCTAATTCATGTGGGCAAATATGAGAACATAGAATTACCCTTTATAACCTTTTTGAATCTCATCCGCCAGACTTGTTAAGCAGCCATATTTTACCATATATGCAGGAGAAACAAAGTGCAAGCAAATACTGTTGCTTGCATGTCAACAACTATGACAAGCTTGTTGATTTGTATAGTGAGCAGAGAGCAAGAGGTGATAGGGTTGTGAGTGCTTTCGAAAGGGTTTGAATGTGGAATGAATCTCCACAATTCGATATTGATTTTGATGATGTAACTTATGGTGATGATACTCCTACTTTCTCACAGCGTCAAGGTAGTTCCTATAGTGTTGAAGATTTGAATACTTTCTCTTGTGAGTTGTCACCTTCCACCAACTCACATGCAACTTCTTCATCACGCGGGCTTAAAAAGAAGACTCTAATGAACACCTTAGCTAGACATCAATTCGAAGATGTGAGTGCTTCTATTAAGAGCGTGGTCGATATGTTGGGTATAGGTAACAAGATTGCTGAAATATCCACTAAGGAGCTTATTGGTGCTATCCAGATAGGTAATTCAATTCAAGAACATCAACGAGAATGTATTTATGATCCAAATGAAATTTATGCAGAACTGAAAAGGTTGGACTTGCCCGACACCTTGCTCGATCATGCTTATAAGTTCATTTTGTGTAATCGACAGCAGACAAGCATGATGTTTGGATTGCCAGAAGGGACACGCTTGCGGATTGTGATGAGCTTGTCTAACAAAGCACCTTTCTGAATGAATGATGAGTAGAGTGTTTGTTAGTTATTTTGTTGTTATATGTCTAAAATCCATGTATTATTATGCTTGTAATTTTGAATGTCATGGTCTTGCTGATGAACCATGAGCCATGACCTTTATATATTGAGATGGTCGTTGGTTACTATTAGAACGCAAGCTGTGGCTTTTATGGATGTCCTGTATGTAAAAGTTGTGAACTTTATCTTTATATTAGGATGTAGTGGGTTGGAAAGTGATTTGACCTTTATATAGGATAGCTTATATTATGTAAGAAGTCACCTAATTAGTAATTATTTTTAATATAAATTATAATTATTCATAAGGGATTAGAATTCATAAGATACATATTACTTTTCTAACTAGTACGATACCACAAGTAAAATAAAAGATTCATATTATTACATTTACTATTTCTAAAATAATCCAAAAATATTTTTTATGTCAATTTACTACCCTACTTTTTCATCCAAAGAAAACAATAAAATAATCTCAATTAATTAATTTGGGACTACAACTTTTATCATAGCCATAATTTCAGAATGTATGTGGATTTGTGAAAAGTAAAGGCAAAGTTATTCCCAAAACCTCGTATATCCAAAAATATTTTATGTTTTGAAAATACCTTCCTAGTAAAAGTTATAGTCCCAAAAAGTTTATGCGAAATAAAAAAAATCAAGATGTTCGGGTTACGGAGAACAATGTTATTGTCGTCCAAAGTTTGTCGAAATCGAGAAATTGGACGGGGGTAGAAATTGACACTTTTTTGGGACGAAGGCAAGGCGGTTTGCGGCTTGCAAGATCTCAAAAAATTATGCGAAATAAAAAAAATTCGCAACGATCGCATAACCGAGCACAAAGTTACGTTCGTTTGAAGTTTCAGCCTTATGTCAGAGAAAAGATAAATTTGACAGAGTTGTGATTTGGCTGTCCTCCTCTCTCTACTTGCTCTGCTGCTTTTATTCGAAAAGCATCTTCGTAGTCTTCACGCTTCGTGAAACCGCCTCGCCTTTGTCTCCCACTTGCTCCATCCTTCTTCACAAAGTTGTAGTTCTCCAATCTTCCTGTAAAAGTCATGTGCTCACACATCAATTTTGTAACCTGGTTCGAATCACGACACCGCTTTTGATTAAACAACATTGTTGCTTCACCCCTCGCCACCGCATACTCACCGCGAGGTTGTTGATCTCTCGGCGTTGTTGACTACACAACATCGTCGAAACTCGCAGCATCGTTAATCTCGCAACATTGTTGAGCTCGCAACCTCGCAACGTCGTTCTTACCTAAACGACATCGCTTCATCGCAACGTCGTCCAAATATTCATCACTATGATTTTTATTCTCTTTCCACGACACGGTTGGCCTTGTCGAATTCACAACCACGTACCAAGACTCAATGTGGCTTTATATTTAAACATTGTCATTTTCTATTCTACGACACTATTTGATTTTGCGTTAAGCTTGCAACTTCAAGGCGATGTTGAATTGCTCGACCCTCCAACCTAGTCATCAACTTCAGCAAACTTGCGACATTGTTTTGGACAAAACAGCGTCCCTTTCCTACTCCGCGTCATTGTTAAACTCTTGCGACATTGTTTTCACTAAACACTATCGTGCTTTTAATCTCGCTACGCTTTTAATAAGTTCTACAATCTATTACTTAAATAATTATTCATTTGGCCAAAAATTCACCAAATTGGCGAGACATATACACAGTGGCGGAGGCAGGATTCCGAACTACCCCTGTCCTTTTTTCAAAATATAAAATATAAAGATTTAATAATTAAAATTAATAATATCCAAATAATTCATTAATTGATAAAGAAATAAGCGATTAATAAATTATTGTTTGCATACACAACCACGATGAGTTTTCATATTATGAAAGAATTACAAAATACATTAATTGTTTACACTTTTAAGTGAGCCTCTTTCGATATTCCCACTAAAAAATCATTAACAAACTGATCATCAATTCGACTTCGAAACTTGTTCTTAATATATCAATCTTAAAAATGCTATTTTTACGTTCGGAGTTGCAACTGGTAGTATCAAAACTAATTTCAGAAACAAATAAAATGACCGATATAACCTATGCACTTTTATCTCCGCCATGATTTGAGATCATTTATCAATTTCTTTCAATCCAACAAATCTCTCATTGGCCATAAAATAATTATAATACTCTCAACAATCTGTTGTCGAATAGTAGTGTCATGAATGAAACCAATAAATTAATTATCTTTTGACAATTAATGAACAAATAATGAATTATAGTGTAGTGCCAACATATCATTTATATTACTTGTATGTGTTGAGTTTATTCTCCGTTCAAACATATATAGGATTATTTTTTACTCTCCCAAAATTTGCCCCTGTCCTGGGACAAGGGCAAACTACCCTCCCTCCGCCTATGCAGATATATGGCCAAGTTTGGATAACTAAACACCCATGTATGTGCACAACAGCTCACGACAGCTCACGATGTTGCTTTATAATAAACAATGTTGTTTCATAGTACAGCGGCGTCATTTGGGTTTGAGTTCTCGGCGTTGTTTTATTCTACTAAACAACATCGTTTCTAATTCCACATCGGTGTTGGTCACGCACCCATTCAATTTTGGCCGAATCCTCTTCTTCTTCGGTAAGGAATAGAGAGCACTCTTTTTCCAATCCCAACACCAATATTGCAAAGCCGAACCATGGTTCACGAATTCACGATATTGTTTTCTACTAAACAATGTCGTTTCAAGTACCGCAACGTTGTTGGATCTTACTCGCTGTGTCGTTTAATCTTTCTATGACTTTGCTTGTTTCTCAAAAATGTCGTTTTTTATCATGCGGCATCGAATTAAATGCCGAGACTCATTATTACGGCATTGAATATAGGTCAAAAATATTTTAGGTGTAAACACAGAGTAGTCAACCTCGGCAACGGGCTTCCTTCCTCGCAAATGATGCTCTGCCCTCCAGCCGCGAAGATTTTGTCCTCGCAGCTGCCAATCAATCGTTCCTCGAGGAGAAAGCTTCAATTTAGCATCATTTTGGTGCTCGGATTTATTTGTCCGATCAGCCCTAGTGCTCCCATCTGGTTCTGATTCACTCCCCCATAGTGACTGGCGTGCGCAGAAGGTTACAAAGAACCGCACCGCCATTTTTGCCGACGGCATATACTCCCTGGGATGGCCAAATCTGCTACTGATTTTGTTGCGGATCGCTCCTCCAACCTTTTGATTTGGCCTAGGGATTAGCGGCTACGTCGTTGCTGTTCCTTCTTCTTGACCTTTTCTTTAAATTATTATTTTGCTTTTCAAATTCTGATGTCATGCTCACTCTAAGTATCCTCCTCCTCGCTCGACTGCTGGTGATGCTACAACTGGTCTCCAGTTCTCCCATCCCGCCGTGGTCGCCGATTCAGTCGTCTTCTTCTCCGGCAATAATAAGAAACCTGCGGAGCTCTGTTGCTGATGATTGTGTGGTACCGCTCGCTTTTGGCCTGCCGCCTCTTTTGCCAATTTGGGGCTTCTATGTCGTTTCTCCGTCCAGTATGCAGTCGGCGGGGCGACGGAGCGATGGCGCCAGCATCGACGTCGTGGTTGTGCGATGGGGTCAGTTCGGCAGTGCCGGCTGCCGCTTGCCTGCCCGCTGCCCGGTGATATATTTCTTTTTTTTTGTGTGATCCCGGTGATATATTTCTTTTATTATATTTTATTAATTTGTTTCTCTTGTGCTTATCTTGTTTGACAAAGTGCAGTGGTGCTGTCAGATGTCTGGGACTCTTAGTGTGCGCGGCATCAGCATGGCATGCACAGGGGCACAGCCAGCTATTCAATTAGAAGTGTTATAAACGCGCTGCTACGGATCGGGAAATCGCCGGAATCGATAAAGCAAGAATACGAAAGCGAGAATCGAAAAACACACACACGATATACGTGGTTCACTAACACGATGTGTGTTATCTACGTCCACGGGCGAGAGAGAGCCAGTTTCACTATATCGAGGAGATTATAGATTACACAGGAGTATGAGAAGTATTTATAGTACTTCTCCACGTGGGTCTAAACCTAATTCAATCTGGCAAAGGAAACGGTTACAGACCAGGCCTAGAACCTGAACCCAAATTACAGCGAGACCCCCAATTACCAGTCGTAGCGGCTGATAGTCCGATTCAAGTCACATCAACAAATCTCCACCTTGACTTGAATCCTCTTCCTCTGAAATCTCTGATGTACTCTGCTCCTTCTCTCTCTTTCCCGCCATCAATGCCTCGCAGGGCGGAGTCACCCACTCAAGATATTCAGCAAGTCCAAGCAGTGTTGGAACTTGCCATGTTGAACCGGCTTCGTGAACATATCAACAGGATTATACGTAGTGCCAACCTTCTTCACCTTAATCCTCTTCTCTGTCCTCAAGAAATGATACCTCACGTCGATGCGCTTAGTCCTCTCATGGTGGACTTGATCCTTGGCCAAGCGTATTGCACTCAAACTGTCGCAACCACTGTCTGATCATGATGTAGACCCAGATCACCAACCAGTCCCTTCAACCATATTCCCTCCTTAGCAGCTTCTGTCAACGCCATATACTCTGCCTCAGTAGTAGACAATGTCACCGCCGACTGCAAAGTTTCCTTCCAGCTCACTACAGAACTCCCAAAAGTGAATACATAACCAGTCATCGATCTCCTCGTGTCAACATCTCCAGCATAGTCCGAGTCAGAATACCCAGACTCCAAGCACTCTGTATCACTTCCAAAACTAATCCCCACATCAGGTGTACCCTTAAGGTACCGGTGATCCTCTTCACAGCCTGCCAATGCTCCTTCCCAGGTTGTATAAAAAACCTGCTGACAACACTAACAGCATGTGCAAGATCAGGTCTAGTGCATACCATAGCGTACATCAAGCTACCTACTGCACTAGCATATGGGACTCTCGACATGTACTCCTTCTCAGCCTCTGACTGCGGTGCATAAGCTGAGGATAGATGAACATTTGAAGCACTGGGAGTATTTAAGGGCTTTGCTGAAGACATGCCAAACATCGACGGTATCTTCTGGATGTAGCTCTTCTGTGACAAGAAAAGCTTCTTCTTCGACCTGTCCCTGTAAATCTCCATACCCAAGATCTTCTGAGCAGCTCCCAAATCCTTCATCTCAAACTCAGCACTGAGAAGCCCCTTTAACTTCTGGATATCAGACTTTGACCTCGCAGCTATGAGCATATCGTCCACATACAGAACAAGATAGATCATCGAACCATCCTCCACCTTGTTGTGATACACACAACAATCATATGGACTTCTGCTATAGCCTAGCTCAAGCATGTAACTGTCAAATCTCTTGTACCACTGCCTTGGAGACTGCTTAAGTCCATACAAGGACTTCTTCAGCTTACAAACATAGTCTTCTTTTCCCGGAACCTCGAATCCTTCTGGCTGAGTCATGTAAATTTCTTCCTGCCAACTCTCCATGTAGGAAAGCTATCTTCACGTCTAGCTGCTCGAGCTCCGAGTCATAATGTGCCACTATTTCTAGTAGCACTCTGATCGAAGTATGTCTGGCCACTGGTGAGAAAATCTCATTGTAGTCAACTCCTTCCCTCTGCGAGAAGTCTCGTGCAACCACCTGAGCTTTAAATTTCATGCCCTCTTTAGAAGTGATTCCTTCTTTCTTCTTGTAGATCCACTTGTTTGTAACAATCTTCCTTCCCTGTGGTCGTTTGACTAGCTCCCAAGTCTGATTCCTGTCATGGGATTCCATCTCACCTCCCATTGCGGCAAGCCACTGATCAGCTTCGCCACCCGAAATGGCTTCTCTATAGGACTGTGGCTCACCTGCATCCACTTCTTCAGCAACCTGAAATGAATACGCCACCATGTCCTCGAAACCACCTCTCTGGAGGTACTCCTGCGGTCGCTCTCTTTGGTATACCGGAAGCTATATACTGTTGAGCTCCAGCAATGGACTTTGAAGTTTCTGGCTCAGTAGAAACATCCTCATGTTGATCTTCTCCACCTTGGTGCTCAAACTCACTCTCATTGAGAGTTTGCAGCTCCACCTGCTTATCGACATTCCTGCTACCTTCAACATGGGGTTAAACATAGACTTATCATCAAATATCACATTTCTACTGAGTATAACTCGATGCTCAAAAGGTGACCAGACTCGAAATCCCTTAACTCCATCTCCGTAACCCACAAATACACCCTTCTTTGCCCTTGGGTTCAGTTTACCCTCATCCACATGATAATAAACAGGACACCCAAAAACTTTCAGTGAGGAGTAATCAGCAGGCTTACCATACCACCCCTCATAAGGAGTCCTCAACTCGATACCTGTGTGAGGTCCACGGTTGATCAGGAAGCACGCCATGTTCACTGCTTCTGCCCAGAATCTTCTCTCTAGTCCAGCATTAAAGAGCATGCACCGTGCTCTCTCCAGCAACATCTGGTTCATCCTTTCTGCAACGCCATTCTGCTGGGGTGTATCTCTCACAGTCCGATGACGGGCAATCCCTTCATCCTTGCAGAATTCGTTGAATTCGGAATTACAGAACTCTAGACCATTGTCCGTTCACAGCTTCTTGATCTTCTTCCCGGTCTGATTCTCCACCAATGTCTTCCACTGCTTGAACTTCGTGAAAGCCTCACTTTTCTGCTTCATCATGAAAATCCAAGTAAATCTCAAATAATCTTCAATAATAAACAGAAAATACCTGCTGCCTCCAATGGATTCAACTTGTGAAGGACCCCAACAGTCGGAGTGGAGATAATCTAGTATCCCCTTCATCCGGTGGATACCCTTATTGGGAAACTTGTTGCGATGTAGCTTCCCAAACACACAATGCTCGCAGAATTCCAAATTCTGCATCTTGTGCCCGCAAAGAAGATCCCTCTTCGACAGAACTTGCATCCCCCGTTCACTCATATGCCCCAGTCTCATGTGCCAGAGAGTGGTCATATCTTCCTGATGAACATGAGACGATGCAACTGCAGCAGAACCAGACAACACAGACCCTTGTAATGCATACAAGGTACCACGCTTCACGCCCTTCAGCACCTTCCTTGAACCTTTGCAGACATACACAACTCCACCTTTTCCTTTGAAACTGAAACCCTTGTTGTCGAGTAGACTCAAGGAGATCAGGTTCTTTATCATTCATGGAACATGCCTAACATCATTCACGGTACAGAACGAACCATCATGTGTCCGAACCTTTATGAACCCGATTCCAACAACCTTGCAGACAGCTCCATTAGCCATGACCACGTTACCACCATCTATCTGCTCGTAGGTTGTGAAGCAATCCCTGTTCGGAGACATATGGTATGAGGCTACAGTATCCAGAAACCACACATCCCCACGATGTGCCTTCTCATCTACAGCCAAGGCGAGATCGTCTTCAGAACTGTTGTCCACTTCTGCCACGGCAACTGAACCTTGTTTCTTCTGTTGCCCTCTTCTCTTGGGACAGTTGTTCTTCCAATGCCCCACTTCCTTACAGTTGTGACAAGCATCACCTGGCTGTGGACCGGGACCCTTGGAATTCTTGTTCGAATTCCCTTTACCAGATTTCTTCTTTCCCTTTCCACCTGTAACAGCCAAACCCGATGCCTCACCACCTGTACCAGATCCGGACTCCTTATGTCTGATCTCTCTCGTATGAAGCGCAGACCTGACATCTTCCAACGACACGCTTTCTTTACCGGCAATAAAAGAGTCAACGAAATTCTCATATGAACTCGGCAAAGAAACCAGCAGGATTAGGGCAGCATCCTCGTCATCAACTTGAACATCTATATTATGCAGATCCAACAAGATAGAGTTAAGCTGTTCGAGATGTTCCCTCAAATGCGTACCTTCTTGCATCCTCAAGCTGAACAACCGTTGCTTGAGATGCATCTTGTTGGTTAAGGACTTCGTCATATACAGACTCTCCAACTTTAACCACAAGCCCGCGACAGTCTTCTTAGCAAGAACTTCAATGATGACATCATCAGACAACGATAGCATGATGGTCGAGTGGGCCTTCTCCTCCAGGGTATTCCACTCATCGTCATCTACCGCTGCCTTCTTCTGTTTCGCAGACAGCGGCCCCCACAGCCCTTGTTGTTTTAATAAAGCCTGCATCTTGATATGCCATATAGCGAAGCTGTTCTTCCCCGTGAACTTTTCGATCTTCATGTTCACCGACGTCATTCTTCTGAATCGAAAACCCTAGCCTGATTTTCAGCCGCGGCTCTGAAACCACTTATTATAAACGCGCTGCTATGGATCGGGAAATCACTGGAATTGATAAAGCAAGAATACGAAAGCGCGAATCGAAAAACACAGACACACGATTTACGTGGTTCACTAACACGATGTGTGTTAGCTACATCGACAGGCGAGAGAGAGCCAGTTTCACTATATCGAGGAGATTACAGATTACAGAGGAGTATGAGAAGTATTTATAGTACTTCTCCAAGTGGGTCTAAACCTAATCCAATCTGGCAAAGGAAACGGTTACAGACCAGGCCCAAAACCCGAACCCAAATAACAGCGAGACCCCCCGATTAACAGTCGTAGTGGCTGATAGTCTGATTCTGATAGCCTTGGGGAGTGAAGCTTACTATTGTTGTTTCATAGTTGTTTCTGATAGCTTAATTAACAGTACGGAAATCAAACAGAAATCAGACACGAATTTACGTGTTATCCCTGGAATTCTAGGACTAATCCACGGAAGAGCTCAAACGCCCCTCAGCTACTGATCTTACTGATTGTGTTTGTTAACTCTGCAGATGGACACGAGCTACACACAAATACCCTTTCACCACCGAACCCTAGCACCACTCATCTACGTCTACAATGTGGGCTATCGAGGTTGCATGGGCCTAACTCAACTAACAAGGCTATTGGGCTACACAACTTACGTACTAAGACTAAAGACAGTCTATACAACTAACAACCTCCCCCAAATTGATGTCGGTTAATAAGCATCAATTTGTTTTGACAAGAAATGATGTCGACTGCTTGTGAAAGTCTTCGTGAGCAAGTCAGCAACCTGATCTTCAGTACTATGTAGTGTAGTACAATGGAACCATCACGAACTTCATCCCGGATATAATGCACATGAATCTCTATGTGCTTCGTCCGATCGTGTAGCAATGGGTTCTCTGCTATCCGAATTGCACTCGTATTATCCACAAATAAATCCATAGGAGTCGAGCAATGCACACCCATATCATCAAGAAGTCGTCTCAGCCACGTCGGACATTGCCCTGTACTCAGCTTCAGTAGAGGATTTTGAGACCATATCCTGCTTCTTGCACCTCCATGAGATAAACGAGTTCCCAAACTGAACACACAATCCCGTAGTAGATCGTCTGGTATCAACACACCCGGCATAATCAGAGTCAGAAAATGCTCTCAAAGTGGCCGATCCTGAAGAGGGAAAAAGAATCCCCACTTCCTTTGTATCCTGCAAATATCTAAGGATACGATATACTGCAGCAATATGATCATCCCGAGGATCTCCCATAAATTGACTAACAAGCTGAACTGCATATGAAATATCAGGCCGAGTCGCAGATAGATAGATTAAACTCCCAACTATACTCCGATATTTTGATCCGTCTCGCACTTTCTCTCCTGTCTCTTTACTCAGCTTCAGATTATACTCCATTGGTGTATTTACCGACTTACAATCCTCCATGTTATTATCACGTAACAGGTCCATGATATACTTCTTTTGGCTAAGCAAAATACCTTCCCTACTGTGAGATACTTCCAGCCCAAGAAAGTAAGATAGGTCTCCCAAATCTTTAATTCGAAAAGCCTTCTGTAACCCCTCTTTTAGATGTCGAATACCATCCAAGTCAGATCCTGTGATGATCATATCATCCACATAAAGAAGAAGAAGAAGAAGAACAATACCCTGCTGTGTAATCTTGATAAACAGCGATGGATCATTCAGGCTTTGACTGCAGCCAAGCTCAAGGAGAGTAGACTGAATGGTTTCAAACCAGACACGAGGTGCTTGTTTCAGACCATACAAGGATCGGTTCAGTCTGCATACCTGTCCAGGAGTCCCGACGTTATATCCAGGTGGCTTTTCCATATAAATAACCTCATCCAGATCGCCATGAAGAAAGGCGTTCTTCACATCAAGCTGAGCTAGAGGCCAATTCTTCATAGACGCGACTGCCAGAAGAGTCCGAACAGTAGACATCCGAGCCACAGGAGCAAAGGTTTCATGATAATCCACCCCTGCTCCTGTGAGTATCCCAACGCCACAACACGAGCCTTATGACGCTCGATTGACCCATCAGGCAACATCTTGATAGTGTAAACCCACCGGCTCCCGATCGTCGAAGTATCAGGAGGCCTATCAACAACAGTCCAGGTATTATTGGCATGATGGGCATCAAACTCACTCCCCATGGCCTCCTACCAAACCGGATCTCCACGAGCGTCTTTGTAGTGAGTAGGAATAACATGAGAAGTAACACCGAACGCCACATAATCTTGATGATGGGATGGAGGAACCCCCTTGTTGCTGCGAGTAGAGCGCCGAGGTGGAGGATCCGAGGAGGAAGCCGCCGGAGCTGTAGGAGCTGAAGTAGTAGAACCGGGCTCACCAACGGATGAAGAAGTCTCGGAACTGGAGGAGAATGGTGTAGTTGTTGAAGTAGAAGGGTCGGGGGAGTCAGGATCATCAGGGGCCAGCATGATGTCCGAAGGTACCATGGGCGGATCATCACAAGAGAACATGGGCAAAGTGTCCGTAGGAGGAAAAACTGACTCGGAAGGAGTGGATGGGTCAAAAAACTGAAGATGCTCAAAGAAAACAACTGTACCGGCGACCCGGATACGTTGGGAAACAGGATCAAAACACAAGTAGCCTTTATGAACATCACTATACCCCATGAAGGCACACCGAGCAGTTTTAGGAGTTAGCTTAGTATGTTCACAACGAGGCATGAGAACAAAACACGAAGACGGGAATAGAGTTTAAAAAATGGACTCTCATTACCAAGGACATGAGTCACCTGATAGTTAATTAGCCGCATAGCAGTGACTACTGCTTCGGGCCAAAAACGACCAGGGACAGAGGAAGCTAACAACAATGCTCGAGTGAGCTCGACCACATGTCGATTTTTACGTTCAACCAGACCATTTTGTTGTGACACACCAGGACACGATTTTTGACTCAGAATACCACGAGAGCAATATTCTTCTCGCAAAGGAAAAGAGCTAAACTCCCCACCAGGGTCAGACTGAATGATTTTGACATTTTTCCCAAATTGTGTCTGAACCATATTGAGAAATTCAACAGCCACAGAACGAAGATCAGACTTTAAGCGAAGTAGATAAATCCATGTATATCGGGTGGCATGATCAACAAAAAGGGCGAAGTAGCAAAAACCATTACGTGAAACGTCAGGGGCAGGACCCCAAAGATCTGTGTGTATCACATCGAAAGGTTCATGAATAATAGTGGTACTGGAAGGATAAGAAATACTGGCAGTTTTAGCTTCCACACAGCTAGTACAAGAATGATTTTCCGGAATACTGACTCGAGTTTTACCTAGCAAAGACTTTTGAAACATAACATGAAGACGAGTCGAGTGGGGATGCCCCAAGCGAGCATGCCAAAGATCCCACTGCTAATTAGACTGACTTGACTCTACTGAACACGAGAAAGGACTAATGACAGATCTAACCACAGGGCTACGATTGACAGGAGAAACAGAATGCCCATGCAGCTCTTCAAGATGAAAAAGACACCCTTGCTTACTCCCCCTTCCGATCAGACTCCCAGTCCTCGAATCCTGTATAAAACATCCAGACGGAGCAAACGACACAGTACACCCTTTCTCAGTAAGTTGGCCAACGGAAACAAGATTAGGAACAAGAGCAGGAACATGCAAAGTATTACGTAAAGACATGTTTTTATCCAATACATCACCCATGCCTTTAACTTCTAATTTAGAACCATTCGCCATTGTTAAGTCGATCTTTTGAACAGGTGTCACATCCGTTAACACACTAGAATCATGGGTCATATGGTTATAGCAAGCTGAATTGATAAGCCATGGTGTACGAATTTTACCTCGACCATTTAAGGTAGCAAATGCAGCACTAATAGCCGCACTTACTATCTCCTCCACCGTCTGAACCGTGACACCTCCTGCATTTCCAGTTGCGACATTTCCAGCAACATTGCCATGGTCCCCAGTAGGCCCTCGGCTGCTGCTTGCTTCGGCCAGCCCACCTCCTGTTAGAGAGTGGTATAAGATCCACGATTGAACCTCTCCCAACAACTCGAGTTATTGGGATCAACTGGTTCATGACATGGTATCAGAGTCTAGAACCGAAAGGTCATGTGTTCGAATCTTCACGGCCCCCAATATTAACCGTTGTCTTTCAAGCACATGGTATGGTGGGCCTGTACAAACTTCAAGCCCATGGGTTGGCTTTCGTTTGAGGGGGCGTGTTAGAGAGTGGTATAAGATCCACGGTTGAACCTCTCCCAACAACTCGAGTTATTGGGATCAACTGGTTCATGACACCTCCACGCCAGCGCCCTCCTTCCCCAGCATCATTGCACCAACGTGAAGCCTCGGCAGCCGCAGGATATGTTCCATAAGCGGCGCGTTCTGCATACCCACTACGTGGAACAACTCCATTTCTTCCAGGAGGAGGTCCACCTTCACGAGAACCACCATCACGCGCCTCATTGCGCTCCTTTGTACGACAATCCAATATGATATGGCCCATACGTTTGCAATAAACGCAAAAATTGCGTCTACGACAATGCTTTATCACGTGCCCCTTTTCTCTGTAGTGATGGCATGTCAAATCTGTGACCGGAATCCTCCGCTAGAACTGAGGACGATTGACAGCGTAAACAGAAGACTCATGAACCACCTGAGAATGGCGATGGCCTCCAGCCGAGATAGCCAGGACTTCCCCTTCACCTGGACGTTGATCGATCACAGCCTGAGTTCGCATACGAGTTTCCTCCCTAACCAGCGTTCCGAGCACGCCGTTGAATTGAAAAATTTCTCGGTTCAAGAGGGTCGCGCGTACAGCTTCAAATTTTGGTCGTAATTTCATCAAAAAATCAAGGAGCCGAGTCTACATCCTTTCGGCGATTGCTTCTTTGGTTAGCACAGTGCGTTGTAACGCAACATGGAGGAGATCTTGCTCCTTCCAAAGCTCCTGAGCAGCATTAAAATATTCTGAAACTGATCGGTCTCCTTGTTCTAGTCGTGACAACGCCAGCTGCACCTCGAACTGGCGCACGGCATTAGCTTTCATATACATGGCTTTGAGATGCAGCCACATCCGATTGGTGGTTGGGTACAGCCGGAGACTGAGGCACGTCGATGAATCAACCGATCTGAGCAACCATGACCTGACGCGCGCATCATTCTGCGTCCAGGCCGCGATAGCTTGAGCTCCGTTATCAGGCCTAGCTTGGGTCCCATCAAGATTGCTGATTAATCCCTTTCCTTCCACGAACACTAGGAATTGAAATTCCCAGAGAGCATAATTTGTTGCAGTCAGGCAAACAGACGGACAATCGGATTCCATTGGCTCTAATACCATGATAGCTTAATTGACAGTACGGAAATCAAACAGAAATCGGACACGGATTTATGTGGTATCCCTGGAATTCCAGGATTAATCCACGGAAGAGCTCAAACGCCCTTCAGCTACTGATCTTACAGATTGTGTTTGTTAACTCTGCAGATGGACACGAACTACACACAAATACCCTTTCACCGCCGAACCCTAGCACCACTCATCTACGTCTACAACGTGGGCTATCGAGGTTGCATGCGTCTAACTCAACTAACAAGGCTATTGGGCTACACAACTTACGTACTAAGACTAAAGACGGTCTATACAACTAACAGTTTCTTCCTGCCTAGATTGGAACGGTTTGCTCCTCTGCTTCATTTTCAGCATGGTTAGTTTCATGATTTCCCCTTTTACAGGATAAGAATCATGGACATTGTCCTTGTCGTATAGGCATAAAGAGTTGCTCGTTACGTGACGAAAAGGCTCTCTTATCGATGGTTCGGCTATTTGTCGACCGTCGTCCCTTTCTCTTATATGTGTTATTACAGTTACCTGAAAAGGCTTCCAATTCGTATCTAGCTGTTACCTTTTGAGAATCTCTTTGACACACAAAAAAAAAAAAAAAAGTCAGCCTCAGCAACTACCACCGTATCTTCATGGCCACAAGTAGCAGTCATCTCCCCGAACTGCATTATCCCACAACACACCATGAATCACTTCTCTGAACCCTCTCTCTTAACTGAATTCGCAATGGTAGAAAGAAAACAACAGCAGCAGTCAAATGATCGAGTTAGCAGTACCGATCCAACGAGAGTGGAGTGACCCCAGATGGTGTATCCCGCATCGTGAAGGTGAACATGTTGCTACAAGCAACATTGAACCATAAGTTGGTTTTCAACTTGTTTCTTGTATAACCCAAGAAAACGGCAGATTGTGGGACATGAGATGAAGATGATGCATGTTGTGATGTACCTGATTGTCTAAATGCCCTGAATATGGAAAGGATGAAGTTGTTACGAGAGATGGAATTTCCATAACATATTCAGGAACATGAATTTCAATGATTTTGATATCCAGACCTTGCTCTCTGAACCAGTTCCCAGAGCAATTCACCTGTGATCATGTTGAATGCCCCAGGATAGCAGATTATGCCGACCCCTGTAGCTATCTCGTAACTGCATCTCAATCCAAATTTACAAGCCACAAAATCAAGGACGAGAAAGCTTCATTTGTTAGAACTGAACCTTGATCTCTGTAGAGCATTGCTAGTTCAGGAAAACACATGTCATGGCAAATCACAACACCTATCTTGCCAACCTCTGATCTTGAACTGTCCAAGAAATCACATCGATCACCACTAGATATTACTTAATTCAAGAGCGCCTACCTTTTCAGTTCAAGAAAAATCGATCATCCATTAATGGAAGCATACCTTCGTTATAATCGCAGGCAACTCCATCTCTCTCCCTCTCTACGCAGGGTTGCTGGTTTTGTAGTAATTCACCAGTAAGGACTCTCAGATGAGCATTGCCTTATCTTAAACCAGCTGATAGTATATTTTGTAATTAGATCGTTGTTCAACCGTTTCACACCAATAATTTCTGAAATGACACTGAAGGCAACATGAGACCTGCAGTGGCAACAAATTTGCATCCCCTGAGGGTTAGGGCTTATTCTTTAATCAAGTGATGAAACAATGAAAGGATTATTTCTTCTTCTTTTACCCTTTTTGTTTGGATTAAGTGACCTGACATGTGGGCAGTGGCCAAATCCAAAGTTATTAAGCTCTCTTTAACCAATCCCATCAAAACCTAAAACTACCATATCAGATCCAAGGTGCCTGCTGAATTACTATCTGGCTTTTGCATGCTCTTTCCCCAGCTTTACACAACCATATATCTCACTCAACTACTGTTACATATTTACACAAACAGAGAGCTGGAACTCGCCAACAAGAAATGTTATTTCTGCTCTCTTCTACCACTCAATCAAAAAGAAAAATGATCACACAAATGATGTGATTGCTGCTGATCTCACAAGTCGCCCGAAGAATGTAAACCAAGGTGTACTTGTGGTTGTCATGATGCAGCAGAACCATTCAATGCCTCGTTTATCCGGCTGAACACTAACTTGAGTGGGACACAAGCTATTACAGCGCCATTTGCCTTCTCCACTAAGGCAGCTTCTCTTCCTTCCATTTTCTTCCCTGTGAGTGAAGATAGCTTCCTGATCTTTTTAGATAATAACCCGGATTTCCTCAACTTGCTGCCTTTCCTCTTAAGCCGCCTCTTCCTTGATATACGCTTGCCACCACGTCTCCCACCACTACCACACGAGTTTTTCCAACCCAATTCAGGAGCTTCACTAATGGCTGCAGAAGTTGTTGCAGCAACAGATGATCCAGTTGTAGTAGATCCCACCATATGATCACAAGCACCATCGCCCAAAACCTCAACCGTCAAAGGGTGACCTATAATCGCTTTACCATTGAACTTGCTCATCAAGGAAACTAACGGAACGTGCTGTGGCCGGTAGTTGGATTTCACTTCAAGCTTCACCTCGTACAGTTTCTCATCGCCTAAGACTTTCCGGATGGGGAAGTCTGCCGATTCATACCTGGAGTTGAGCATGAATCGTGACTGTCGATATGGAAGCGATCTCTGAGGCGGTAGAGCAATAGACCTGTTCCAATCCTGAAACCCATCGAGCTCATCTTTAGCAACAAAACCGAGTGAAGCATCTTGGGAAGTTTGATTGAGTCCTTCTGAGTGGTCCAGAACTACTGGGTAATGAGCAGGAGTTGCGTCGTCCAAGTCCATGTATTTTCGGGAAGAAGTTTGTTTTCCGCGCTTTGTGTGTCTGGAATTCCTCTTTCCTTTTAGTTGCCATTTTGAAGTACCTTCCTCTATCCTCTGGTTGTTGATATTGTTCGCTGCTGCCGAAGTTGTCGGACCAGACTCATTTTGCAATGGTGCAGCTTCTGCTAGACAAGTTGGACTAGATTGCCCACCTGATACACCAACTAGATGGATTCGGGATGAAGATGAGGCGAGTGTTGGTGAGAGACCTGAAAAATTTATGACAAGCTCAGCGTCTGAAACAAGTGATCCTTGACTAATGAGAAAGAAACGTAGTAACCCTACTCATCTCAAAGTCTGCATCTGATATACAGCAACCCTTCAAGACAAAAAACCAACACTAGCTCATTTGAACTGTGTATATATTAACAAACCACTTCATGAAAAAAACAGCTGAAACCAAATCCTCCCACATCAGAAGTAATGCACCAGTGAAAAGCCCATAACGACTTCAGTAAAGGCTTGCAAGGAGTAGCAATTAGACAGACGACAATCTTCAAACAAAGCGGTCTATCAGACACCTTAGTGACTGATCAACAGAGAAAAGAAAGGAGCAAGCCCTCTGTGTGAATTTATGAATCCTATAGAAGAGTGCTAAAAGCCATGATCTGCTGGAAGAATAAGTTTAAAAGCATTGGAATTTGGACTGCATCGATCAAGCATACCTGTAGTGAGTTTGTCCACCCCGGCAAATGGCACATCATGCAACTGATCTGAAGAGCCATCCTCAGCTAACCCTGCTGCACCAATTTTATCATTCTCTTCTGCCACCTTGGCAGTGAGAGAATCATCACAAGCAGCATGTCCAGGAGGACTCAGGGAGACGGCGCCATTCTCACATGAAACCACCGTGCTATCAGAGTTGTTGTTATTGCCCGCAAATGGACCCTTTTTAGATTCATTAGATTCCAAACCAGAGACCTTGCTGTCCGACAACCCTTCAATGGGTGAACCACTAGTACTGGGAACTTGGTCACAGCTTATGGGAACAGACACCATGACTGTACTCTCCAGAACCTTAGTCAAAGGCCTGCGACGATTTCTCTTTTTCAAGAACTCATGGACATTTGCCACTTGTGATCTCTTTCTTTTCAAGGAGGGACAATAAACTTTGCTGCTTGCATTTACAGGATTGCCATTACCGACATTAGAATCTGCTATGCCCATTCCCAGGTCCTCAAGTCCTCTCATTCGTTTTGTTCCTTCTGTCCCATCATCCTCAGAATCATTCGGTGTTCTTCTCCTTTTAACTAAGCCAGCTGACACTTTAGATGCATCAACAACATGATTCGGCTCTTCAAAAGATATTCCAGATTGAGATAATTCGGGTGCTGAATCCACATCTGAACTCTGGTCCGGAACCAAACCAGAACCTGAATCATTGGCATCACTAGCCTCATCAATGACATTCTCATCTACTTTTCCCGAAAGAGACATGCTTGCTGATTCTCTGGCTGGCTCTAGATTATTTGATGCAGAAGCTACCTCAAGTTGATCCCTTTCTAGTCGAGCATTCTCAATCTCAAGAGCATGGAGAATAGCATCTTCCCTACGAGCATATTTGACTGCTTTCCTATTGCCATTTGCTGCTGCAACCCTAGCTCTTTCGATGCATTCATCATATTCTCCACATCTAAATGCCTTCACCCTTTTGGATTTTTCAAGATTATACCAATCCCTATACAAATTAGCAAAAACACGATGCGAAAATAGTCAGCCAACCAAAATAGCAGTCAAGAAACCAACAGATAATGATAGTCGTCTGCCAACAAAGACAACTTCAAATACTATTTAAAAGAGTATTTCCCACAGAAAGTTTATGTTTGCTTTGTCAAAGATAATGACCACCGTTATTTATCATTGGATTTCATAACAGAATCTAAGCACCCTCACCAACCAAGGCGTGAAAAATCAATTGCTTCTATTAAAGCAAGCAAGAAAAAAATTTCATCTACCATTGAAAGACAAAAAGAACCATGAAAGTTCCCTTCCATAGTACTATCAAGAGGCAGCCACATAAACACACAGACAACACAATCACGCACACTATGACATGCGTCGCACTGCAAAACACTTAATATACACAAATCAGAAAAGCACAAAAAGAAGCACGTGAGCATGTGTCAATATACATATAAACTAGGATGTCAAAACATCTTGAGGATCTGCCTCTACAATTACAAGGAGTCAAGAGACATAGAAGAAGGTGACTTCAAATTAATCCAAAGCAAAGTTAGTCAATATCTAAACTAAGAACCTCCAATCATCTCCTAGCACATAGACAAACTAGATTGAAAATTGTACTGTATGGTGTTGAACAACGGGTACTGAAAAGAAATGAACTGTGTCTCCTAGCTCTAATTGATTGTGCAAATCAACAAATGTTTTTTTTTTTCTGACAACACAATGCAACAAACTTCTCAAGTATATGAGAATGTTGAGCTCAAAGTTCTTAAGACGACAACCCAATTTAGAGGTCATTAAGACAGCAATGTCACTCGATCATTATCAAACTACCTACAAGTTAGGAAACTAGAACTTACAGTTGCAGTAACATAGGACCAGAGCACAAACAAGAAGCTCTTATGCATGTAGCAAGCATTATAATGCCAAGGAAAAAACGAAACAAGAAAGTTCAGAAGCAAGGAACCACAAGGTTAAGGTTATCCTGCTCGAATTCATCAAGTATTTGAGGGAATCAATTAACCTGGCATGCTAACGAACCTTATGGAGAGCAGCACAAGCAGAAGCAAGTACGGACAAAAACGAATACATAACTTCCTTGGTTGAGGACTACTTTAAACACCCAGCAAATCAAAATAATGCACAGTCAAACACATTCAGACATTTACGTAGACAGAAACGAATACAAAACTTCCTTTGCAATACAGCAAACACTTGCAACAACTAAAAACCAATCAATCCAATCACCCAATTACACAGACTTGCAGTACTTTATCAACTCAAAATATGATTAAGAAACAGAAGGCAAGTGTCACTCACACACTAGCATCATCTCGGCCAAGTAACTTGACTGGAGTGCCCGATCTTGGCGAAACCAAATTACCCTCCGCAATCTCGTCCATACTCATAATCCGACCAGGCCACCACGACCCGTTCCTCCGGCGAACCCAAACTAAACCGCCCACCGACGCATCAATGGCTTTTGCGTTGCTGTTGTGGAGTTCATCGGAGGCAGAGCTAACCATCTCAGGAACCCAACTCAGGTATTAGTATCACTCGATTAACAGCCAATAAATTCGAAAGTGATGGTTCTTCAGGTATCAGCATCAGCTGCAACCTTCGCCTCCATGGCCATGGAGGAAACTCATAAATTGTAAAGAAGCCCTTCGATTGCTGAAAACCAAAAAAAAACCCCACAAAATTATAATCAATACAAAGAGAGAAACACCCATCACGGCATGATTGCATGTACCCAAAAACCTCCCCTAAAAGCTGCATAAATTCGTCGAAGAACCAATACGGGAATGAAGAGAATAACAAAAAAAAAATTGCAGAAGGGAAGACCTAGACTTTCAAAGTAGTGTGACGAAGGGAGATCTGCAGAAAAAACAAAGGAGCGCAGTAGAGATCTGAGTACGGTTCTTGAACTGAGTTTAATAGCTGGGCTGCTGCTGTTAGCAGGGAAATTAGAAGAAACCGCCTTCCTCTGTTGTTTTCTTCTTCTCTGGAGTGGGAAGAGTAGAGAGTCAAGGTGGGAGCTTCAGATTTTCCCTTATGTTAATCGTCTTTTTCTCTTCACAAAGTCTCGAGAGTTTCTGCTTTTTTCTACTGGGATTTTATTGAAATTTGACGTTTGTTTTGCCCAACCATCCACCCTAAGAAGAAAACAGGAGAAGGAAATGGAGTAGCGCAGAGAGCCTCTTAATGCCGAATGACCGAAACGCATCTTTCAGCATCTCTCCGGCTCCAATGTGGCTATAGTGCAAATCAAAGGTTGTGAAACCGGTTTATACTAGGGCTAATACCACTACAACACCTAAACTATCCGAAAAATGTTACTTGTGTCTTATTGTTTCCAATATTCGAATGTGTGTTCTGAACTATTATATTTTGTGTCATTTGTATCCTACCAATTGTGTTGACCGTTAAAGATAACAGTTGACCAAACGGCGGTCAACTTAACATTGACTTTTGCTTACGTGGCAATGCCAAGTCATTGACACCTCACATTTTTAATTTAAATTAAATAAAATTTTGAAAATAAAAAATTGAAAAAACTTTAAATTCAATAATATTATTTTAACCTAAAATTAATATTATTTTTTAACCTAATCTCTTCTCTTCTCTCCGCCTCCGCCTCCTCTTCTTTCGACTGCAAAATGTGCATCCTCAGCCACTAGAGCCACTGCTGCAAACAATGTTGCGCCACCGCCACCGGAGCCTCCTGAGGATAAGCAGATGGAAGAGCCGCCACCGGAGCCACTGCTGCAAACATTGTTACGCCAGCTCAACCTTTGTTTGCAATCCCTAATTTTGAGTTTGGGGATCTGGACGGGATTGGCGTCCGAGAGAATTGCAACTCGCCGAGACCTGTAGCTGGAGAAAGGAGCTGAGAATCCGTCACCAGATCCATCTCCCTTCCATCGCGAGTCAGCCTCCTTTCCTCCTCGCTTCCGTCGTCGCGGCAGCAGCAATCGACCACAACTTCGGAGAGCTTTGTTCCAAACCATTCACCCCATTCCAATCTCCAGCAAGAGCGAGGAAAACCTCCCAGCACAGCGGCTCCCCCAATGACCACCTACGCAAGATCAAACTCCCATCTATATGTCTTCCAAGCTAAAGGTCCCAAACCGAATGCCGATTCACCTCTCTCTCCCTAAAAGATTTCCCAGTTCGAAAAATCCCTTCCACCTTCCGTTCTTCTGGTTACACCAATACAAATCTAGATCTGCGTTTCATTTTCAACATCCACCAGGAAAATCTCCCAAATCACCTTAAACACCAGACAATGGATCTGAAGTCAGCTCGATCATAACCCGTCGCCGCAAAATCGTCGACGATGAGCGCCGATAGATCCAGTTGAGTAAGAGACGAAGGCGCCGCTCCAGTCTACTTCCACTGCGAAGAAACCGGCAGCATCGAAGGCGCTCGAGCCCAGCTACTCCTCCTCCCCTTGCGTTCCTCACTCCGCCAGCTTTTCTGTGTCTTCCTCCACCTCCATTCCATTGAAACAAGGGAATCGTGCAGGAGAGGAGAGACAGACCTGTGGAGAGAAAAAGGGCTAGAGAAGCAGGGTCGTCGATGGGGGTTCATCGGAGATCAAAGGAAAAGGACGGTCAGAGATGAGGCGACGAACGACGGATCGGATGCAATTGATTGAAGTTTTGGTGAGAAGGTGCGAATTTTTCTTCAGAAGTTGGAGAGAAAGAAAGTGAATTGATTTGAGTTATTGTTTTATTTTTTTAATTTTCCATAATTTTTATTTTTTTTTTCCTTATTTTAATAATTTTAGATAGAAAAATAAATGAAAATTGATAATGAAAATTCTAAGTCAGACGCCACGTCAACGCTGACTGGATTTTCTGTTAAATACTAACGGTCAACGCCGGTCAACACTAACGGAATAATAGTTCAGGACACAGATGGAATATTGGAAACAATAGGACACACGTGGCATTTTCCGGATAGTTCAGGTGTTGTAGTGGTATTAGCCTTTTATACTATTATATTAGTTTGTGTATGGTTCGATCGCGATATTGTCAATTTATGTTGGTTTTAGGAAAATATATAGGAAAGTTGGTAATAATTAAAACTAAATGAATTTATACACATCTATCACATATTTGAAGATAATCAATAAAAAAATCTACATTCATATTTAAATAAAATACAAAATTCTAAATAAAATGAAAATTACTCATATATAAATACAATATTTAACGCCAACATCCAAATGTTTATAGTTGAATCCAACATATATCATAAACATCTAAATATTCATACTTAATCCAACAAATAACATCAATATTTGACTTTCAAATTCAAGAAACAAATCAAAAATTATTTTTTATGGTCAATTCATCAAAACGACATCATTTTGTTTATAGTTTAAAAATCGGCCATTGCTGGATTTTTTTCCAGAAATAATACTGTTAAAAAAATTATAAAAATACCACCCAACCCAAAAATATTCCAAATCTACCACCATTATTTGAAAACTGTCTGGTGAAGCGGTGGTTCAAAGGAGAACCGCACGGGGGAAGGGGTGGTTTCCCTTAAAGCAGCCAAAAAACCGCTCCCCAACGTGACATTCCTCCAAACCGTTGGATGAGGGCGCAATCTGACGGCAGATCGCACGCCAAATCAACTATCCGCGTCTGGCCGTGATAGCCGCCCCTCGAAGGCGCGGTTTGCGCATTGGAAAAAGGAAACCGTAGGTTGGGAGGCGGTTTCATTTGGTGTAAAATTACGAAAACCGCCCCCGACCAGGCGGTCCATATATAAACCCCCATCCTCCTCATTTCTTCACACCAAAACTCATTCTTCTCTATTTCTTTAAGTTTATCTCTCTGTCCATCCCCTCTCCCCCCAAAACCTATGAAATAGTGGTCTGTTGGTTACGGTTAAGTCCGAACTGTTATCAAAAAATATTTATTTGGTTCTTCCCTCAAAACCCGTCGAATCTCTGTCCGACTTCTTTAAGAAATGGATGATTGGTGCCAAGACGTGGATATTTATTATGATGACTATCAAATGGTACGTACTCATCTTACTAATTTTTTTTGTTGTTTTTATAATTTTTTAATTAATCTATATACTAATTAATTTATGTTGTTGTTATTCTATCATAGATTGGGGAGGACGTGTATATATACAATCAGAGATATTATGTTGACCAAGAACTGAGTGATCAGAACGTGTTGTACGACCAACCTAACTATCGTTCAAAGGATATTTGGAACGATCACGAGGTACATACAATGCTTTATCATTTGTCATTTTTTATTTTGTTAGCATGCTTTAGTAGTTTATATAATAAATTTGATAATTTTTAATTGTATTGATTATTTTCAATGGTTTGGGCTAATACAAAGCGCCACTTACTTAGACTCTTTATAAAGAGATGCATGTCTAAGGAAATGTGATATTAAGCGATCATCATGATCCTCCCATTTCCTGGGAAATTCGGGTTTTAAGCGATCCTCAGATTCTCCCTTTCTCTGTCAAAAAGGTTGTGTTTCTAAGCAAATGTATACATTTTCTAAGAGTCTAACACGAGTGTACTTGTATTCGATTAAATTATTGAAAACAAGTAATACGATTTACACAATAATGTAAGGGATTAATGTGTATGTGTACCAAATTAATTTTATTAATTTAAAATATTTGAATATGTATATCTTTAAATTATTAATTTAAAATTTTATTTATTTTAATTAATTGAATATATTTGTTTTACGATGAAGACCTTGTTTTTGTTTATTTAAATTGTTTGTTATTATAGATTTATAAATTAGTATACCATAAACTTATGGTGAAAGTTAAATTTTTTGCTAGGATCCACATCATATAATCCGCTATAGGAGTACGAGCAAGGTACTCCCATGGAACGACACCATCTTTCCCTTTCTCAAAAGGGCAAGATTGGAGTCGACTAGGCACTTTGTAGGGATAAAGATCGATTGTTAACTCATCACAACATTGGTGGAGAGATGACGAAAGAAGACACATAACTTCAACTTTCGCAAATGAGAGTGCACCAACACACTAAAGGACATCGTCATCCTAACTCATATGCCCATCGATGGCAAAGTGGTGTGTGTGAACGACCTTCCACCACCAAGTGTTGACGAACTGACCGGTTGGCCGCATTTTCTCTATAGGGTTTGGGGTTTCTATTATGGACGTAGAACCGCTCCATCAACATGCGATTTGTCTTAGGTCAGCCACTAAACCGTCACTTCGTGTGGCGGTTTTCTCAAATAATTTAACCGCCACCACAACATGTGGTTCTCCCAAAAACCGTGCCTTCAGTGTGCGGCTTTCAAATAATGTTGGTAGATTTGGAATATTGTTGGGTTGGGTGGTATTTTTGTAATTTTTTTAAACAGTGGCATTTCTGGAAAATAAACCCCACTGCTAGTCATATCGAGAGCATTCCAACAGATTTTATGACCAGTTGATAAAAATAGGGCGCACACACCCACCGTCGACCCGCTGCAAGGTTGTCAGGTTGGAGGTCACACGATATCATTTTTCTGTTTGGTATGTGAAATGTTCATATTTTTCGGTTTTCCTTTTCACCCAACCCTATCTTCGGGGGGTCACAGACCGTGACTTCTGGCTTAGCCTTCCTTGGACTTGTTTCGACCTCTAAACATCTCAAAACTCACTCCTAAGCCTCATCCACATACTAGGACCCAAGGCAACCGTGAGGAATAGTGCATATTTAACTCGAAAAACTAGCAAATGTTCTCTCTACTCAAGTTGTTTGTCCTATGAAATCTAACTCGAAAAATCCATTCAATTCCAAACCCAGAGTAGCCAAAACAAAAGCTTACCAACAACAAGAGGGTTCCCTGGTACAGTCGAACTGCCGAGTTACAATTGGTAATCAATCATCCTCCGTGAATTCTCCAACGAATTTTGGAGTCTACAGGCCAATAAGTGGGTCCTGGATATACATAACTTCCCTTTGGTTGGAAGGAAGTGTTGTAAATCGTGCTCTTTGGCACTGCTCTGTTCCTCGGAACTGTTTGCATCGGAGTTGGTCGACGACGACATTTATTTGGCCTTATTCCTGCTGGGACTGTTCTCATTGGCGCTGCTCCTTATGGCCAAGGAGTTTAGCAGGTTTCTAATCCTTACGCTGGAACTTTGAAAGCTTACCTTAGTCGTCCATTATCGGTAGCGCTAACCATTGTTGAAAAAGGAGAATCTTTTACAAAGAACCCTGTCATCATTCTGACTTTCCCTTGCGTTGATCCTTGTTTGACTTTTGGTGGATGAGTTTGTGGTGTGAACCCTGCTATTCAGGCCGGAGACCTCACGGTTTTTACAGGTGATTCCGGTCAGATGCGAGATCGGCGGCCGAAATTTTGGGGTTGTGCCGGCGAACCGTTTCGTCTGCACCCCCTCATCAATGTTAATTGATGTCCCACTTTTACTATCTGCCATAATGGGATTTTTAACTGTCGGCGAATTAAGGATTATGACGGGCCTAATTAGATCCGTCCTTTTGTTTAACGTGTTTGAGTGTTAAACACCCTTTATATCTATTTAATAGAATTGATCTCTCAATTTTTAATTCATTTTAATCTGAGGTCCAACTACGGGTGATTGGAATTATTCAGTATTATTGTGATTGACTTAGTGGCCTGAAGGTGCTTTAATTTTAAATATGACTTTATTGCTTTAGCTTTACTTTTTGAGCGTTCATATTAGCCAAACAATGTTGGCGAATTTGGAAGAACCCGGATTCTCTCCTTGCTTCAATCTATAAAGGTCACTATTTTCCACCACGGTTCATTGTTAGAGGCCAATCTAGGCTCCAATCCCTCATGGGGACGGCACAACGTACTATTTGGAAGAGATCTTCTTCTTCATGGATAAAGATGGCAAATAGGAAATGGTCATGACATTATAGACTTCCAGGACAAATGGGTAGTTTCAGATTCGAATATCACTAACTCCCCAAGAATCTCCTTCTTTATTCGAGAAGGTAGAGGAGAGTGGCATATCCCAAGGCTACAATATTATTTTGATCCTACAACGGTAGCCAACAAAGAGACACGAGAGTTTGGCATTTTACCAGAAATGGATCCTATACAGTCAAAACGGGACACCATCTGCACTAGAAATCTCTTTAGCCTCAAGTCGTAACATGTTATGCTTTCTGAGCACCCCCAAACCCACGTTCTCCTATACGTTTGCGTATTCTGGAGAATTTGGAAGTCTCGAAATAAGGTGGTATTTGAGCATTATCAACATTCTCTAGCTCGTCAATGCTTTTTCCAAGTCCGCGAAGTCTCTTCCTCTCTCCCTCCGGTACCCGTCCCTCCCCTTCAGCCCTCAAGCTCCAGCCTCACCTCCTGGACCCCTCCTCCTGTTGTCTATCTGAAGACCAACTTTGATGCTGCGGGTCGTGCTTCCGGTTGCTAGTATGGACTAGTGGTTTATGGAACAGACGGGCATGTGGCGTTGGCAGTAGGGTTCCTGCACCCAGGCATTGTTGACCCCTACCTCGCAGAACTTCTTGCATCTCGAGACGCTATCTCCCTCTTGGTCTCCAAGTCCCTTCCTCGTGTCATCGTCGAAGGTGATTCAGAAGTGGTGTTTCGTCAGCTTCGCCAGGGCATTTCTTCAGATTCCATCAGAGGTTCGCTGCTTCGTGATTGCTTCCAGCTCCTGTCCTCAGTTTCTGTTTACTTGAGTTTAGGGCAGTTTCTAGAACTGCTAACGGGGCTGCCCATAGAGTGGCACAGAAAGCCCTGTCAGTTTCTCCTCTTGAGATCGGTTCCTTCGACTTTGTATGGTGGCTTCACTGTTGGGGTAGATTGTATAGTTTTTTTTCTCTCTTGACATTTCTTGGAAAAAAAACCCTATCCTCGGAATTCTAAGTTGAACCTTTTGAATATTGATGTTATATTAGTGTGTAGAAGTGTGTGTGAATTTTCACTATATGTTGGATCCAAATACGACATGTTATTTTGATATAATTTTGTAGTTCATATGTTAGACGAGATTTAATATAAT